TTTTTATAAATTACTTGTTGTTTATGTTTATTATATTTTATATCATCTATTAAACTATTAATCCATTATCTTTTTTTAAATCTTTTAATCTTTTAAATTTTTTTTTTTAATTATTATTTATTTTAAATATAAAAAAAAATCCCAGACGTTAGATCAATATTTTTTATATTATACACAACATAGCTTCTAAAAAGTTTTTTTTTAAGATATTTAATTTTTACAGAAAATATTCTTTTTCGATTTTGATTAATTGCTTATTAGTATATTATTGTATTTTTTATATAAATTTTTGCTTATATTTTACTAAATATTTTTTGAGTTCTTAAAATATTTGTCACCTTTTATTCCTGTTTTTTTCCTTGAATAGTTGGTATAACACTGTTTTCCTATCTGGAATAAAGGCTAGTTAAGGAATCTTAGGATAGGTGTAACAATCATCAAAATTATTATTAACAATAAAAAGTTTAAAAATTTCAACCATTTCCAATTAATTTAAACCCTCAACATATACAAGATAACCAATTTTATTATTCCAAAAATTAATTTCAAAAAAAAATTAATTTTAAATTATTAATTATTAATATTTAATATAACTTATATCTAACAAATTATTAATTAAATCAAATTAATTTTATTAAAATTTTTAATCAAAATAATTAGTAAATTAATTAATAAATTAATTAATAAATTAATTAATAAATTAATTAATAAATTAATTAATAAATTAATCAATAATTTAATTAATATACTATTAAATTAAAAAAAAATTTAAATGCAAGTAGTTTAAATTTAATAAATATTATAAACATTTTTAAAAATATATAAATTACATATAATTTATTTATAATTATAATTTTAATAAAAATATTTTTTAATAGTATCAAAATAATATATTTTATAAAAATACTAATAATATATATATTTAATAATTGTTTTAAAATATTATTAAAATAATAGAAATTCTTTATTATTAAATAAATTAAAAAAAATAAAAATATTAAAAAAATTTACTTTTTAAAATATTTTTTTAAAAATTTTTTATTTTAGAAAAAAAATTGAAAATTTATAATATTAATTATAATATTTACTAATATTAATTAATATATAAATCTATTAATATTTGAAACAAAATAAAACTTTCTATTAAACTATAAAACAAAATTCAATAATAATAATAATAAGCTTAAAAATTAAAATTACCATATTGATTAAAAAATAAATTAAAAAATAAATTATAATTTAAATTTTATATTATAAACGAAGTGAACAAAAATCTTTTTATATTGAGTATTATTTCTTATTTAATTTTAAAATTGGGGTTGGGGTTAAAAATTATTTTTTTAGGAAATTTAAGCGAGTTAGATTAGTGATTTGGATTAGTATCCTTTTTTATGCTAAGATTACAACTCGTTTGTATAGCATTAAGCCGGATGAGTGTCTTATCCGGCCAACTCATAACTCGTAGTTTTATTCCAAATTTAATTGTAATTTGTACTAGCTATCAAACAAAAATTTAAATATCAATTCTAACATATATATAAACAAATCTATTTCTATGACTCATAACATCTTCCGTGTTGGTTTGATAGTTTGTGCCTATTGCACACGACCCTTATAAAATCTAAAGTACTCATTTCTGGTATTCAACCTCCTTTGGAGGGTCGTCGGACTCGTCGGTTGGAGCCGGGACTTCTACTGTAGTAGTAGTGATGGTCGTCATGACATTTCGTCTACCTTTCTTCAATGTCTTGGTCATAACGATGGTCTTAGGATCAAGGGTCTTTGTGATAGTCTTTGTAGTACCGTCAGGTATAACAATATAGATAATCTTCACATTTTGACTGTTTCCACCATTTCCGACAGCCCGATAAATAGTCTTAGTAGTAGCAGGTATGTCAGTATGGATAGGACGTCCGCCGATATGGATAACATAAACTGTTTGAACGTTACTGTTTGCGGTAATAGTCTTTGTAATCGTACTAATTGCGGCTTTTGGAGCTAGAGTTGAAATTGTTACAGTTTCTTAGCCGGTAGGAACTGCTACAATGTACACGGTCTTCGAAACTGTTTTTGTTATGAATTTATTGATTTCTGTTAAGGTAGTCATAGGTGTTTTGTTGACGAAAATTGTCCTATATATGGTAAGAGCAGCAGTGCCGGTTTTCGTTGATGTTACAGTCGAAGTCGTTGCTGATAAAGTTGGTTTATCCACTTTTTTATCCATTTGCTGGAAAGCAATACATCCACCAAAGGGTCCCTCTAAAGCCAAATTATGGCATTTGAGAATACAAATATTGTCAACGCCGCTGTAAAAACCTTCACAATTAAAAAACTCCGGAAGATTGACTGTAACGGGCCATACTTATTGACTTACTCCATCCCAAACTCCATTTAGTCCGGATGAAGGTTGTTCAAGAATACCCAATTTACCTGTCCAGTTCATTGCATCGCCTTTAATATTTAAATAGCATTCGTATAGGCCAGCTCCATCAGCATTAATTTGAAAACTTGAAAACTTGATTTTTCCATTCTGCATGGCCTGGGGCAATGCGCCATTGTCGACCAATCTCTTTATTTCACTTGTAATAGGAACATGTGGTCCCATGTAACCGTATCCCTCTGGGTGGCTATAGGGTAGATATTTATGTTGGAAGAAATCTGTGTTTTTCTGCGCATCACTAATACTAACAAATTTTTGTGGCTGATAACTTGTTTCAGCTTGGCTGATAGAGTAAAGACTCAGGCCACAGCCTGTTACAAGCCGTTCCCTGGGGCTGCCAGCTTTCGGGATGGCAGGGGTGCTGAATAAAGAAGTATCTTGTTGGTAAGGGAGTTGGTAATATTTATTACCTCGAGGAGTATTGGCATGGTACCCAAGAGCCCATCCTTTGACTTTTGGATTATAGTCTCCATAGGCGTCAAAAAACACCATATGGGCCGAAATGAAGGGGGCGAAACACGCGAACGTGAAGAGAGTGGAATGATGCATTTTGTTGATAAAAATGAATGTAAAGACCGTAGCGAGATCAAACAATGAGAGACTGGTTGCTAGAAAGAGAGACTATTGCTGGAGGTAGCTGGCTATGCTACGTCAGAATTGAATAGAAAGAGAGACTATTGCTGGAGGTAGCTGGCTATGCTACGTCAGAATTGAATAGAAAGGGAGTTATAAGGGCTTTATATAGTAATATTTTTATAGGTTTGACATTCCGGTATTAAAGATGCAAGGTTTATGGCGTTCTGTTCTCCATACTTCCTGTTCTTTGGACCACAGAGTATAGTTACCAAACAGATTAATCTGGCAACCTCACGATATCACAGATCCGGATTTCCACGCGAACTAGAGTTAGGCGAACAGTAGGGACCCATAATATGTCGACACGTTCTCCATTGGGGGCTGAAGCTCTGTGTTAGTCTCGGATAAGTAATGGCGCTTCTAATCACTTGTATGTACAGATGAAGACTTTTTCGCATAAAATTGTCCCTCGGATAGCCTGGTTCCTTACAATATGCAGCGTGTACTACGCCGAGTGCCACTGACACCCGTTGCTTCCAGGTATATCAATGTCTGTAACTATGATGAACACTACAACTATCCGTTTTATCCAAGCGTGCCAATATTTGCATCTATGATGATTCCTTCGCATAGTACACGTAAAGTTGAAAGAATAACCTTAGGAACGATAAGGAGTCCTGGCTTCGGAGGAATCGTGGCCTCGTCGGTTGCACATGCGCTACTTTAAAAGTTTAAAATCTTTCCGCCTATATAAGCTTACACTTGATATAATATTACAAACCATAACAATATAAGATATTTTTCAAGGTCATAGAATCAGGTATGTGAACCAGTCGGATGTTAACTCTAATTTTGCTTCTAGTCAATCCAGAAAGGAGCGAGTACAAACTTTAACAAGCAAAGAAAGACATTCCCACCAAAATATTATTATCTCAATACACACTTTAAGAAGGTAGACACATCTGTACATAACTAAATCACCAGCAAGAAGTAGATCCAATTAAGCTAGGAAGTGGTTGCCCTTAATTGGCCTATGCCAGCCTCCTAGTACCCCAACCGAACCAGAATTTTGACCTGGAATCTTACCTACCAACCTACCCACCACCTACTAACGTATTATTCTGTTTATAGTTCTACAACCTGCAGTTCAAACCCTTTGCTTTAAAGATAGTTTGTGTTGATGTTATTAATTGTTTTAGTTTGTTTTTTATTACCTGTCTATTATCTGCGCTTCAATCCCGTACCACCGCCAGATACTACAAGCCTCCATCCGATGCCAAGTCCTTACAGCAATGGCAAACCCGCAAAATCAAGGCCCTCATTGGCTGGAAAGGGCCAACTCGGTTCCAGTTTTATATCTAATTAATTGAACCTCTCCGAACTTCTTCTTAATTAAGCGAGTTAAAGCTTACAATAAGGAGCTACAAAACCTTATTTCAAAACAAATATTTATAAAATGTAGGTATAATTCATCATATATAAAATTAACCTATTTGGGTTTAAGCATTTTTTTCTTTTTTATACGAATCTTTATCCTAGGATTATGTACAATCCAAACAGGCGTTAACTTTTACAATACCACAGCCACAATTACCCATTTTTTGTTTGGTATCGGCAGCGCGATACCATATACACCACAGCTACATATCAGCTTCTTCAATCCTAACCCCGCTTGTGCGATTAAGAGAGGACCCCTTGGTTAATTCCATGTGATCTGGTTCGTGACGCATGCATAGTTAATAAATAAGGAGCAGATGGACAATCCTAATTAATGTGTAACATAACCTCCAGCTGACTTCAGCTTGGTAGAACGCTTGTGAGGTTCCTCTAATTCTGCAAGGTGAATAATATATGAATTGGGCTTAAAATAAGTCCGCAAACTGGACATTAGGGCATAAGCAACCGAACAGGGAGATGATTCTATGAAGTAGACAAGATGGAATTAAACAATTGAATTGGACAGTATAGGCTTTTGTGCATTGTCTGTCAAACAATTCTCTTGGAAAATTGAGATGTTTGAAAAAAAATTCCCTACCCTTTCTTTCTAAATAGTCTACGTAAGCTTCGTTCCAGGGCGGCTTCTGGTCACCCGTGATCCGCATGGAATAGGGATACAAGAATTGGACGCGATTTCTATATCTCTTGTGTTGTCACATCTCATCGTCAACGGTAAACCCATACTTAGGATCTCGATAAATAACCAGGCCCGCTATTGTATAAACTTGGAAAATTGGATGATAATGATTATTAAACGAATACCAACCAGCTGTAGTATTAATCGATATTATTCTAAATGGTCAACAAGCGAAAAGCTTCTTTCAACATTAAAGATTTTCTAGTTTGTATACACCCAAACTACTAAGACGGAATGCTACCCAAATTCCCTAATAAAAAAATTGTTTAGAAAGAGTAAAACAGGCTTTTAGTAACAATTAAAAGTATTTAATAATTTTTAGGATCATTTGCGTTAAAATATAGGACTTATGTTTAAAATATTACAGCAATTATGACTGACTCTGTCTTATATAATGATAGTGTATTATAAGGCTGGGAAATTATAAGCTGGAGTTTGTAAGCTACAGTTTCCGATTTAAATAACTTCAGTAATGGTGTTACTGAGGTCATATCAGATATTGAAGGATAGTTTCCTCGTGTGAAAGGGGAGGGTGATATATTTATCAAGAAATTAGATTCCTAAGTTTCCTTGTGTAATGGTGGTATTAAAGCAAAACCACAAATTGATCGTTAGGTTAAAAGCACAAGCAAAAGGCCTCAAGAAAATCAAATCAACCATATAATAAAAGCCTTTCAATTAGTAATAATAGAAATAAAAGAAATAGATACATTGTTATTAATAGGAATTATGTTTAGAATGAGTAAAGCTTTTAGACATTAACCTTTGCTGGATTATCGAGAAAAAATTTAGCATGATTATCAAACACACGATTCTCCTTAAAAGCCTCCCGTGTAATTAGCACAGAGGTAACGAGGCCAAATAAGTAAAACAGAAGGTATATCGTTCCGGCCAATATTAATAAAAATCCCGATGTCCATGATGAAAGTACCATTAATATCGTTGTAGAGAATATTTAGATAACAGTTTTTGAGTGTGTATAATACAGAAGAAAATTTTGGATCGACCGAGGAACTGGCTGCTATAATAAGAGAGGCGATCTGGGGGGGTGCTGATGACATCGCGTTGTGGGTTTCCCTTAGAGAGGTATAAAGAAGAGCGAGAGATCAGGCTAGGGAGCCTAACCCTGATGACACCTTCAGTACATAGTCGAAATTTTAGGCAAATGAAAGATATAGACTATAAAATTGCTATTAAAGTAAGAATAAAATTCCATTTAACTTTATACTATTTATTTTAGTTTTTTACAATTCTATCTAGGTTTATTAAATTTTTTTTAATTAATATATAAATAGTATATATTAGATTTTTATTAATTTAAGGCTACTTTAATTCTTAAAAGATATTCTATTTGTTGATATATTTAACATAAAATTTAGATTTGATTAAACCTATAATTTAATTTTTAAACAATTTTCCTAATTTTATATTATAGTATAGATAAATAAACTCTGTAAAGCAAGTACTATATATAAGTAAAAATTAGATAATATTTCTTCAACAAATAATAAAATTGATAATAGGTGTAAAATATATAGTGGAAAAGATATTTTATAATAAGATAACTTGATTTTTATCTGTTATTATATTATAAGTTACTAGCTAAAAATGCACCAATCTAAGTTACTACACTCATCACAAGGCACATTAATGACTAAATAAATTGTTTGCTATTGATACAGGTATTGTCCCTTTGAAATATAAGGCTCCGACATAACTGCTAAAACTTAAAATCTATGTAACTATATAAATTAAAGTTATATAAATTAATGGTAGTTTATTATATAGTAATGAAAAGCAAGTTTCTTTATTTTAATTACAAAGAAAAAAAAAGATGTTGTGTGCTATTGCGGGATTTTTCCGTCGAATAACGATGCTTAACACTACAAAAACGTATGCGTAACGTTGGCCTTAAGAGAAGTTTTTAATAAGATAAATGTTGCTGAGAATACTATTAAAAAAAAAAGCATGTTTTTTTTTTAAAATCTAATAAAGCCTAATATCCTTATAAATCTGAATGGGTAAACCAATTTTCCCAATTTAAAAACATAGAAAATTGCAATAAATATTTGTCTAAGATTTAGACCTTAAGGTATATTGACTTTGTTCACATGTTGGATTTTTTGTCACTGTACTCTGATCCCGTAACTTTGTTATAAGATACATGTCTCTATGGTGGAATTTCGGATGCCTTAGCAGGGCATACAAGGGACGCTTGGAATAGGAATCTGAAGGGCTGTTGTATTCTTGAAGTAAGAATAGAAGTGAAACGTCGAGAGCCTTTTTCGCCGTACTTCATTCTTATTTCAAGAATAAGTAGGGGTTCTAGTTAGTTTTCAACGCCTCTGCCAGGTCTTAGCATTCATAGTAAAAATTGGGTTCTATAACTATGAATATGCACGCGCACGCGCACAACTTACAGCATTCACATTTACAGCCTGTGAAACATAATAGAATAGAATTACTAGCTACTGCTACTACTGCTACTACTGCTACTACTGCTACTACTGCCTGCCTGCCTGCCTGTGAATCCGGGAACCTATAAGCATGTAAGTTCGTTAGCTGTTAGATTTATAGTATGTGTGTATGTAAAAGAGAAAAAAAGAAAAGTCAGAAATTGAAAAGCTCACACATATTATTATTCACGATTTTATTTGTTTACTTATGAATATTACACAGAATATTAATAACACATTTAGAAAAAAATCAGAATTGATTCTATTACTATATAGACAGCCCAAGTATAAACATTCGGCGAATTTTATTCTAGAGGTGAATAACCCCTGCAAACAGCCTTCCTTTGGGTTTTTCATATTAATTTAGCACCATAGTGCATGTGTAGGAATCTGTGGCACCTGTCTTAGACAGAGCCAAATAAGACTTGAACAGTCTTTATCCATGTGTACAGAATAACTTGGCATATTTATCCGATACGCCTTTCGAAGCTTTCTAAGTTTTATTTGGTAAGTCACAGAACAATCACCCCAGTACAATACGACACCCTATGCTAATATGTGTTTGTGAGGGGTTTCAACAGCGACAGCATGTAGGAATATAATTTCGTTCATCATGCCTCGGGCATGTATATTATCTCTTCCCGATAAAGGGGGAATAACTAAGTCCAGTTTTGAGTGCCTGGGTGGTAAAGGTTTATACCAGTTCGCATAAAAGAATCGTGTGAACTTAGATGGGAATACCAATCAATGCAATCTGAAAGTAAAACTAAGAAGCCGGAGATTAATGAAGATTGCTACGACCTCGGTATGTTTGGGATTTCTTAGCTCGATATGTGGGGCAAATACCGCGATAGCTAACCGTAGAAATATTTGTTTTGCTTGAGGCCTGTATGCCCGACTGTAAGGAGGGATTTAACTTCTCTCTGCGAGGATTTTGGGTTGCGGCCCATTTTTCGTCAGCTGATCTCGCATTATTTTCGTTATACAATAAAATCAACACAGTTTGATTGAAATCATATTAAAGAATAATTTAAAGGACCTGGTCTGGCTGCTTCTCAGTCGGGTTTCCGTGGTCCGAAGGACCCTCTTGTCTTTTTGTTTTCGGAGATGTACACTATGATCATGTGATGAATTCACGCTGTCCTGTGGTTGGACGAAAAACCACAGGAACAACACAAGAGCACATGCTTGAATAGGTCAGCACGTTGATCTGTACCCTGTAACTCCAAGGCATTAACTCAGGCACTCTCTTTTTTGGTGCCCGTTGTTTGCAGTGGAAAATGTCGTAGTGATGTGCTAAATCATTCGGTTCTTAGAAAGTGAGTGTATAAAGAAATACATGAGCTGCGGGGTATTTTGGTATAGTAAAATCATGTTTGAGAATTTTGTGTGATATTATCATACCAGTCTATCTCACATGAATGTGCTAGGACACACAATGATACTATGTTACAGCCTTCTAATCTATGTTTGTTAACAGACTTCGTTTTGCATGTCTTATAGATCTTTATAAATCGCCTTCTATCTAATACTGATGCCCTATGATTTGTAATCATTTTCTCACCTAAAAAACTTTTTTGTTCCTTGTGCTAAATCATATACTAAATCTTCTTTATAATTCTTAACACCCACTTATGGGATTTGCTAAATTCTTGTTAAATGCTTGTCTCGTACCCAGCCCACCCGGGATTGTACAATTAACAGCTTGTTTACTACTACCTTCCTAGAATTCTACAACCCTCAACTAGTATTTTCGGTGCTTATTTATAAGTCAAATATTTAATAGATAAGCCTTTGATTGGTCTGGGTACGAGACCACCTTTGATTGCATATTATAAAACGATCGAACAAAATGCTATGCAGAAATAGGCTGTGACTTTTAATGATAGACCACGGATTATGCAAGACAAGAAGGGAGGGGGTCGGGTATTCATTCCTCAATGGCTGGTTTCTATGGACCGAGACGAGGAGGTCGAATTGGAAGATGCGGTACTGCTAGTCAGATCCCCAATGAAACAAGAATAATACCAAAGTCGTATAGGCTTCTTGTTCAACTTAACCCGCTATGGTGATCCTTTCTGATTTTTTACTATTAAGTATTATAATTAAACATTATTGTATCTTGTTGTTTTAGATTATTAATATTCGGATCACTAGTTAATGTATCTCAATTGGGTTTATATTCAGGTTTCTTGAATATTCGTTCGTTAATTCCACCCGACTTATATCTCATAGGGACAGGTCTAACAAAAGCAGTAATACAAACTGGCGAAGATTGCTAGTGTTTTATTAAACACATGCGTGGAACAATAAAAAGACGAGAAGTTGGAGATAGTGGATATCTACGGCCCGACAACAACAGGACCAGCTCGCAAAGCAATGATGCAAAGCCGAAGGCAACCCTCAGGAAGCCATTCCTCGACCTCTTCAGTATGCATCCCTATACGAATTGTCCTCTTTGTTCTTTGATTAATTGATCCCGGCCCTAGGATGATACCGACCAAGTCCCATTCCTTGTGATCGTCGATTGTCAACTTTAGTTGATATGCTGCATAATCAAGAGCTTTGTTTATATACGGCTCGTAGATGCCCCCTAAAGGTACCCCATTGTAGCGCATTGAGAAACCGTATTGATTTCCATCAAAGTCCCACCCAGCCCGATTGTAAACTCCGTTAAAATGGACCGTGTCTCCGGGCTTAGCTGAAGACGGGTCAAAATAAGAAACAATGGAGGGGATAGCTGCGACGATTGAAGGCCATTTTTGAATTGCCTCAGAGGACAGCTTCTCGCCGAGTTTCTCTCTACCGAGGTGAACGGCCTCTAATTCATCCTTCCAACGTTGATCAAGGGCCCGAATACAATCAACAACGGGCTCGCAGAATTTCGTATTCTCGAAAGTTGTTTGGGCATTGGTAATAAGATACCCGGGCTTGTCTTGAAGCCATCTATCGCCAACGGGTGTCTCTATCTGCTCTGCTGCTTCTATAATTTGATAATAAGCAGAACTCAGCTTGGTCCCCGCGGCTTCAAGAACATGTTCTGCCTCGCGGTCAACGGCAGCGATGACAGAGTCCCCAGGATTCTCGTCCCGAGTTCGCTGAGCAGATGTATCTTTATGGAGGTAGTAGTAGGCGCGATGGATAGCAAGACGGGTCCGGGACATCGAGGGCTCCGGGTCCTCAAGAACCTGAGTATTGGGGCTATGTAATTCTTGCTCCCACCCCTGAACTTCATCACGGACCATCTGCCACTCTCTTTTGACTGCATCGTGGATACCTGTAACGATTATTAGCCTCGATACCGTTAGTGGAATGAATACAACATACCAGTTTTTGCCCACTCATTGGAGTATGCTGCAAACTTGTCGTCGGTATCTTTGAGCAGTTCGTAGATCCTCAGGCGGTCCGGATCATCCTCGGGCAGCTCGTTAATTTCCTTCTCGACCTGCCATTTCATGCTCCGCAGTTCACTATCAACGCGGTTGGCTTCGTACTGCTGGAGGCTCGTAAAAGGATTGGTGGAGAGTTTGTCCTGGAGCCTCTGTAATGCCGGATTGGCGCGATTTAGCTTCTCAGTTTTGATCTGGGCGTTACCGGCAGCGAGCACATTAGCAAGCCGGCTTTCGTAGTCGCGGTATGTATTTGGGGTCAGAATTCGCCGAACATCATCCTGCTCGAACCGCTGCTTGAACGAGATGACGCTATATTGGAGCCGGTCGGGCGCCTCGACGTCCATCTCAATATTTTGAAGCTTGCGGTCAAGATCCCCAGTGATAATACGGGTACTCTCCGCGAACCGAGTGGCTTCTAAGTCCCTGCGAAGTTGTTCAATCTCCGCGACAAGATGGTTTTTGTGTGCATTACTGACGGGAGCTAGTATGTTCGTTGCGTCGAAGAATAAATTCTCAACGCCCTCCGTTCGACCAGATTCAATATTGTTGCGGGCCTGCGCAATGCCCCTCCTCGCACGGTTAAGACGGTCTCGGTCATCAAAGGATAGAGCATTCAAATCAATACGGGGTGAAGCTTGGGGAACAGCCTGAGCCTGAGCCTGAACCAAACTCTGACCCCAGGTTTGGGCCCACGCCGGTCCTATCAGTGGTTGTGGAGTCTGTGGATATGTAGAAGGAACAATATTCAGCTGCGAGCGGATAAGAGCGATCTCTGCCAAGATCGGGGCCTTGAGCTGATCTGCCTTCCGAGGATGCTTGATTCTACTAAGTCCCTCCTCGATGATTTTCTGCAACTGACGGTCGAGTTCTTGTTTTGTATCGGCTCTATCTAAAAATTCCCGTTGCCGGTCGATATAATCACGAACACCCTGAACATCTCGTTGAGCAGAACGGATATATGCCTCTTCTGCGGGCATCACTATGTCGGCTAAATTGTCTCGAAGCGCCGCAATCTCTGCGCGGAGGGCATCAGCCTCCTGAGATGCATCGCCCTCGAGTAGCTGTTCAGCCTGAGCCAGTTCGGGTTCCGTTTGTTCGATGCGGCCAGGCGTATTAAAATATTCTTTGGCCCAAAAAACTTTGTTCTTCGCATGGGGAAAGTTTTGAGACGGGGCAGGCTTCGGAGCGGGAGGAGGGAAAGGGGGCGGGGGGTAATAAACCGGGGCAGGAGCACGATTACTCCCGTATTGGGTGCGGATGGCGTCTATTTCGGCGAGTATTGGAGCTTTCAACTTATCTGCTTTGCGCAAATCCGTGATCTGGTCAAGAAACTGAATAGCGCCTTGGAATAGTTCCTCAACGTGATCTTTAGCAGATTGGTTGAGATTACCATGATTCGTTTCAATGAAGTCGCGAGCCTGGCGGATTTTACCTTGAGCTGCGTTAACCTGACGTGCATCCGCCGGGCTGACCACATTCTCCAATTTGGCTCGAATATCAGCAATTTGTGCGATTAGCGGAGCCGCATCTTCTGGGGAGATATTAGGGAGGCGTTGCTCCGCCTGTTGTAAGTCGGGTTCAACCTCATTGACTCGATATGGCGAGTCAAGGTTCTCGAGAGCCCGATTAAGGTATATTTTAATGGTTGAAATACTCATAGCTAAGATTAACAAATACGGGTAAAGTTATATGCGCTTAAGAAGATTGACTTCGGTGGTGACTAATTAGCTCCACGAGAGCTTGCTGCCGTGGTTTTATATTATTTTCTCTACAATCAAGAATTCGAAGGTATACGCAATCGTAATTGATTTGATTTGAAATAACTCAAGCCCTAGTATAAAGGGAAATCAAAAAGTCTGCGACTTTGGCCTTTTGCGGCTTTGGCTTGCACAGACTACCGATGGAAGGTTGTACAAAAAGTCGAATTTTAATACCGCCATTTAAAGCCGATTTGTCATGAGTGCTCTCGAAAGCCGTCCCGTCTAATAATGAGCTTATTCCTATTTTTTTTCGTGTCGATTTAGACCTCCACTTTCATGGTACTCCCATGAAAGCCGCGACAAGAGTGCAATCCAATGCGATTGCTGCCTCATCCCTTAGGCCCGCCAATAGGATTGAATGGGACGAGCATACCATAAAAAGATTTTCATCAATGGGTATATCCATATTATCCTACAGTTGCTCATCATCACGATCGAAATACCAATAAAAACTCCCACCGCGAATTATCAAAGTTTTCTGAGACGATGCGGAAAGAGACCCGCGTAAATCCTCAATCAGAAGATGGTAAGACCCAGGCCTCTGACTAGCTGATATTTGGGGCATAGCTTTGGGGCGTAAATCTTGATGTAGCGTCGTTTACCCCTCTCCGAAATTGCACTGCTTTGTTACAACAATGTAATTAGTTTTGGGAAATGCGCTTCAGGCATAATATTCACACTTCTGAGTCCATGTTGAGCAGGCCAATCGAACTTATCGAATGAAACCGCACAGAGCCCACTCGCTCTCTATTCAATGCAGAGTCGGATCTCAGCGGAAATTTCAAAGAGGGGTGGAGTAAACCCAATGCGCGGTTACAATGTGTTACATTATCCTCATCATGAAACTGTCTTCGAAGGAATCCTTCAGTTTATCCTCATGCTAATTGTTGCATCGAGGATACTGGACAAAAAACACAGATGCCCAGAGTGTTATAAGAGATGGTTCAAGCCAGCCAATTCAGAAAGAGAACACTATGGAACTCTGTATAATATCCATATCGCTCTAATGCCATTCGAACGGGTTTAGATAATACATGTTGCGAGCATTCACCCACCTGTTTAGGCTTGCTGAGAGCTTAGCAACTACTGGCGAAATGTGTTGTCGACACAAAATCACAACAGCCGTTTAGGTAAGCCGAGTTTGACAATTTGCAAACAAACGATTCAAAATCCCATGAAGTGCACGCCATTGTATCTTGACATGGTAGAGAATGCCATTCTGGTTGTCTTGAACGGAAGAGGAAATATTTTCCCGGTGTCACACGGCTCGTAACGTGGACTAAGATTAAAGCGGTCACAATCCGGTGCTCTTCTCACTCGGTTCCTCCGGTGCAACTTTTGGCCGCGTTTTCTTGGTTATAAGTGATTTAGTTGACAAGTCAAATAGGTGGAGGTACTTTTTTCTTTGCATCTATCGCAAACTCCAGTTTCATAGCCTGTGTCGCGACTTCATCTAGACCGACCTAAGATCTACGTCCCAGCATATATATACGCTATGACATCCCAAGAACTTCAGTTGTTAGCTCTCCCAATCAGATATTCGAGTAAGTTCAGCTACCTTGAAACCTAATCGCAATCTATCCTCGTTATATATATATTTATTACGTCCGTCTAACATAAACGCAGGTTGGACCGTACGGCCAGTGGTCCTTTTGGAGTACTTCGGTATCCCATACTCCGCTAAATTCTTCCGACTCGCAGATGCGGAGTCATTGGCTTCGGTATGTAGAAATCCAAATTGACTCCCGGTGGTTATTGACATCCAATACTGATACCGTAGCGTTATAGCTCCATGCCGAATCACCCTCAGGCCTCGTTCCGGTCATCATCGACAAACAACTTCCACACCCCGTCCATGACTCGCTAGCAATTGGGGAATACCTCCACGATAAATACCCCGAAAAGGGATTGTGGCCCAAGGAACTCAAATTGCGAACATATGGTCGTAGTATCGTCGCTGAGGTGCGTGTATCTCCCTCCACCTCCAACCCTTTGCAGTTTGTTATACTTTGTATTTATATACCTTAGTCTGACCCATTTCCCAATGTTCACGAATGTAGCTTCATTCCGGGTTTACTAATATTCGAACCGACTTTCCACATAACTTCGCTGTCAAGTATAATCCCCCCCCTCAATTCAGCGACAAGTTACTTGGGGAGGTGAAGCGTGTTCTTTCTATCTTTGATACGGCCCGCAATCTAGCGAGGGAAACCCTTGGCGATCGAGATGAAGGATTCTTATTAGGGTCCTTTAGTATCGCGGATGCTTTCTATTGGCCTGTTCTCTCGGTGCGTAATCGATCACCGTTATTCTCTTGATGAGCGTCGAGCTGATAATGACATATCGCAGAGGTTCTTCACGTATTCTGTTAACTTATCCTGCTCAACGACAGAAGCAAGCGAATACATCGCGAAGATGTGGAAAGAACCCACCTTGAAGAGAATTGGTGAAATGCAGCTCAGAGAAGTTAAGGAACACCCTGAATACAACGTTCCTTTCTATGATAACTATGTTCCCGGTAGCCAGATGGAATTTTGGGATATCGAAAAAATCATGGGATAAACCTACAGTATTTAACGCTCTGTAGAAAAAGACAAGGCCCTCCCCATGACGCTATGGCTCTAGGCCAGCTATAATCCTTAAATACATTCTTGAGACAGCCCTAACACCTTATTGGTCAAGAGATTAATATCCTAGTACTTTAAAGGTTGATATTGGTACATAAAGCTTTTGCCCAGAATTACAATAGCCGCTAGGATGGTCATATAAAACATGTGGGTCTATTAGCTATATTTCGCGGGATGTAAAGGACAACCTACGAAGGCGTAATCTAGCGGCTAGAAAATAAGGTTGCAGACTTGACGAGTCCTATGGTGTTGTAAATGGAATCTGGGATCCTTCGAGCTCTCGTGTTTCTCCTGAGCACTCAAAATTACAAGTATGTGAGGAATATTACTTCTTTTAATATCTACGCATCTATAGAACAAAATAGGCAGCCAAACACCATGCATCAATGCTCCTTTCCTATATCAAATTACTCTCAAACACAGAAGTGCAGATCCATGAAAATTTAACAATGATGTGATCACCATAGATTGTAGCTTATAGCAATAATGTGGGCTTATGCATGATTGTCTTCAACCCACCCAAAAGCCTTAGCCAGCCGGAGCCCAGGGCGCTCTTGACTTATCAGAACTTTGTTTGTACCGTGCAGATACCATTATACATACTTGATTGCCTACAACCACCAATTTGGAAGGTTCACAGTTGCACAGCGTGAGCTTATCTCGAGTAATACGTCACACCTGGGATTCATGCATGAATCGTGTTGTATCCCGCCCTGAGTTACAAGTTCCGACTCTGCGACGGAACGCTCACGCATACCACTATAATCTGGCGAAAAAAGTACAACTACTTATATGGATGGATGGATGTACGCGGAGGCAAACCATTGAGCACCTCGGGGCATCCCGAAAGATATTGACTCCAGTATGGGAATGCTGTGCGTACTATGCGACGTATAATTCGTAAATCTTAAATTTATAAAATGTTACAAATATATCGACCTTGCAACCCTTGCAACGTTGTTGCTTCGATCAAATTGACTCGGTTCCAGTGGTTACAGAATGAGGTATCTCCTCAGTCTAGACTAAGCCATGCTTAGCTTTGAAATTGCCAATCTGCACATGAGCCATTATGATCGCGTGATTGATCCAGCATGAATATTTAGCTCGTGTGTCAAGCTCCGTCAAGAATCCCTATTCACATCCACATCCTTTAAACTAAATGTCAACTTGAACCCAAGACCGCCCGGCCGTGTTGTGCAATCACACTTGTGCCATTTAAGCCAAGAACGATGATCATGCTTCTCCCATGGCTCTCCAATAAACCCAGCTGACTAACTTCCTAAATAACCCAAGTTCTTGCCGTGTCGTATTAACTTTAGAGTAATAAGGACGGATGGCAATCGTCCAGAAATCTCCTTCCTGCCTTTTCCAGAACGACGGGTAGGGCTAGGCACCAAGTCACGCCGTCGGTCGGGTTTTCCGAGCCTCGCCTATACGGCCTTCGACCTAGTTGTGGCAAAGACGTTCCACATAGATAAGGTTACCAATAGCTATAGAACGGATGAAAACGAATTCCACGACTGGGATTGGTGACGCACATGCCTCGAAGGTGTACTGAGGTGCGAGATCAACCAATGTTCCATTGGTAAAGGACGGTCCTTTCCATATTGGCCCTATATTTCGAGACCAGCATCCCTCGACGTTGACACTGCGCTGCATCGAGCGGGGTTACGAGCTCAGTCGACAGTCTTTAGTTTCGCGCGGTCAAAGCGCCCCTTGTGATCGGAACACATTTCTGACAGAATGGTATCATGAAAGACCTTCTCAAAGGGGAATCCATCCTGATGATATCGCGACAATCGGTATTGTACCAAGGCTTCACTCAGATGCCTGTAACAACCATCTCGGAACAAAGAGGCGGGCACATCTCAAGAATTTCCGGTCGGTATATCAAGCTTCTAGATTATAATCTTCGTCCTAAAGATCAACAGGTATATTGCCGAGCCGGGCCATATGCGCAATAGCAGTACGAAAGTGAACAAAGGCTGGAAAGGTATGTAAGTACTTATGTACATCAAATTTCGGATCGGAAGAGGCGTGCATGCGTTTCAAATCTTTCAAAGCTTTCGGGGTAATATATATGAGTTGAGCTAAGGTCAGAGGAGCACTCTCGTGGGTCAAAAACGTTAATTTGAGGGGGTTTAGCCATCGATAAAGCACAAAATTGACATTGACGAGGGATCCCTGTTCGTTTGTCCGCGCCGAGGCAGCAACATCTGCAACGTGATATCTAGCGCCGTATAAACGATATCAGCTACGAGGATTTCAACATCTCTCAAATAGAAATAATTAAGATCTTACGTGGGCAAAATAACACGGCCTTCATGATTTCTAGACGTTAGACAGCGGATTAATGTGTGGCAAAGTTAACGTGAGACCGGATTATTTGAATTTGGAGTGGCAAATGTTCAGCCTTCATGAAGCTCCTCCAGCGCGAAGGTGTATGTAGATCGGAATTCGGTTTCGACCGACAATTGGCAGATCAAATTCTGTCAGGAGAATCGCTGTACGGAAGAAATATTACTTTTTCGTATCGTGGAGATATTCCCTTGGATTCATGAAGTTGTGGCTAAAGAATATATGGTATAGCTTTTCCACGACTAGATCACCCGAAAGTAAAACGTCAAGACGTCGACAACTTCCTAAAACATCAATAGCTTACAGGCTAAGAATTTCGACACCATGGTTCTCAGGTTGCAAGGTTACCATGATACGAACCTTCGACTGTTATACGAAGGCCGCTACATGCCAAGGTCGTGGATGGTCCACGGGATACGTACGTGCTTAACTCCGCAATCCGGATGGGATCTTGCACAGTATCCCTACGATGTTCTCATCATCGACCTTTGATTAATCTAGATGTCGACAGTAGAGACATTTTTTCTATAAATCAAGCTCTTGCGCCCTCGATAGAATCAAATCCACTCCATCATCAGCAGCAGTCTTGAAAGCAATCATCTTCAGACCTATAGAGTTTCATCTTTCCTCCTAGTATCTCTCGATCTACAGTACACTTCCATAAATTTCAAATCCACAATGCTTACGAACGGCCTCATCTCCCTTCTAGCAATCGCTGGCTTGGCTACCAATGCCTTTGCTGGCCCAATCCGCAAGGTCTCCAATGCCGGCGCAGCTGGAGCCATCGCTGATAAATACATTGTCGTCTTGAAGAAGGGCCTCTCTGATAGTGCCGTTTCAAAGCATACCAATCGCATCTCATCCTTCCACTCCAACGTCGCTCGAGATCTCACAGGAGCTAGGGCCCATGGTGTTGGAAGGAAATTCAGATTCTCATCGACTGGGTTCAACGGATACGTTGGTGGTTTTGACAAGGCAACTCTCCAGGAGATCTTGAACTCTCCTGAGGTCGACTACGTTGAACAAGACACCGTTGTTACTACGTACGCTGAACAGACTGACTCCACCTGGGGCCTCGACCGTATCTCCCATGAGGATTACTCCGCTCCATACACTTATGAATACGATGAAACTGCTGCCGGCGCTGGTACCACCGTCTACGTCATCGATACCGGTATTCGCATCTCCCACGATGTAAGTTCTAGCTCTTGTTGCATTGAATATTATTCATCTATCAGTTGTCTAATAATATTATAGGAATTCCAAACCGTGAATGGTTCATCCCGAGCTACCTGGGGATTCAACTCTGTTGACAAGACTGATTCCGATGGCAATGGCCACGGTACCCACTGCGCTGGTACTATCGCTGGAAAGACCTATGGTGTCTCCAAGAAGGCCAAGGTTGTCGCTGTTAAGGTTCTTAGCGCTGGTGGTTCCGGTTCTACCGCTGGCGTCGTCTCTGGAATGAACTGGGTTGCCGAAAACGCCACCCCAAACTTCTCTGTTGCTAGCATGTCCCTTGGAGGTTCCAAATCTGCCGCCCTCAATACTGCCGTTGACGCTATCTTCAATGCCGGAATCACCATCGTTGTCGCTGCCGGTAACGAGAACCAGGATGCTAAGAACGTTTCACCCGCCTCCGCCCCCAACGCTATCACTGTTGGTGCCATCGATAGCAGCAACAAGATCGCTTCCTTCTCTAACTGGGGAACTCTCATCGATGTCTTCGCTCCAGGTGTTGGTGTCTTGAGCTCTTGGGCTACATCCGATAAGGAAACCAAGACCATCTCCGGTACCTCCATGGCCTGCCCACACGTCGCTGGCTTGGCCGCTTACTACATCAGCGCTTCCGAGGGTGGTGCCGATCCAGCAACCATCACCGATAAGATCACCAGCAGCGCCGTCAGTGGTCAGGTCACCGGGAACATCCGTGGCTCTCCAAACAAGATCGCCTACAACGGATATGCTTAAATAAACACTCCCCAAAGACTAATCACCAAGTCGCGATTGTTGCTAGCTAGCCACTAAGACAACGAAAAACCAATGACGATTCTTGCCAGAGAGAAGACGGGATATAAAGAATATGAGTTCTATGCTTGGCCCTTCCTTTAAACGTTGATACCCATTTGCTTCATTTTTGCTTCTTTGACATTATTTTTCCTCTCTTGCTAGGTTCCCGAAGTAGATTTGTTAAGGTCATCCCTAGCAAAGAAGCTGCGGTTTCCCATGCAATGCTCGACTATTTTCCATCTTCTTAAAGATACCCATTATGCATGTTATTTAAGACCGAATTTATATCTACTCTCAATCATATATATATACAAGTACCCATATCTATCAAATTAAGCATCCGGCCTAAGTACGGGAGCCCAAGACGGCTTATAATTAGCTGAGCTAGTGTTGAGACTGAGCGTTGGCTCCAAGATTCTGTCTGTTGTATTTTGAAACACCAACGCAGAGACCCATCTTCCATATTTAGCCTGTGAGATAGGACGATAGTGCGGTTTCGACTTTTCGATCAAAATTTCCCTAGTATCCTTATTCACGGGTGGATTTAACCGGTAATAAGATGGATTCTCAAGGATATAATAATATTATTTTCCATGAACAGCTAAAATAGATATCGGTCCTTAAAGCTCCAAGGAAACTCGGAAGTAAGCAAACTCCGAGCATACGCAAGGGACCTGAACAAGAATCGTATGAAGTCATTCGATTCCGCCACCCAGGCACTCGGGTGACATGGAAAAGAGAGCAAGAATCCACCAACGCACCATATATTCTTGCTCTCTTTTCCGTGTCACCCGAGTGCCAGGATACCGACGCACGGATGTTGTCGCCGGTAACTTTGTTTCTTGTTCAGATCTACCGATGCAACCTATGAACTACAGAGCCTTACGTCCCGGCATCGAGGCCTGACATCCTTCAGCCGCGAGTCATGCGGTGACATGAGACCTACACACCTAGTGATCAAGATTTTATTTGAATGTTTTGATTTTTGAGGAAGCGGGCATATATGAAAGGCAAAGCGCCTAGTGGAGCCCGGGAAAATGAAGCGAAGTTTTATTTTTGTCGCTTGATGAGATACCTTGGTGTGGACAGGGTTGAGGGATGAAACGAAGCAGCTTGGCGAACTCGTCGAAACGATTGGTAAGACTGCACACAACTGCCGTGTCCTTCCTCCAAAAACAAGAGTCCTTGGTTTCAAGCACTTGTCGCTCCGCCGGCTTAGTTCCCGAGGAACCAGCAACAAAAGAAAAAAGGTGTGTAACAGCGCCAACCCGTCGTTCCGAAAATGACAGTAATCCCACCTAAAACAATGCCAACGTTTCCACGCACTATAGTTCAGACAAATTCTAGAAGCACTGTACTGGCGATTTGCTATGATATCCCATGACCACCAATGATATCACTCTTTAATATGGCCTGGAAACATGTTCCGGCGCACCATAGCACAGTGGCTTGAGCGCTCTATATCGTATGTTATAAATGGAGGCCTTCTTCCTACAATGTTCCTATTCTATAACTTCTTCCAACCAGCATCAAAAGCTTAACTTCTACTGGCACCGGTTGCTTGAATAGTCTCATCTATATAATCATGAAGACTGCTGTGATTTCTCTTGTTTCCGCTTTCTTGGCAGGCAATGCTGCTGCCCATTCTACTTTCCAGCAATTTTGGGTTAACGGAGTCGACCAAGGTACTAGCTGTGCTAGACTGCCACTCAACAACAACCCCATCAGAGGCGTTACTGGTGCAGATATTCGATGTAATGCAGGAACTAGCCCAGTTCCCGGAAAGTGCACTGTTAATGCTGGCGGCACAGTCATCGTTGAAATGCATGCGGTATGCATCTTATTTTCACGAAATAGCAATATGCAACATGTTGACGTCCTGACTAACACTTCTAATCAATCTAGCAATTCAATGATCGAAACTGTGCCAACGAGGCCATCGGCGGTCAGCACTATGGCCCAGTCATCGTTTACATTACTAAAGTAGATGACTCTTCCAGAGATTCTGGAGATGGCCTGTGGTACAAGGTTTATGAGAACGGCTGGTCCGCCGTTCCAGGAACTTCGAGGTCAGATGACGACAACTGGGGTGTAAAGGACATGAACAGATGCTGCGGAAAGGTTGGCGTGAAGATTCCTTCCGGCATTCCATCCGGAGATTATCTTGTCCGCGCCGAAGTTATCGCTCTCCACTCAGCCCCATCGGAACCCCAGCCATACGTTACCTGCTGTAAGTAAACCCGATAGTTGAGTGTCTATCGCATTCGGATCCAGCTAACCGTCTCTAGACCAAATCACCGTGACTGGAGGTTCGGGATCGCTACCATCCTCTGGTGGCGTTAGATTCCCAGGCGCTTACAGCGCTAGCGACCCAGGAATCGGTGTCAACATCCATGGCCACTTGACTCAATATACTATTCCTGGCCCCCCTGTTATGGCCGGTGGCAGTTCCGACACAGCCGGAAGCATGCAATGCCCTGCCACTGGAGGAACAGGAAACCCAACCACTTTGCGCACAACCACTACCGCCGCGCGCACAACTACAACCACTACCGCCGGCGCTACTACCGCTCGCACAACTGCGGTGACAACATCCGGCGGCGTAAACTGCCCGGCAGGTGGCTGCAGTGGTCCCACTTGCTCCCAATGGGGACAGTGCGGCGGAGTCGGCTGGACAGGATGCACCAACTGCGGCGTAAGTTAACCGTCTTCATATATATTATCTAGAAGCCCTTCACTAACTCTCTTCACAGAATTTCCGCTGCGTCAAGCTCAACGACTATTACTCTCAGTGTCAGTAAATAGAGCCTGGGGGCAAAACTGCCGTGTACATAAATCAAGCTCGTGGACTCTTCGCCCAGGGTTAGCTCCATAGCCTTAACTTGTAAATAGCATTTCATAGAACCAATTTAACTTAATGCCACGGTACATCGATTTTAACAAGGAATTCGCGCAAAATGGCGGGAAAGTCGATATTCTGAGAGCGAGAGATACATGCATATGTATGACCAGTATTAATCGATAATTGATCGACTAGGACCAAAACCTCAAGGCGGAACAGAAGGATGTCTAGCTACCTGCATGCTGAATTTTAATACGGTAGAAGAGACCACCGTCGCCAACACAAGAAGGGTCACCGAGACTATGTCGACTCCACTTGTCTCCTCGGCTAGTCTCGTCCTAGGCTGAAGGTCGAGAGTCACATTGTATTGCTCGGAATGCAACCCGAAGGTCCAGCTTGTGTTGATCTATATAATCATCTCCTCACTAATGTATAAGAAGCGCAGCCCTCTCAAAAACAAAGTACCTACCTTAGCAAAAGTTGTACAGAGCATCGCCCGACCGACCGATTTCTCACGGCAACAGGATCTCTATCATTTATAATACGTTTCGGCCGCGCGGAAACAGCATGTAGATCTCGATCTCCAGCGTGGCCCAGCGGGTGGGTCGACGTCAAACCATCGATGGCCATCTCGCATGGTCATATTGTCCTAATTCGGTAACATCCCGATTCAGCGTCCATGTGTTGCCCCGGCCAACAGAAACCAACCTTCAAAATGCAACCACAACATTCTTCAGATTTGAATTCAAGCTCCAGAAGTCGACTCTAGACCCCTGACCGAAGACACCAATAAAATCTTCATCTGATGTCCTCTTCCCCCTCCTCGATCATGCATCCCCAAGCCTTCTGGCTCTTCCATCCGAATGCTCCTTGTTAGTCCCCGTGAACATAACTCTATCTGTCACGCGACGGCAAAATGCCCCAAATATGGTATAGTTCGATCTTTCAATACAGGAACGGGAGCTCCGCAGCCTCTGATGCAGGATTTGGACCCTTTTTTTCCCCAGGAAAATTATCAGCTGAACCCCTCTATCATTCGGACTTTCTCCGCCAACTCTTTGCGGGGTTCCTAAGGCACTTTCCAGAGCTGTGCCTCTATACATAGGACCGAGTCAGCTGCAATATGATGCTGTTTCGTTCCCTGTATTACGGAAAGTATCTGAGGCATGCATCTGACCAGATCAGAACAAAGAGCCTTTTTGAACAAATAAAGCGTGTGTGCCGACGACCGGGCTCTCGAAAAAGTACTTAAAGACGACACCCCCAGTAGAGCAACTTTGGAAATGGCTCGCGTGATGGCGAATACCAATACTCATTCACCGAAATTCGTTACTATAAATTAATTATATAATAGTTAACTCATAAAGATCATTAATTCGACCCGTCCTTAAATTTTCGCCAAAATGGGCTGGTTCAAAAGTCAGAATCAGACCCAGCTAGATGTTCCAGGAAGTGCGGCCGCGGGACCACCGGCTACAAATACCACCACCACCACCACCACACATCCAGACGAAACAGAAGCATTACTCCCCAACGAATCCTACAGATTAGAGCGTCGTAGACCAAGTGGTAGTAAATTATGGCTTCTACCAGCTGTAGTTTTCCTCTTAATGATGTCCTTCCTCACCCGCGAGGGTGCTATGTGGTTTTTTAGAAGTAATTGGGTCTCCGAGGTGGGCTTCAATCCAACCCCCCAAAAACAGCTAGAGCTAAGTCAAAATTGATAATGTACTAAATATTGCTATCAAATATCAGGCACGAACTCTTTCTATAGATATAGATTACACGGACGGCCTAGGATTTTGGATAGAAGGCAACGGCAAGGTTGAGGGAACCATTGACGTTGTAGAAATACCCCAGGACCAGAAACCAAGACTAGACGTCGAGGTCTTCACCTTGACATGGGACACTGAAGGATTTAAATCAGTACAGCTCGAAAATACTGAAGGCTGTGTGATCTTAAAGGTATCTAATCAATCCTTCTCGAACACCGAGAGGAGTCTTTGAGTGCCTAACTATATTTCTCCAATCAGTGCGAACGAGCCTTCCAAAAATCCTTCTTCCAGCGATCAATACCCCCTGTAAAAGTCCGCGCAAAGCTCTACTTGCGACCTGGAAAGCTTCAAGACCTCCTCCTCGTGGCCAGCAATCTAAACATCAATCTCGACATCCCCAATATCCAATTATCCAGCGCAAGCTTCACCAGCGACTTGGGCGTTATCAAATCCATCAACTATGTAAACTCCTTGGACATTGAACTACATACTATCTCCGGCGATATCTCTGGAAAATTTGACCTCCACGAAAAACTCCGCGTTCGAACGGAGAGAGGAAAAGTTAGCATCCAGGTCGCGCCAGGTGAAGGCGAGGGCTACGCTTCCACCGATATAAAAACATCAAGCGGTAACATCGCCATCAACTTCGACGAACCAAAAACGCAGCGGAGTTATAGAACCACACTTCACGCTCATTCTGGGAGCATCTCAGGTCGCTTATTCCTAGGGAAAGGTCTCTCCGCAAAGTCCCAAACCGGTGATATAGACCTCCACATTATAGGAACCGGCTCGAGGGAACCATACCTAAAAACAAATACCGAATCTGGCTTAACAAGAATCACAATCGAAAAAAGCCCCCTTGAAAAGATCCTCAGCACGCATACCGCAAACAGTGGGGATATAAACCTCTTTTATCCATCAACTTGGGAAGGAGAACTCCACGCAAAGTCCGGGACGGGTGATATCCGCATTCAAGGCGATGGTCTCGAAATCACACAAGATTCTGAAGGACTCGTAAGAGGTCAAGAGATTTGGGCAGAAAAGGGCAATCCTGCAAATGGCCGTCTGATGACGCGGTCAGCAACAGGTGATATCCTAATTTCAATAGCATAGCATTACCATCGGCGCGGCGCTACTCTTTCTGCATTGTCTTATTTCGAATTTTGCGGTCGCAACCGGCGCTAGCATTGGTTTTTTCTTACTTGTCTTTCATTCATTCAGGAGTTCAGGCGTCTTATACTAGATGGTACACACGTCATCTGCGTACACACATGTTTATATATGATCAATACTAGCTAAATAAACCAAACAGCTCCAATACACCCAAGATCCCCAACGTATATTAATAGAATAGGCTCCCAGGCCCATCTACGCCCGCAGGGCCTCTTGCACCGCCCTCCCCCACACAATTCTCCGCTTATAGACCCCCAACCGTTCCGGAAAACCATCAATAGCAGTTGCCAAAGCCTCACCCTGTCCTTCCGCCTTAATCCTCGCAAGTGGAGTCATATAAGTCCTTACAAAGAACACAATATCCCTCGAAACTGGTAGCCTCAACAAAACCTGTCTCTCAACTCTCAGGTACGTTTTCTCAAGATCCACGGACTCCAGTTCCTCTGGCAAATCTTCTCCTTCATAATGGTGATTCCCAGTTGGCAAGAATAACTTTTCATGCGTCGATATCGTCCACTATTCCTTACAAGTTAGCCCCGGCAATTTTTATGTGGATTGATGTTCCAAGAATTTATTCATCAAATAACTTGCATTTAATCTCCGAACCCATCTTCCAACCTCCAACCTCCCAAAAAACCGATCCATACTATTCGCAAGTTTCTCTTTAAACATAGGAACCGGCCCATGAATCTCCCTAAGTTCCATCCCCATCTTCTTGCTTGAATCGAACCCATTTGGAAAACACGCTATGAACCCTTGAAGACTATAGGTCTCCTTTCCACTTTCCTTCTGTAAGATCAATATATCCTCTTCTACTGTAGTCGCTAAGATCTTCAGTGCCTCTATCGAATTTTGAGGAGGTAGAAGAGGGTACGAATCTCCAGATACATGGTTCTTGAATTCTCCGTTAAAGGTGCTAGTCGTAAATAACCCCGGAAACCGAGACGGAAGATGTTGAGGTAGAATGTATGAATACAACTCTTTTATCGCGGGACTACAGCGTTCGGACGCTCCAAGAGACGTATGAGGAAAAGCGTTAACAATTTGTTTGCGCAGGGCGATTCGAGACGGGTACGATGAATCAATAAGGAAAAGATCATTCGGAGCGCACTTCTCAAGCCCCATTGTCATGTGATAAATTGGTTTATAGGGTCGAAATGGGTGTGGTGGCGTAGAGAGGATATCGACGTCTAGAGGAGTGATAGGTTCTTGAAGGAAGCTAGGTGTCTACGATGCCGATTGTTAATATAAGGTACTTCTGTAGATATGTGAAATTTCTATTTACTATCTATAGTAATTGTAGAGTTTAAAGGGGCTCTTTACAGTTGCCTGGGTCGTTTTGCGGTCGGGATCCCAAAGACTATATGTCGATGGAGCTTCCTGGACCTTAGCTGCTTCATTCGCCTCCTTACTCTTGATATATATGAGCAACAGGACAGCCGCAAGAAGTGGAAAGAACGTATAAATGAATGACTCGTCCATAGCGAATGGCCCCATCTGGTAGATCGCCATGGCCGCGATCTCCACAGAACCACTTGACAAGAATGAGAACTTAAAAACACAAGATATGGATGGAGTGGCCGTGGAGAGACTTAAGTAGTAGATTTACCCAAGTATAAATTATATTATGGATGTTAGAAGCCGAGGTGGTCAACAAACCAAAAGCCCTCGATGGGCGTATTTATACGCTATAGACTGGTGGAGCCCAAGGAGGAGCCCGATAAAGGACTTGGCACTTAAGATCAGCTCCCTCGATCGCGTTCGGAGATTCCCGTAGACAGTGCAGTGGATCTGCAGATCTGTCTACGACATGCATCGACCAAATTAAATCACGATGAATCTGCGAATATAGGAAGCAAGAGCCTGCAATGAAAACTCGAGCTCATGAACAAGCCATTATTTATCTTGCCTTCCATTAACTAATCAATATTACTAGCGCTGATACTATAGTACAGATACAAAACATGATGTAAAAATACAGTCACAGAAAAATGCTGAGCCGGAGCAAAATGCTACCTACGCAAACAAGAGCGATTCGCCCGTTTGGAGAATAACAGAACCAAGTTCGCTAGCCATATACACCGCAGCATCCACGCCCCGCTAATCTACAAATAACTGATAACCTACGAATTGTTGTGGTGTCCTAGGTGGGACCACCACCTTCCGCTTTTCTTGGGTGTCTCCTTTGGTGTCTCCTTCGCGACTTCCTTAGCTTCTGTGTGTTTGGCTTCCTCGACGGGCGGTTCTGTGGAGCCGCCCTCACCCCGCCATGTGACGGCTTGTCCGATTCGAGTCTTGCATTCGATACCTGCGCCCTGAACACATATGCAAGGGAATATATCGTTGATGCCCAAAAAGTAATCCGGCAGAAGTGTTTCGAATAGGTTATTAGCACCATGCGGGTGGGAAATTGTCAGCTTTTTTACTCCATTGACGACGAAAAATACTTCGGTAGGGACGGGTTGCAGATCCTTGGGTTCGGCGTAAGGAACTTCCTCTTTCCCGTTCGTTGCAGAAGATTTTCGACGGAATAACTCCTTAGACTCCTTTTGGGAGATCGGTGGTGGTGTCGTAGGAGGTGTAGGAACCGGTGTAGTACCGTTCGAGGGCTCTTTCTCGAGGTCAACTTTGTAGGTAATGCCAATTCCTACAATATCGCCCACTCCAGCAGCGAGGCTATGTTTGGTCGGATGGCCGTCGATGTATATCAATCCACCGTTTTCAGAAGACCAAAAGATACCGTCCCCGGCGGTGGAGCAGGGAAAAGGGAACTCGTCGATTGGACGCAGAGAGGACCGTCGTCGGATGAAAGGAACCGTGTCAGGGGTGACGGATTTTACCACAAACCCAATCGCGATGGCAGCGCCGGTAGGTCGACTAGATATCGGGTGCGTATGCGATATCGAACGAGAAAGTCCCAAATCTGCCAAGCCATCTTCACCGGAAGGTGCGGTGACCGGCTTCGGTGAACTTGGAGGGCTGCTAACAGGTTTACCGGAGGATGCAGTCCGAGAAACAGGGCTTCCTTCTGAATTATCCACGCTTGAGAATTTAGAAAATCCCAGAGAGCGAAGTTGGGCTTCCCAGTATATTGTACGATCTGCCAAAGCCACATTGGGGTTGTAGTAACGGGCTGCGTAGAGGGGCAACCCTGTCGTGCTATCCCAAGTGTTTTTATCGTCGTCGCCGCTCGCAGCTGTGATAAGTTGTAGAAGGGTGCCTTTCGTATGTATCGACTCGGCTGTTGTAGAGAATCTATAATTCGTTGTGGGCGGTCGTTCGAAATGAAGGAAATTCCCAGAAGTTATTGTAAGGCGCTGCTGGTGCGAATACCACTGCGCCTCAAGGATTATCTTTTCAGCGACATCGAAATGTACCCTGGGGCGGCCTTGAGAGGTGACACTGTTGGATCTGGGAGAGAGTGGTGGTGAAGCGAGTGAAGGCTCGTCGTCCTCGCCTTCACTGCTGATGGAATTGAGTCGGACCACGCCCGGTTGCTTCAGAACAGAACTCCTCCTTCGATTTCTGGGGGCTGTTACAGTATCAGGCTGAGGAGTCGAATGGTTGCTTTTCAGTAAAACCGGTATACCCGCGTCTGCATTGTCAGCGACGACCTCAGCGGCAAGGGCGGTAGCAAGAGCTTCAGCATCGGACGCTCTCGCAAGCTGCGGAATGTTGGATACGGCAAGGTAGTTACTCTGGGCGTTCGACAGAGACTTGCTAGATAACGAGGAAGGTTTAGACTTCTTTTTCTTCGTCTCCTTTTCTTTCTTCACATCTGACCTGACGTCGGATTTGTCTCCCGAGCCGTCCGTTGGTGCTTGGGTGGTAGACTTGGAACTCCGGAACAGCTTCTTCATGTCTGGGCTGGACGTCCTTTTCGGGGTCGCGAGACAAACGCAACGTAACCGGCAGGTCCGAAAAATCGATGACGAAAAAGGTCTTTAACTAGCTTTTTCAAACTTGCAATGACTCGAGTTTAGCTATCGACCTAATCCTAGTCGCCCTCACGCAGGGATACTGAGAAGATGTGACGGTCTATGTTGTATGTATATATGTAGTGGTCAGTAGAATATGGAAGAGGGTGCGATGGGGAATCAAGTTGAGTTGGGTCGATCCGGGGGTATACGGTAAAGTGGAATAAAGTTGGCGGGGGAAATCCAATCCAATTCAGGCCAATAGGCACGCTGCGGCCCAGGTCAGAGCGAATCAATTTGAATTCAAAGGCGACAGAATCTATGCATAGCAGAAAGCGCGATGCGATGCCGAGATATCGGGAAAGCAGAGGTAACTAAAATGTTGAAAACATGTATGTATGTGAGTATAGTAGATTATAGACAGGAAGATGGATTCGATTCAGGCTGAACAAGAAAGAGAAAAGAGAAGACTTCCAACCGCTACTTGCTGCTCGCCTGCAGACTAACGGGTAACTCTTCTCGCAAGTCAACTTGGAGGTACTCTCTTTGCAAGACTGTGCGGGGACTGCTCGAAAACGTGGAGACCCACAGCTGCTCGCCAGACCAGACGAGACAAGAACGTCGTTTTAATTTTGGGCCCGAGCGCCTCTCTCTTTTCCTTCATCTCGTTAGTATTGCGCACTGGCATCATGCTCATGTCATGCTACCGGCTACCGATCCTGCATTACATTGTTAAGAAGTTAATTCGAATTCCCTCTGGCCACCCATGGCAAGCGCCTGTTGACGTATGTAAGCACTGCATCTTGTATCTGGTACAGCTGTATACCGATATCTCCAAATTTGCAAACCCTCGAGCGGGTTAAAATCCGTAGAACAATCTCCGAATCTAAGCAATGCATAAGCACGTATGAACAACATCAGCGTGATCATCTGAGCTGTAGTGGAGCTCGCCACCGTAATTTAAGCTTCCATATCCGAAATTTAGCTAATTCCCACGTGCCAGCCTCCCACTAACTAATAAATGCCTGCGCCGGCTTCTTCTCCTTCCGACAACACAATTCACTAAATACATATACCCTGCCGGCTGCCTTAGCCTCGATTGAATCGCGATCAGATCATCAGGCAAATTTCTCATCAGATACTTCTCTTGTGCACCAGGCATTGGTCTCCGTTCATTTCATTTCAAACCAGAATGTATCTGCCATGAAGTCTCATCTTGGGCGGTTGCGTTCTTAGCTCTCTAGCTTAGGCTCTTAGCCTCAATTTGCAATTAAGTTTACAAAAACGAGCCTTAGTTAATGTGACCAGTGGCAAACACCTCAATTGCTCGAACCCACGCTCATTCCAATGTCGTGGGTTTTACAGGGCCTTTCATATCTACCATCATAGACTAGCTTTAAGCCTTTCGTGGTTATATCGTCGTCCAAATGTTTCCCTTGTCTGATCAGGTCCTGAAAAAAATATTCCCCAGAGTATCACGAAATACTAGGTGCGCCACGCTTCTTTCCTATATACATGGCTAAGTAAATAGCTTAGTCGCCCCATTCAGTTGAATCTTAGACCGAATAAGTGCCAAATGCATGGCATAGCAGTTGCCATACACAAAGCCAAAGTTTTCCGCCAAAGGTTCCATTTCCTACGCACTGAAACTCGATTCCAACTACTGTCTTGGTCGATTGATACTAGCAAGCTCTTCCTCCACTTAATATACATATATTGTACTTACCCGTTTCAATTGATCAATCAACGATGAACCTGAAGGATTTTATGTCAAAATAAAGCCTTAATTAAGCCTTCTCAATTTTTTTGTAATCCCTGGCCTTTTCCTTAGGGAAATATCGTCGGACAGACGGAAAACTAACAGTCGATGGTAGTAGATCCGGATGAATAGTCGGGACATGGTCGGCATCGATATTCTATATAACCGACTTCACCTACTTCTTAGTACCCGCTGCTAAATCTTCTCGGTAATTGTATCGCGTAACACAAAGGACCTCGTCCAATTGCAATCTTAAATTACGGACCTATTGCTCCTCAGCAAAGCTTAGCTAGCTATGGTGCTTGTCTAGTAGTTTGGTCGTCGCAATGCATGCAATGCACATAAAACTTGTTATTCATATTACCCGACAAAATTCCCCGAGGCAGAAATACTGCTTTAAAAGGCCCCCAGCAGAATTATATAAGCTTAAACTTAATTAAACTGATACCAAGAAAGCTCTTGTCGTCTCCGGAACTACAGATCTGGATCCGAGAGCCTCAACTGTCCCAATATATTCAATTTTCAAATCAAATGCCTACAATCTTCAATATATATTTACGCAATCATAAACAGGGGTTTGACTGCGGTATACTATATGGGTGTAATGTCCACAGCCGGGATTGCTAGATATATATGATCCTATCCAAAGTTCAAGCATTCCCAAACCCCCCGTGCCATCATCTGATCGATCGTCACTGACAAGGCTATTTTCAAGGAGGATAGGGCCGAGTAGGAAAAGCTGTAGGCCATAGGATATGAGCGTCAATGTTTATACGCCGGGGCAGATCCTCAACTTGATACAAGCAAGGCTGACAAAGCATGGGGACCTCACCCTACCTTCCCGATAATGTCCTCCCTTCTCGTAAAAATATAGGAACTAATAACCCAAATTCTTTCTATGATTCGGCTTACTTGAAACTCGAACTCGTCTCCAAGATGGAACTTCCGGGGAATTTAGCCGTCGGATGAAGCCACCGTCGGATCCCCACATACTCGACGACCACCACCACTAGGACGTGGACTATAACAATATGCATCTCCCTGTATCTTCAAAATACACCATAAAAAATAGTGTTTACAACGCAATATTGTATCTGTGAACCCGCTTTAGCCTGCTGGATTACGGCAATGCCGTAGCGGTAGGTGGTTATCCGTCCGTGACTCGACCTTCGAAAATTACCAAATCAATGCGAGCTACCACGGCTATATAGCTTTATATAACCGAGTATCTGTATAAGAACTCTATAAATATGAGTATTAGGCCTCTTGTTATCCAGAGTAAATCCTCTATCAGGCCGAACCACATCTCTCTATATCAGTCTATAGACCTCTGATCATCCAGCAGCTACCCAGGACCCAAGCTCACTCAGAATTGAAACATCCATCCAAATTTAAAATGCAGTTGACCACCGCCGTCCTTTTGCTAAGCGCAAGTTTAGCTTCCGCACACTGTAGGCCACACCTCTCTATTTCATTAAGATAATGATGCCTCTAGCAATCAACTAATCTAATAAACCCACACGAAGACACTTTCCCGGGCCTCATTTTCGGGGGCGCCGTCTCAGCTGACTGGCAATATGTCAAGATGACTACCAACAAATACAGCCACGGCCCTGTCACCGATGTCACTTCAAGCGATATGAGATGCTACAAGGACCCGGCAGCTCCCATTGCCTCCACGGCTAATGTCGCAGCTGGTTCACAAGTTGGATTCCGTGTCGATACATCCATCAGCCATCCCGGCCCCTTGTTGTTCTACTTAGCCAAGGTTCCGTCCGGAAGAACAGCTGCTAACTGGGATGGTGACGGTGCTGTTTGGTTCAAGATCTGGGAGAATCGGCCAACAATTACTTCCTCCTCCATCAGTTGGCCATCCGGTGAGCCCTCCCCATGCATTTCAAAAGACAAACAATATACAAAATCACTGGCAGTTTTTCTAACAAACTAATAGGCCAAACACAAGTCTTCGTGACTATCCCAAGCTGCATTCCAGCCGGTGAATACCTCCTAAGAGTTGAACACATCGCTCTCCACAGTGCTGGCAGTGCTGGTGGTGCACAGCTCTACCTTGCTTGCGGGCAGATCAATGTCACTGGAGGTGGAAGCAAGGCAGGAACTCCCTTGGTTTCCTTCCCAGGCGCATATAAGGCCACTGACCCAGGCCTTCTCATCAACATCTACTGGCCAATCCCAACTTCTTATACCAATCCAGGACCGAAGATCTTTACTTGCTAATTAATCAACGAAATAAATATAAATGTTGGCGATATTTGAAGGCCTCAAGACGGCACCGTTACCAAGGATCCAAAGAGATGCAGTGCATTTCATGTATATATAGGATATTTCAATGTATATAGCCGATAATTGATATCTATCCCATGGGCCCATAGCTGCCAAGTTCTCCAAGCTGAAGCGGACATATTGGCATGACGGGTTTGGGGGGGCTCCCTCACCCAAGCTTCTTCATCATCATGCTGGCAACGTTAACTATCATACTATCACTCCCAATTACACAATATCCAACAGATCAGGTACGCAGTACTTCAACAAGACCAGCTCCAGCCAAATTAATCTAAATGCCTCAGCACGTACGAAAGAAACACTTAAATTTAATTCTGCATCGAAACACTATCGATATCGATGTTTACAACACCAACTCTGGTAACAGGACTGGTTAAGCACATATAGCTCAAACCCCAGCTACGCTACTAACATCGCACACCGCCCAGAGATCCCCAAAAAAGGTTCCGAAAGGCTAAAGGCCAGCTGAACCTGCGGGAAAGGTTCTGAACAGATAAGGACCCACAATCTTTCCTGTTCGAGATCAAACCAACACCAGCGAAGCCGTGGCGCCCAATCATGTTCAGCTCAGTTAATGAACGAATAGGATACACCGACATGCACACCATGCAACTCAAGTTATCCCGGCAAGGCGATTTCCCCCAAAAGAATAGAATAGAACCCTCCAGCTGGAAAAACATATGTATGCACGCTTACGAGACTCACAGCTCGATAAATGCATGGCGAGAAAGAAAAGATCGTGAGCTCTTGGCTAGGGCTGAAAAGATAACCCCGAGGGTGATTCCGACCCAAGGCGGTTACCATGCAAAATTTGGAAACCCTTTTGTGCGACAGCTGATCTTTAAAAAGGATTGGCGATTTCCTGTCTCGATTATTATATTATCAACTATCTCCATGATTCACCAGGCCTGAGACCGCAACAACGACACCCTAACAACCAAGCGTTTGCGTTGTTTTCAAAATGGTTCTTTCATGCTCGTTACTTCTACCGCTGTCACTCCTCGCTGTACTAAAGTCGAGTGTAGTCGCGACTACCACTGTCACTATCCAGCCCAATGACAGTATGAACTTCAGTCTCTCTTCATTTGCTCTGCTATGTTACAGAACTGCTACGTTGAAAAGATTGCATTACTGACCAATGTATTGAGAAAACAATAGCTCGTTCAACAATAACCGCGTGCGGCGACTGCGATATAAATTACACTATCGTCTCAGTTTCATGGGACCCAGTCGTTTCCACAATCTCGGCTTACGGTGACGCGGAGTCAGTCGCATGGACTAAATCCATGTACTTCCAATACTTCGCCCGATATTCTCCACAATTCGTTGTCGACGGCTCAGTCGCCACGGACTGGAGAGCAGAAGATTTTACCGCAACATGTTGCGACGACGCGTGGTATATTCAGTCTGGTGTTACGGCAGAATATAATACTCAAACGTCGACAGGAGCAGAATGTGAACCAACAGAGGTTGTGTTTACGGGTAGAAAGGTGGGCACTGCTGTGGCCGTGATTCCAACAGAGTTACCGTTTCTAGAACATGATTGTGAGGTTTCGACCACTGTTGTTAAAACTATCTTGACACAAATAACGATCGTTGCGGCCGGCGTGAACCCTCCAACGGGGACAGCAGATGGTCAGAGGACCTGGTGGGACGAGGATTCGGACCAAGTCACAATTCTGCTTCCCCCAACTCCAACCCGTAAGTTCCCCATTCGTTCATCATTAAATACCTATATGCGGGAAAGGTTGATCGTATATTGATATTAATATGCACAGCGTTTTTCACGATCTCTAAATGTGAGTTCTTCGACGCCACCTCCTGCTCCTGGAGCGTCGGAACAATGAATCTGCGATGGGAGCAGTCCACAATCACAATCACAGGGGATGCCAGCGAACTTTCATCTCTTGAATCTGAGTTGGCGACATCCATCGATGACCAAATAGATTGGGTAAATGCCACCGCTGCTTGGAACACCTTAGCGGAATCTGCCACCTGTTGTTCAGAGTCTATCTGGCTAGACCGTTCGGTCACTATCAATTATGGCGGTTGGTGCCCAACAACGGTTCTGACAGGTTATAATACTATCCTACCCATCAGCATTGCATACCGCTTCGTGAATGGTACCGAAGCGGATTGTAATATTAATATCGGCGGCGGGATTGCATCTACAAAGACTGCTATATATATCGAAAAAGTGACAGCAGATATTGGACCAGGGCCAACCACCACCCCGCCAGCGACGAGGGAACCCGACACTGTACCAACATCTACGACAAGCTCCGCTATCACTAAAGAAACAGAAGACATCGATCCTACGTCTCGGACTACCCCGAGAACCACTCTTAGAACCACTCCTAGAACTACTCCAAGAACGACCCCGCGTGTTCCTCCTACTCGACGTCCTACAACTACTTCCAGCAGACAAGCTCAACCTGTCGAAAGCCCCCAGCCAGAGCCACCTCGCCCTTCTCCGTCAACAAATAGGCCAGTTCCAACTCCCGTTAATCCACCTACAAGCAACCAAAATCCAGTAGGGCCAACTCCTCCCAACAATGGACCAATTGACACTCCGACTCAATCGCCAAATAACCCGCAAAGCTCTTCGCAAAATAACTCACCTAATACCCAACCGAATAACACGCCGAATACAGAGCCAAACGGTCGACCTAATACAAACAACCCACCGAACACTCCTCCTCCTCCTCCTCCTCAAGAGCCTACCGGACCAAACAATCTACCGCAAAGCAGCCCTTCACCGAACGAGAACCCAGTTACACCTGTTTTCCCTGGTACTCCGGCCCCAGAACCATCTCTGTCGACAATCTTCAGCAGTATCCCAATTGTAATCACCACCACCGACGACTCGGGAAGCCAAACTGTCATATCCACATTCACAACCACTCCTATAAGCACTGCCATCAATGTCATCACAACAGACGATCAGGGAAATACAATCACAACTCGCATCACATTTTCCAGTCCAACAGCTACAGCACTGCCTATCGATGGTAACACAACTGAGGAACCGGGTCCAGAATCGCAGACCCCCTTAGTACCAGAGCCCGGTGTAACATCGAGGACTACGATATTAACTTTAACTAGCCGCATAGGTAGCGGTATCACCGTCGAAACAAAAACTACTATTATAGTTGAGCCAACTTTTGGATCGGAGACCACTTCAACCACAAGGGGTGCACCCGGCACAGGGACAGAAGCTGGTTCACCAGAAGTTACCGGCTCACCATCCAGTGCAGTTTCGAATAAGTGTTTGTCATTATCTTTGGCCGCTGCTGCTTGTTTCTTAATATTTGTTTTGCAGTTTTTCTAGATTCTTATCCCGCACTCGCATTTAACTTCTTATTACTATTGTCATATTAATAGATCTACCGTAGCACTGAATGCCGGGATAGGCTTGATGGCCACTCTTTTATATCTGTGCGAACTTTCATGTACGAATTTATGATTAATGATCAGAAACTTGCAATTGAAGATTGCGACGCACCATTACGGATGTATATTAAACTCCTTGAGCTCTAGCTATAGCTTCTAGAAGCCAACCGGACTTACTCAACTGATCATCGGCATATGCATACTGTTATGCAATAAATACATTTGCTGTAACGCCCCTCCCGTCAACCGCAATAAATTATATTCTGGGTTTCTTAGCTTATGTGGTTTGCTAGCTAATACCAGTGCTGCCCAAGAACGACCGCCCAACACAAACCCCGACAAAATTAATATGTGAAAATCCCCAAACACAAACAATGCACTCCACCAATCCGCATGGTGCAGCGTAACATCCTCTGGCGGAATCTGCAAGCCTGACAATTTCCAAGGGTCAAGTGGATTCCATGGCCTCAAAACCCAGTCTATTCGAGCTCGAGCCTACAAATGGTCGCATAGGCAGGCAGCTAGTAGCTGAGTTGGCTCATTCCGATCCACGACCTTTGGTTGATAAACAGAGGACCCATCCCACCGTTCACCGTTTGGTCGCCTCTGCTTCTCGTTCCAGCACCTAAGAAGCTCCCTTCTCCCTTCACAGTAATACTACAACCAGCGAACATGGTCGATAAGGACGTCGTAGATAGTACCCGAAAAGGTCCTCAGAGTCTTGGGTTAACGGCGGTTCATAATTGTCGTGATGTCGGTGCTACCATCAACCATTATTATGGGAAAAAGTATGTATAGACCGCGTTATTACGGCTGTCCAGCTCCGAAAGGATAAAAAACTGATTCGATATAAAATAGGATCATGAAAGAAGGCCTCCTCTTCCGCTCCGGACGTTTAGGTATGATATACCCGCACAGCCAGGGCTTAATATGAAATCCTCGAATCCACCATTAACACTCACTTTAGACCATGCAACCCCAGGAGATATGGAAATCCTCACTCTCAAAACCCAACTAACCTCCATCCTCGACCTCCGCACAAAAACTGAACGGGACCGTGTCCCCACCAAGAATCCTAACCAGAACCCCGTCGCCACTGTTTCCGGCGCCAAAATCTATCACATCCCTTATTTGAGTGATCAGTACACAAAAAAGGCGTTATTGAGTCGACTTCCTTGGTACCGACTCATCCAGGTCCTCTTCTGTCATTTCCTAGGCCTCAAAACGACCGTCGTACGGCTTATATCTACCCTTGTTATCGTCCCTCTAGGGTTGAAGGGTATAGCCTACGAATGTCTCCGGTGGCTAAAACCAGAGATCAAAGAGACTTTCACAATATTATCCAAAGAATCGAGTTATCCTGCGTTGATCCACTGCACCCAGGGCAAAGACAGGACAGGACTAGCAACTCTCCTGGTTCTTCTGGCTATCCTCGGCGAAGGAGACGAAGAAATCAAAGCTATTGATCATGATTATATGTTATCAAATGACGGACTTAAACCGGTCCGCGAAGAAATGTTAGCAGAGATGATACCGTTAGGATATTCCGAAGAATCCGGGTTCGCTGATGCAGAGGAAGGATGGGTTGAAACCGTGGTTGGGTACATCGAAGATGAAGGCGGGATCGAGAAATATCTTACAAATGCTCAGATCACCGCAGAGGAAATCAGAAGTATACGAGAATGTCTACTCGTGAACCCTTCGTGATTCATATGGATGTCACGGTCGAAAACTTCGGGCCGAGAAACTCCGGCCTCTGTCCTCAGATTTCGTTGCATTTCGCGAACATCAACACAAATGTGTGTCAGCGTTTCGAAATCACACTTCAGCACAGGGTACAAAGGGCAGAAATTGATAGGATCATGTACTCATATAGATATATAACAAGATCATGGTATTAAATTAACAGGGCTTTCTCACATTTGTGCAAAATCAAAAGCTCACAGTTACAAGCAAACAACCAACTCAAAACAAAGGCCATTCCAGATTCTTAAATCAGCTTAGAGCGTGAATCTAAACTCCTCAGACTCCTCCAAGATCTTCTCACCGCGATCAGCTTTAGCATTGGCCCACTTGAAGTAAACCATCAACCCAATAGTATCAATAATAGTCAAAGAAGCAGCTGTAAGTGCGGCATAAAGACCGGGCTTATAATGCGGGGCATCTTGAGGTCTGAACACCAAGGCACCGGCAATACCACCAATAGCCGCCCAAATGACAATAGTAGCTGAAGAAAGCGCTCTCTTCCATTGTCCACGGATGTTGTTTGCTTGGTATGCCAGGGCGATTGGGACGTTGGCGGAAGCTCCGGCACAGCAGAAGAACACGCCGGTGTATTTAGAGGCATTGGTGGGGGACCAGCCGATGAGGATAACTCCCATGATTTCGAGAAGACAGTTGAAGATGATAACTGGGCCACGGGTCTTGTATCGATCGCCGACCCATCCGGTCACGTAGAGCCAGATGAAAGTAAAGGCATATGGTGGAACGGTGAGCAAAAGAGACTCAGTGATCGAAAACCCCATTCCTAGATCCACCCGTTAATAAACCCCCAAACTTCCAGGGAGTCGTGATGCAAACATACCTTGACGGAGGATAAGTGGCAAGAAGAAGGCAAGAGCGTATGTGACAACAGCCGAAAGGCCATAAAGGGCACCGAGGAAGTAAATCTTGATATCCTTGCCACCACTAAGGAACCTGCGGACGGTGAACTCCTCGAGCTGAACGTCTCCACGGTCCTCATCAATGGTACGAATGACAAAATCGACTTCTTCCTTGTTAAGGAATCTAAAAGCCTTGTGCGCATCGGCGTCTGGGAATGGGATAATCAAGAAAAATGCAACCAAGGCGAGGGCAATAGTTATCACACCCTCCATGATGAAAATCCATCTCTATTAGAGAATAGTGGTATTAGTAAAAGGCTCTCAGACAAGATCATATGATAAAATTAATGAGCGCCTTACCCAGCCAGCAAGACCAGCCGTTCCGTCCATTTGCATAAGCCCGTAGCCAAAAATACCCTAGATACCATCTAGTTAGAATTTCTTCGTGGCCAACTGCACCTATCGATTTCAATCGAAACTTACGGAGAAAGCCGATGCAATGGCTGCAAGCATATAAATATAAGAGAATCGACGACCCATTTCATCTAGTAGATTAAAAATATTAATTCGCAACTTCAAAAAGCTGTTCTGAGGAATTGATTTGATACTTACAACGAGTATACCATGTAGTCAACAAGTAGGCAACACCCGGGAAGAATCCACCCTCGAATAGACCAAGCAGGATACGCAATCCCATAAGTTGATGCCAGGTTTTGACGAAACCCATTCCGATAACTGTAGCACCCCAAAGAAGAGCGAGAGAGCCGAGGAAATTCCGGGGTCCAAAAAACCGGATTAGGATAGTAGCGAATGGCTGTATAGCAGTGTATAAACCGAAGAACACAAGATTGGAAATTGACTATTATAAGTATTCGACAGGTGGTTAGTTTGCATTCGAGCATGAATATATGGTAGCTGTTTCCCTTACGTATCCATTGTTCGCAACATTCATGCCCAAGGCGGCATTCATGCCGGCAACCGATGCCGTTCCCATGTTATTTCTATCAATCAGGGAGAAGCAGTACACGATGCCGAGGATAATGATGATGCGAAAATCAATTCGGCGCACGATCCGCTTCTTCTGTGCTTCAGTATAGGAAACATGATTAGAACCTTTATCACCGGCCTCTAGGTTCTCGGTGTTCCCGACAGCGGGTTGCTTCTCGTCGACAGACACCATTTTGGAAATGATGGAGGAGCAACTTGAAAACTATCCAAGTAAATCTTCGAAGTCGATAAACTCTTATACTACGGAAGTATCAGAAGAAATTAAGAGGAGATACTCGTCAACCTGCAGCTGCTCAGCAACAGAAGTACGAGCAAAAGTAGTTGGGGACGAGGGAATAGTCGAACGCCTAGAGAACCATTGAGAACTCTAGGGGTTCTTGAGCCCTTCATATATAGATCTCTGGCACGCAGTCGACAAGGTCAAAGCACTGCAACAATCGCCTTTATCGTCTGCCCACCCTCCCGTATGTACGACCGTAAATCAAAATGATTGACTGGCAGGTCCATGCCACGGGGCACAGCGAACGATAATTGAGAATGCAGTATAAGGTTTGCCCCATCGCCCCACCATACTATCCCGTCCTGGAAGAAAACGGCTCAGCAGCGCTACACGTGAATTATTCGCTGCGGGAGATGCCTACACCTACACATGGGCCCTTTCGTCGCTTGAGTCTCGGCCTGCAGCAGCTGCAATTGAACATCCTAGTGGCGTTCGTACATAGCTGCTCGACAATGTTTAGGGTTAGTCCAGATTCGGCTAGCTCGGACGAAGCTTCTGTGGAAGCTAGCTTTCAGGTTACCTAGCTAGTGGGTACAAGGGACTGGGTTAGAAATTGCCCCATTTCTAACTCTCATCGTAGCACAAACCGTACCTGAAGGTTTTTTTTTAAAAAAAAAAATTTCTTCGCTTGGCATTTAATTAAGAATTAGTTCTTGGTGCTCTTACATAGCCTACCCCAAAATTTGCCATCGTATCCCGCAAATTCATAGCTGTCCAGCAAAGCTCTTCTAGCTATAATCTGTGGCCGGCGCACGGTGGGAGCACATTCGTATAGTATTAAAGCCGCTAAGCTTAGGAGGGATATCATCGGAACCAACGAGTATAGTCTGGGGAACGAGTAACGAGAAACCTTACACTTTTCAGTATGTGTACTCAGTCCTCGGATACGCAGGGCTTCCATCGAATGGATTTGGATATAGTGGGTCGATCTGACTGTCCTGGACAGTTTTTGAAGCTCGCTAACACATGGGTCAGGTGGAGCCCGAGACACCTGTGAGTTCTAAGGATGTGGATGTGCTTACCATCGGCGCATCTTCGATTCCAACTAAACCACATAATAGTCTCCGAGAACCGCTTCTGTGCCTCAATCCCGCACGATTATTGTCTGCATTTGTGCATGGTTCGTTCAACTATTTTTTGGCCTCCAGTGATCTAATGCATCTGGAAAGCTCGAGCGCTGGGAATTGATTTTTTTTTTTTTTTTGTGATTGGAATGCAGGGTTCCGAAACGCCATGCATATTTTTACTAACCTTGTTGCGGAAGCAAGCAGATAAGCTCACAGACAAGGTACTTGGCCCGATATGTGATATAACATTCGCACTGATGTTTCTCGAGGACATATTGACAAAGCTGTTCGTGATGCAAAATTTGCAAAAAAAAACAAAAAAAACACCCACATTACGCGCCCAGGCACAGGCCCTCCGGACCCATTGATCATCACTGCACTGCCGCAGGATGGTTTGCTATCGTCACCTTGCAAGACCCACGCCGAAATTTTCGCCGGTAAACCAACCGGAATCCCGAACGGGAGACAGCCAGGATGTAACGGCGCCACTTCTCTTGCCCACTTCCCTTCATAGTCGAAAAAAAAGATTTCCCGATCACCCAATGACTGTTAACATGTTTAAAATCTCTTCCTTAGCTACATACAGTGCTGCAACCTATCATATGAGCAAAAACTTCATGCTTAGGTTGCTGCCGAATGGCGGAAAACCTTATTCTAGGGTCACGCCGTAGGCGCAGACTAGCCACTTTCATAAATGGGCCCATTTAATCATATTATAAAGATATTCTTGCGTGCATTAGCTTCGATACGGGCATAGATAGATGCTAAATACCCACTTCACAGAAAATCGAAAGTCTCAGAAAGTATCGACACATCATATGCAAGCGCCCCAGCGTGCCCCAGCGTCTCCACCTCAACAGCTTGTTAAGTGTAACGTAGACCCACGTACTATATATGTATTTTACATATGTAGACAAGGGATTACGGCCTTGGTTGTGAGGTATATTCGTTGCCAAAGATGCTGAAAAATGTTTATGTAAAATAGTGCGAGCTTATGCGTATTTCGCGAAACAATGCATTGTCAAACAAGTTAGCGCGCGGCCGGTCCAATGCGAAGGCAATTTGGAACTATAACAAGGAGGAGGGCTCGAGACGAATATGAAAAACTGGAGGTCTCGAAAAATGAAACAAATCATTTTGATGTTCAAGATATTCTCCTAAACCATCGATTTGCTCGGTTGCGGGGTTTTCACGAACTACTTGACCGTTACCCGTCTGTGGGGATGTTGGCAAGGACCCTAAGCCAGGATCAAGTAAGTGTGACCGTACCACTGGATAAGCACACGCACGTGCGATCGATGGGTTCAAGTGACACTAACTCCAATGGGGTTTCGAGACGAGCGAGAGCCATCGTCTCCGACCCACCCTAAGCGAGTTGGGATTCCAAAGTAATGTCCAATCAATGAGTGGCTGGGCTTTTTCATCCAATGAATAGTAGCAGCAAAAGCTGCGATTTCCCATTAGATTCCCATGAAGTATAGGTAAGACAACAGCGTTGACAAGAAACTGAGACAGGCGAAGTACACTGATGGCACATCGTTTCGCATTTTTGAAGTCGAGGAACTTGCAGCTTTCTATCAGACCACCCTGGGCCCTGGTAACTACGATTAAGATACGAAAATGCACAATATACAGCTACCTGCCAATCACCAATGTTTGCGCTGACCGGCCTCATATTTAAAGGCGCTAGCCGAGCGCACATGCGCACAACGAGAGGCGAACGTTGCAAACCGGTTCTCCAACAAGTTATCAAATTAATGTCCCCGTACATGTCCTGGAGGCCGGATACGAGACTATCCTTGAGGTTATCCCAAGGATAATCTGTTTTCCGGGTAAACCAAATACATCCATCGTTTTTAAAACCTGGGGTAGATCCCGAGATGCCTTAACGAAAAGTTTAATAATCCTAAGTTAACTTTACAGAAACTCAATCTACGAAAGTTATGTTGTCTCATCTACCCTCTGCGCCAGCAGCACGGATCCATGGACAGCCCCAGCTGAGGCTCTAGTCTACGTGTTAGTAAATCCATACCGCCGGACAGTGGAACACGACTCCACTCTATCTATCAGGCTACATGAACTAGCTCCCGTAGTACCCCACGGGGTATCAATCTTGCGAATTAGGAAATCGAGACGAGGTGTCATAAATTAAACATCTACAAGGCGGAAAGTTACTGACATAAACGACAGGTTATTTCGATGACGTCGAGACGAATATGTCAAAACTATTTCAGATCTGTAGATTGTGTACCTACTATCTACTTAGGCGCTTCCATCGCGTGATGGAGCTATTCATGTGGTTTAATTTCGCTCTAGATATCTGAATATCCAAGGTCTTATTTCCTGATATTTCCAATTTTTGTGTCTAAAGTTGGCATATGACGTTCAATATAATATTTTAATGCGTGTATATTCATCTGGCTTTTTGGTCCCGAATTCCTATCACTAGAGAGCTAGCTTGGAGCTCGCCCGTTTCCCCATTCGACACTTGTCGGATGCTCTGCCGACTCCATCAATGAAAGTCCAACTAAACCGAGACATCGAGGACGAAATTTTGAAACCAAATTTCCTGTCCACAATGCCGAAAATCAACGTTTCCGATAACCGGTATACAAGAGAGCGAGAGTTTAGTATTGGGACTATTATCTCGGGCGCCAGCGTTCATAAATCCAGTTTCCGGCCTAATTATTTCACGAAAACAATGACCCGTGTTAGCAATGCAGTCGGAAGCTTCAAAGCCGAATGAATGACGAAAATGGCACGGGACTCACGTCGACTGGAGGTCATCAATGGGTCATGGAATTCCGAGAAGCCGTTATCTTTCGCCGTTTTCGTCTCTAGAAGTTCGGATTCATCCGATATCGTTGTACGGTTGGATCTAGTTTACTAGAATATTAGAACCACGCCACCGAAATATCCCTATTGTTGCCCCAAGAGCTTCCTTGGTCGCCAGACCAAATGGATCGAACAATATGGGTTCCAATTGCCTCACTCTCACCTCTATAGCTCTGGTATCTACTGCCCGGCGTTAGTACGAACATTTGAAAACACTGGGGCTAGGGTATCTGCGGTGGGAAACCCGAAGATATCCAGAAATGTAGCGTGAAGGAAGACAGAGCCTAAGTTATCATATGCATTTTTCCCTTTTACTCGTGGTACCATATGCTCTAGCCTTTGGGTCACTATATACCCATGGTTCTATATCCCTTCATGCTTTAACTAATACTACTCTTGATTCCAGAGTGACGACTAATTTGCCACATTCGCACGAAAAACCCCCGCGCAATCAATATGGCAATGCCGATCATCAAAAGGTTAGACACTAAGAGGGATTTACCCATCGTCAAGCCTAGCTACTCATTTATACTCCAGATGTATGAAAATCGAGCACCTACCGTGCTACTGTATTTCGGTAATGTTCGATAACAGCAGGCCTTCTGGCTATGCGAACTAACAAATTCATGATTAGAAAGTTAACTTCACCGGCATCACCAAATGTATAGTTTAGACCCCCATCACAACTAAACTTGAATTAGCTCGGATGGGTGGTGAAAATTCGATTACTGGTGACCTAGATACCGGATTTTCGACGGACACAAGAACATATCAAGGTCTTTTATAGCATTATGTTTAAATTACAGGGATTTCAAAACAGATATATACCATCATACACCATTTCCCTAGGTGGAACATAGATTCTAACAGAAAGGCTCAGGACGACCAAATACAAGAAAAGAAGAAAAGCAGCCTATTACGTTCGATGGTACCCTTTATTTCTTTTTGGACGCTGTCGCTCTATTCATTTAGCCCAGTCCGGGGAAGAATCTCGGGGTTGACAGATAATTGTGATATCATGATGCAGGTTGCCGAGCTAGATATCGATACAGTAAGAGCCATCCCCTATAGAAACGAATATCATATAGAATACCAAACTGAAAGTTTTGAATTCGAACGTCCCTAGCTATAATATTCTACAGATATATAACGCTGGGGCACTCTACCATCAACCCCCCCATTCAAAATTGTTAAGTGGGTTGCGGACGACCCTAAAGCCCTACAGCCACGTAGCAAGGCCACGGATTCTTAATCAAGGCGAGCACCCACGAGTCAGAAAGCGTCTGGGCGGTTGCGAGTTCATATTAATATATTTTGATTCTAGAAGATCTCACGCTAGATTACAATTACAAAGGGTAAGCATGACGGGCTGGTATCTCGGTGGCTATACTTAAAAGTTGCTTACCAAAAATACTAAATTTCAGCCTGGTCATCTCATGTAGTTCTTTTCAACTTTGGATTGCCTGGGCCAGCACTCTCTAAGAAACGATATATACCCGCTACAAAGTCGCACGTGTTTTGCATATCCAAAGATAAATTTGCAATCCACGTAGTCATACGAACTCCTCAGATTTAACGTGTTGAATGTTACAAAATAACCCACGTGGTGCAAACGTATCCGGGAATGTCGATATCAATCGACTGATCAAATTTGATCAAACCTCAGGGTCTATTACCAAATCCATTCGCTTTTCCCCAAATCCCGAGTCAGATCAGTGTACCACACAGTCTGGCATTCCCACGTTGCAATTTGCATGCTATCGCTTCGCAAGTTCCTTATGCCCCTTGTCCGCCCGCATAACTATATCTCCAATTCCGTGGAAACGTTTTTACCTAGTTGAAAACATTCCGTTCAGCGCAACGGTACAGACCCCCCACCCGGCCGGATTCTTCGTGGTAATTATTACTTAAATTAGATCCGGAGGTCGACCGAACAAACATCAGAAGAAAGACGTCCTTGCTCCGTCCTGCTTCTATCATCAGATCTGTCCAGGCCAGGCCTTGTAGAATGTTTGTTGTTCAGGGTGTCACTTGCGAAGAGTTCCTTGGCCCAAAAATAGATTTTCCAATCACAACATGACCTAAGAGACAATTTTTCGTAGCCGTTCTAGACTTTATCCACATCTTCTAAATAGGATAGCTTCGAAGAAAAAAGAATGGAAAAAGGTTAAAAGTTCGCTCACAGCCCTATTCTCACATACGCGCAGAGGAACAGAAATTAATTTCAGGAGTGATCATAGTATTTAGGCCGTTGAAAAGTCCGACCGGGAAATTCTTCTCGATCGAGAATGTCCGTTCAGCCCCAGAAACTTAGTTCATTCCCGTTTTGGCCCAATTGCAACGCTACACCTGAGCTCGCATTCATGCAGTTGCATGCAAGCCATTGGTTCACACTCTCGTTCAGGCCGAAGGCTCGAGAAACTCTGAGGGACGCATTGAGCACCGGGCCTATCGGAAGGGCAGATGAGTATGCACCTGTACAGCTAAGCTTTTTCACCCCAAGAATGCCATTTTGGTCAAGAAATACTACCTTATTTCATGAAAAGGCATTGAGGGGATCATGTCCAACCCTCGTTCGATTCTTCTTGGGCGTCCGTCACACTAGCACTGTAGGCAACACCGAACTTTCAGCCTGGTCGGATGTTACTCCATACCGTCATATGAACAACTGGGAGTGGAAATTAATTACAAAGCTTAAGTGTATTGGAGACCAGCAGAAGTTGTATAAAGAGATAATGGGCCGACCCTTCTACAGACCTCCTTTTTTTTATTTTATTATCATCAGCTTCATTCCAAAGCAAAAGTAATACAATCTAATCCTCTAATCATTCTATTCGCATTCACTCGCTTGAAAAACACTCGCTACTTTCCAACAAAAACAACACACTCGCTCTCAAAATGGTCTACATTAAAGTCACCACTTTCCTTTCCCTCCTCGCTGCCGTTTCTGCCGCCCCAGCTTCTGAGCTCGAGTCCCGTGCTGTTCCAAAGGACACCGCATTCGGTTTCCTCGCTCTTCGTTCCGCCTCCCCAATTCACTACCAAAGCCTCAATGCCTCTGGCGGAAAGATCTGGTTGGGAAAGAAGACCTCAACCTACTGCCCACTCCCCGCGAAGCAATGTCCAAAGGGCAAGGACACCTCCTTCTGGATTAACAACCAGGGTGGTACCGCTGGAATGAATACTGTCGTTCCAGGCGGCCAACAAGTTTACATCGGGCCTACCGGTGAACTGTCCTATACTCAAGCCCACTCGGCTTTCATCCCCACCGGATCCACCCAGACCGGTTTCAAGGTTACCGAACGTAACAATATTGTCTTCCTTGAAAACTGCAACAACAGCTTCCTCGCTTGCCCAGTCAATAAGAAATCTAAGACCAGCGGCCCATGGCAGGTGTTTGTTGACGTTAAGGGAAAGCTCAAGGACAAGGATGTTCCAACTAAGTGCAAGAAGGACTGCTTGGGATTCACCCCCGCTGGTGGCCCAGTAAAGGATGCCGTCTGGCAATACGCTTAAGCGATTTAACTTAAAGTAACTTAGATGGAAGCTGGAGTCTGATATGAAGGGGTCGAATTGGAAGACTGGGGTACAATTTTGATGATGTCACGACGATGGTTTGGCGTATATACGGAGCCCTAGCATATATAGTTGCTGGTAATTAATTTGGTGTTCGGAGCATGAAATATACATGTAATAATTTTATAATCACTTCTTCCAAAAAAAAAAAACTTTTGTTTGCTATGATCTCGTAGTAAGCTTCCTATATATTAGACAACAGTACGATAACTCTCGAGTTGCTGCGAGCTAGAAAGGAAGTGTTAATTGTTGTTGAGTAATAGGCCTCATGACAGTCTTGCCACCATTTGAAAGTCTTTTCATTGTGTCTAGAGCATTCTTGTAGAATGCTTCCATCTAAAAATTTACTTGAATATTGACCTATTCTTCTTTCATCCCACGGCTTGCCTCGATCTTCTCTAACTTGGCAGCCCAAAGCGCCGCACCCACAGTATGAGTAAAAGCGAAGACAATATTAACAATTGGAACCAAGTTCAAAAGCACGCAAGCCAAACCAAATCTATGGATAAAGAAAATTAGTATATATTCAACCTAGCTACGCCTAATGGAAGGAGACAAACCCAACGTATCCGCCCTGGTTCTTCTTGATATAGTCCGCCCTTTCCGTGTTCGAAAATCCCTTGAGTTGAAAATATCTAGCATGATGAGCCGGCCCAACATTGCGAGCTATTCCCGAAGTCAGTTTCTACTATACCAGTGAATTGTAATATATATTCTGGTAAGACCTACCATTCAAGACGAAGAAAATTATAGTTCCAATAACTGGGATGAAGTTCAACGGAAGTAGGACAACGTATCGTATCAAACTCTTCACCAACCCGTCTCCAAAGGGCTTCTGGAGTCGTTTCCCCAGCTTGCTAAGTGGATCAGAACCTCCTGTAGGTTTTATCTCGCGACCGGCAGATACTAAAGCTGTTTGATTTTGTTGAACCAAGACCTATATGCCCGTCAACGGTGTGTTTATTCTTGCCCTTTCAGATGAGATAATTATCATACCGCATCAAAGACCTCGACCGTAGCATCATCCAGCCACCACCGCTTGCTAATAAGCAATATCAACGTCGAACTTTCTGACAAAACCAACATAGCGGCATTAACAAACGCGATAGGTCCATCAACAAAGGTGAGAATGGCTGCTTGTGGAAGATATGTAACGAAAAACATGGAGACTATCACCACGACGGAGAGCAGTATTGTCGGTAGAACCTTGCGCCAAAGCGGACGTTGGAGAGAAGGATATCGAAGGAAGTGGTATATCCCCTAAAAAAAATCGGTGTATACTACTAAGTTCCGACTCTCTACCAGGTCTTATTTTGGGGAAGATGGATTGGAAATATACCTGGATTGGGAACATATACGACCCCGAGTTTGCTGCATCTTTCGAGATACTGATGGCCTGATTCGCTTCTTCCCGCACGAGGGATTTGATTCTATCTGGAGCAGACATTTTTGCAATATGATATGTGGTTTTCTCTGTGATATTTTGGATTGTCGTAAGATCGATGGGAGTGAGCGATATCGATGGAGGTCGCGGTTTTCCCTTTAAATTTGGCTAAAAGAGCAATTCCACTGGAAAATATGCATTTATGATGTCATTTCGCCGACATCGTCTGCCAACGCATTCCTTGCTGTCGAAAAAAGCTAAGAGCCGCATGGTTGAAGTTAACTTAAGTCTCGTGACAGCTATAAGTGATGCTATCCTAAAATCTCGAGTCAAGAGGCAAGGGACAAAGCCTAGATTTACAAGGTCGACACGTCCACCTTGAGAACTATTATGAAGTATCCGATTATGAATTTGAATCGGGGAACAGGAACCTTTTCCGTGCATATATATAGGTTCATGTCTATAAATATAAACGATATACGCCGGCCCTCCCGCCAATATTAACGCCTGACCAGTTATCCAAAGGAAAGGGGGGGGAAACGGGGGGGCAAGGTCAGTTTTGATAACTTAGATCGTCCCAAGTCTCGAAACATGGGTGTACGGTATATGAGCAGTAATGGTATCAGCCAGGACACTGCACAAACGTCACGAGTGGAAGTAGATCATACAAAAGCTGAAGGTAAAAGACAGAGTCTGAGGATACAGTGAAAAATCGAAGATTCAATTCACCAAGTGACCCGAGCGAACCCGATCAAAAGGTTTAGGTTCCATAGGGGAAAAAGCTTAGCCCTTCGAAATCTCAAGGTCCCACTAAACGGTACATGCGGCAGGCAGGATAAAGGCCGCTGGCATGGGGGTCTGGACGCAAGAAAAAGACCAATTGCGCCATCGATATCTTGAAACCTCGGTACGATAAATTGTTAGCTCGGTCGAGATAAACAATGAAGCGTGTTCGGATAAGTCGGCAATCAAAGTACAGGTACGGTACCTGAACATGTGGGAAGTGCAGTGAGTCAGCGAACTAGTTAGTAATATGGCAAAGGAATGTTCAATCTTTCCAATGCAACGTGCCAGACACGCGAAAGCAAGTTCAACCTTGGGAACCACGATGTCGTATGCGTAATAAAGTAGATCACAGCTTCATCACATCCAACAGAGGCAGTTGAAGCTAGAACTAAAACTCTCAAATCGTCGCAGCCAGCCATCCAATATTTCGAATTGGAAATAAATGCTGGAAAATAGCTTCGAATTCGAATAAAGTTCTGTCGGTGCATTAGACCCCAGTGGGAACCAAACGCCTGTCATTGGCCGGGGCAGACCCGTCCCGTTAGCCAAGTGAGCTAGACTCGATCGTTAGCCTCCTTCCAAGCTTTACCGAGGCCAAATCCTGTATGCAAGGTCCGATTCATATTCTGTTCGATATATCCGGATGGATCCATGTTCTGTGATGGAAGAAGTATCGCACCATCCCCAAAAAGCGATAAGGACTGAGTGGAAAGCCCATCCTGATTTGACGCTACTGAATGCTCTTTCAGAGCTCACTGTATCCTGTAAAAGATCGAGGAGCTTCATGGGGAGAAGGCAGTCTCTCCTATTGAACTGGCTTTGGAGGGGCCTGACCTGGTATAAAGTATACACTAAGTACCTAATACCTGCTCTGGCCACCACGATGCATGAACGATTATGATTAGCCCCGACAGCCCTGCCGATAACCGTATACGAACACACGAAAAAAGATACGAACCGATCTAGTAGAATATAAATACTGCCCGAAAAGACATAAGCTTTTCGAGCGAGGAAGAACCTTGTCAACAAACCGTATTCTATCGGAGAGTCGGCGCATCGGCTGGTGCAGGCTAAAGCTCTGATAAGTTTGTTCTTCCATGATTTAATAGTGCAAGGACAAGTTCGCTCCATGTTTCCACCTTCTCTATTCTCCTTTTTATTCATTTTTTTTTTATTGCGAAAATAAAATAAACCTAGTCTCGTTTCCCCCGTGTCTGCTACGTATAATATTCCTTCCTTTCCCCTTCGACTTCCCGCGAAACTAGCTTCGGAGTTGCTTTGATTTTCAGAATCGAATAGACGTCTGAGAATTAATCCGAAGTTCAGCCTCGGCCCAGGCCAAAAAGTTTAGTGCGCCGTTACGCGAAACGAACGAACAGACAACGTTAACGGGCAGCTTTTGCTCGCCCAAACTTCGTTCAGCGTGGCTTTCCCACAACCTCGAAGGCCAAACAGCAGTCAGGCCGGAAACACCAATGACTCGCCATCAGCACCGATATCAACATCTGGCATCGTCGCCGATGAGAAACGACGTTCTTCCTCGGATATTGATGCAATTGCCATTGAGAAGCAAATCGAGGCTGAACCTCTGGATTCCAAACTCGCGATAGAGAAAACTAGGTCGACTGTAGAGTCAACCGCTGTAGAACCTCAAGATGAGAAGGATCTCAGGAAACCGAAGCCCTGGTACAGGCGGGACCCATTTAAATCGAAGGTACCCCCTCCGGTACCAGAAGTCAGGGTGGTCTCTCCGGAAAGAGACGCGAGTTTTTTCTCGAGACTCTTCTTCTGGTGGATTAATGACCTTATGATAGTAAGTAATGGACTTGATCAGACAGCCTTTTAATTTTATGGGCACCTGCTGACCAAATACGCGGTATAGACTGGGTACAATCGTCCTTTGGAACTGAACGATATTCCACTTCTAGCACCAGAACATCGAGTTGAAGCATCAGTTGCTAAAATCATGGAGCAATTCAAAAAGAGAGCTGCTCGTGGGGATAAATACCCTCTTTTCATGTCTCTGAACCACGTCTTCCGTCATCTATATTGGACTGCTGGTCTATGTCGACTAGTAGCCGACCTTTTGTTGATCTTAACTCCCCAGATGCTCCGTTACCTTATCACATTCGTCCAAAACTCATACTTTAGACGCCCCGAACCTCTCGGCAAGGGTGTCGGTTTAGCAATTGGACTGGTACTCATGCAATGGACCGCCAGTGTCTGCATAAACCAATTCTTTTACAGAGGCATGTTAACCGGCGGAATGTCTAGAGCATGCCTAATCAGCATGATATACGAGAAAAGTACTACTATATCTGCTCGCGCAAAGGCGGTTGGTAGGCTTGCCGACGCCGACGACTCAAGAGAATTGTCCGCCAAAGAAAAGGCAATGTTGGAAAAGGAAGAGAAGAAAAGACTGAAGAGAGCTAAAGGAGGCGCGAATTTAGACGCCGTAACCGGATACCCGAATGGAAAAATAGTTAATCTTATGGGCACGGATACATGGCGTGTCGACCAGGCGAGTTCCTGGAGCCATATGGTGTGGACCTCGCCTATCCAGATATTTGTTTGTATAGCTCTTCTTGTCGTCAATGTTGGGGTTTCCGCCCTAGCCGGCCTGGGCCTACTCTTTGTCCTCGTTCCCTTCATCGCGTGGGCTATTTCCACCCTCGCTAAGAGGAGAAAAGCAATGAACCATATCACGGACAAGCGGGTCAGTCTTACGCAGGAAATCCTTCAAGGTGTTAGATTTGTCAAGCTGTTCGGTTGGGAAGAGAGTTTCTTGAAGGAATTGGGAACCCTACGACATCGGGAGGTCCGGGCTATCCAGTTCCTGTTGGCTATCAGAAGTGCGGTTAATGCTGTGTCTATGGTGAGTCTACCGACCTTCACATATCAGGTTACATGACAATTGACGGAACGCTTCGGTGCTGATATATCATTTAGTCTCTTCCGGTCTTTGCATCCATCCTTGCATTCGTCACTTATTCACTGCTCGAACCTGGTCTCGACCCTGCCAAAATTTTTGCATCAGTCACTCTTTTCAATACCCTTCGTCTTCCACTAAATTTTTTACCTATTACTATCGCAGAATCAATTGATGCCTTCCTCTCTTTGAAGAGGATACAGACATATCTTCTCCAAGAAGATGAACCAGAAAAGCGAACCATAAATCCCGACCAAAAGGAAGCTTTCATTCTCAAAGACGCTTCTTTTACATGGGAAACCACGGCTCCAACAAAAAAGGACGAGCGTGGTAAAGATGGAAAGAAGGCGAAAAAAGAGAAATTAAAAGGAAAATCAGAAAGACCTGTTCTTCAACCCGGTGGGCCCTTGTCTGGAGAAAAGGAGCTTCAACCCTTTTCAATCCAGAACATTACCCTTGATATCTCGAAGCGCGAACTCCTTGCCATCGTTGGGACCGTCGGTTCTGGAAAATCCTCCCTCTTGGCGGCCCTCGCAGGTGACATGCGAAAGACAAGCGGAACAATAACCCAAGGAGCCAGCATGGCATACTGCCCTCAATCGGCATGGATTCAAAATACCAGCGTAAGGGAAAACATCCTCTTCGGCCGTCCGTTCGACCCAGTTTGGTATGAAAAAGTTATTGGGGCATGCGCCTTAAAACCAGATTTTGAACTATTCCCGAACGGAGATATGACAGAGATCGGAGAGCGTGGTATCACTATCAGTGGTGGTCAAAAGCAGCGAATGAATATTGCTCGAGCGATATACCATAATTCGAATATCATCCTTCTTGATGATCCCCTCAGTGCGGTTGATGCCCACGTCGGACGTCATATGTTCAACGAGGCAATCGGTGGTTTACTGAAAGACAAATGCTGCGTACTTGTGACCCATCAGCTGCACGTTCTCAACCGATGCGACAGAATCGTCCTGATGGTAGACGGCAAGATCAGCGCTGTCGGGACTTTTGACGACCTGATGGCTACGAATGAAGAATTTAAGCAGATGCTTTCAATGACAGCCGCCGAAGAAGCCCCAGAGAAGAAAACCGAGGACAATGAAGAAACAGACCCATCCGAAGAAAAGAAGAAGAAGTCTAGAAACAAAGGGAAGGCACAGGGCCTCATGCAACAGGAAGAGAGGGCTTCAAGCAATGTAGGTTGGGGGGTTTACTATGCGTATATCAAAGCTAGCGGAACATTCCTTGTGGCACCCATTATCATCATCTTCCTCTTCCTATCTCAGGTAGCTAATATTATCGGCACTATATGGCTTTCGTGGTGGACGAGTGGTAGATACCCTCTGTCAAATGGTTCCTATGTAAGCTATTCGCTCCATTATGTATAGGGTTGGCTAATTCTCTAACGACCTTTCCAGATTGCAGGATATGTTGGCCTTGGTGTCGCACAAGCACTATTCATGTTCATTTTCTCCTTAGCACTCACCATTGCTGGTACCGAAGCTAGTAAGAATCTCATGAAGAGGGCCATGAGAAGAGTATTGCGAGCTCCAATGTGCGTAACAATATCCAAGTGTTTAACCTGTGATCTAATTCGTACTCAATTGCAGGTCATTCTTCGACACCACACCTCTCGGACGTATTGTCAATCGATTCTCAAAGGATGTCGACGTCATGGATAACTACCTCACAGATGCCATGAGGATGTACCTCTTCACCCTTGCGGCCACGTCTTGTACCTTTATCATGATAATTGTATATTTCCATTGGGCATGTATTATCTCCAATGGCCTCTAATAGCTATATCAACCCCGCTAACATTTCACCTATCACAATAGTTCGCTATTGCTCTCGTCCCGCTCGGCGTATTCTTCATCTGGGCCGCTAGTTTCTACCGCGCTTCAGCTCGAGAAGTCAAACGTCACGAGGCAGTTCTCCGATCTGACGTCTTCGCCAGATTCGGCGAAGCTCTGAATGGGACGGCCACAATTAGAGCCTACGGTTTGCAATCACAGTTCAAAACCGCAGTGAACGAAGCTATAGACCAAATGAACACTGCTTATTTCACGACCTTCGCGAATCAACGATGGCTAGGCACGAGAATTGATATTGTTTCCACCGGTCTTGTTCTTACAACAGTCATCCTAGTGGTAGTAACAAGATTCAGTACCAACCCCTCAACTTCGGGTCTCGTGCTCAGTTATATCCTCGCAGTCTACGGATTGATCCAATTTATGGTCAGACAGCTGGCAGAAGTCGAAAATGCCATGAACTCCACAGAAAGAATCTACTACTATGGTACCCAACTACCAGAGGAATCACCCCTCCGAACATCAATCACACCAGCACCAACTTGGCCGGAAAAAGGCGAAATCGTTTTCGACAACGTAAAAATGCGGTACCGCGAGGGACTACCACTTGCCCTGCATGGCTTTAACCTTCATGTTCAAGGCGGGGAAAGAATCGGCGTAGTGGGTAGGACTGGTGCCGGCAAATCCAGTATAATGAGCACTTTATTCCGTCTCGTCGAACTCGCTGAGGGTACCATCACTGTAGACGGTGTAGATATCAGCAAGATCGGTTTACAAGATCTTAGAAGCAAATTAAGCATTATTCCACAAGACCCTACACTCTTTCAAGGAACTGTTCGGAGCAATCTGGACCCATTCGAAGAGCACACGGATCTCGAACTTTGGGATGCTCTGAGACAAAGTTATCTGGTGCTTCCCGAGGACCAGCAGCTAGGGGCATCGACAAGTGCCTCTTCAACCGACCAACTAAGTGCACTCCCCGAAATCAGCGGGAACGATACCCCACCCGCCGACGGCCAAATCAAACAACAGCAAAAGAAGAAAGAAAGAATCACCCTCGACACTCCTGTAATCGAGGAAGGTCTAAACTTCTCCCTCGGTCAACGACAGCTAATGGCACTAGCAAGGGCGCTCGTCCGCGGCAGCCGGATCATCATCTGCGACGAAGCCACGAGCAGCGTAGATGAGGAAACGGACAGAAAGATTCAGAAGACAATGGCGGAAGGGTTTGGTTCTAGCACGGTTCTGTGTATTGCGCATAGACTCCGGACTATCATCACGTACGACCGAGTTGTTGTGCTAGATAAAGGAAGAATTGTAGAGGTTGATACGCCGCTGAAATTATGGGAGAGTGGAGGGGTCTTTCGAGGAATGTGTGATAAGTCTAAGATCCGGAGAGAAGACTTCGATGGGAGTTATTAATTAATATAGCTTATCTTTAAGTAACTAACGAATATCTTACATACCATGCAATTTAATACCAGTGAAGTTTTGACTTTGGTAAAAGAGACGTCTAGATATCTACTTAATACCTCGAGGATATCGATGTAGCCGTGCGTAGAGCCAACCATACACACTGAATCGATACCCCTTCCTCAACACCACATCAATCAACATCTCTACAACATCCTCCATCGATATCCCACGAATAATCCATACTTCATCATTAGCTAGCACCTCTAAGCCCTTCCCTAACTTCCTAGGAAGCTATATACCTACTTATCTATTAGATATCATCCCATAATATTGGGTTATATAGATATCAGAACGACCCAGCTGGCTCACAATGGTACGTCTCCGGTCTCCTCCAACAACCATCATCACCAATTGGCTCACTCATCTATACTATATACGACCTACCCATAGCACCCATTATCAAATAACTTCTAACCAAGCTCTCATATTAAAATAGCCAAAATTCAACCCCTCAGCCGCTAAACTTATCGCCGTCGAATCGTACTTCACAACCCATCAACCCATAACCGCCCATTCCATCAAAGATCTCGAAAAATCTCTCCCCACGGCTACAGGAATCTCTGCTATGCAAGTAAAAGACTATTTGACCGCTTTAGTCGACGAAAACAAGATTCGGGTTGAGAAGATCGGTAGTGGGAATTGGTATTGGTGTTTCAAGGGGGATGAGAAGAAACAGATGGAGAATGAAGTTAAGGGGTGGGAGAAGGAGGTCAAGGGGCTCGAAGGGAGGGTGAAGGAAGTAAAGCAGGAAATCGAGATCGAAGGAGAGAAGAATATTGGTGATAGTGAGGATAAAGTAAGTACTCAAGCAATTACCAGACTATCTACTGGCTTTATAGAGTTCTTCTTAAGTATCACTCATTAAGATAATCCATCGGTTCAAATAGGTCAAACGAGCAACAAAAATGAAAACCCTTCAATTTCTATCTAAAGAAAAGGCGGAACTAGAAAAGGAACTAGCTCTTTACGCCGAAAATGATCCTGTTCAGATCGACCGTCTCAAAGAGTTATTGCTTCTGTTGAAGACCGCAGCTAACGAACATACCAGTCAGTATTCACGACCCCATCCGACCTTCTCGTTGCATTTTACTAGCCACTAACCAGCACCCAACCATGCGACATTTATATCGATATTGATAGACAACATCTATGCCATAGATAGCTATCTCAAGAGTGCCGGAATGGTATCCTGTGACATAACATCATTCAAGACTAGCTTGGGAATCCCAGAGGAAATCGAGGAGATTGAGTAGTCCGTCAACTATCTCAACCATTTGCCTCTCTTGACACCCAGTGTCGACCAACGAACCCCATGACACAGATTTTATTACCTCAAAACTTCCCAAAACTTGACACAAAAACTTGACACAAAAACCCGACTATGTTGATAAAAAAGGTAAGCGCCAAGGAGCCACAAATCTCCCGCCTTCTTGCTCCTTCGAAGATGAATTCAATTTAGGATGGACTTATTACATCCTAGTCGAGCACCCGGAAGGGGCCTATGACCAATTACAAAAACATACCTATAACAAAGAAAACGTCGAAAGAGAGATCGTATATATACATACAAAACAAAAGAACCAACAAGCTTTTTTGCTATTAGCTAGCTCCCATGAAAAAAAATTCTTTTTTCCCAATGAAAAATCCTAAAGTGCCACGTTTAAAAGAACAGTGACCGATATGATAGATAACGCCAGATGCTAAAATTGGATACACCCAAAAGAAAATGAAGATAAATTACATCTTTCATATAATACGGGTAATCGACGTGTTCTTATTTCCCGCCACCAAAAATAGAAAATGAAAAAAAGCATATGGTATGAAGCCTTTGGAAATCATCAAACTCAAAAGGAAAATTGAGCCCTCGCGCCGTAAAATTCAAATCGCTTTGTAGTATAAAGCAGAGATAGGGAAATATTCGCTGCCAAGGTAATATTGGGGAGAACACCCCCCAAGAATATAATGATAAATTTCCAAAAAATATATAGCTGGATCAACGAGAAGGTATATAGAGGTATGTTCATCGAATATAACGAGGAAGCTCATTAGGACTATTCTCATCTCCATCAGCAATATCAGGTGCCGAAGGCTCAGCGCTTGTTGGAGCTGCAACAGGCGGTGCGCTAGCTTCATTGAGTAACCGCTGCCTTTCCAATTCTCCTTTATCTTCCTGTGGCTGCGAAGCGGGTTGCGGTGTAGCACTACCCGGTCTTTCGTAGGCTGGGGCAGCAGCAGCATGAGCGCTCGATTCCGGCACGAAGTATAGATCTTCCTCGTCGTAGGGATGGAGGGGGGGTGCGGAAGCCTCATTACTTTGTCCAGGAAGCGGTGGGGCCGATGGTAGCAGTTGCTCTTCCGCCAGCCTGGCGAGTGCCTTTTCATCACTGGCTGACGGGAGGGTTGGTGGTATCATTGGAGGTGGTTGAATCGGAGGTGGCGGCGTGGTACTCAGGTTCGAGGGTGAAGACCGTGTGCTACTATTTTGATATTCGGGTGCATCTAGAAAGTTCATGACTTGGGCTACCGTTTGATCCCTCTCGGCGTCCCTCTCCGTCCTCGACTCTTCAGAGTTTGTGTCTCCAGAAGACGTATGTGAAGGTGTTGAAGTAGGTGCTGTAGATGTCTCTTTCAATTTCTCGTCCTTTCTCCTCCGCCGTTTTCCAGTATCGATTGTTCCGACGACAACCTCGAATGTGCAGCTGATAACACCTTTCTCTCTCCGTATGCGATCGGTCTCCATAATGCCCTCTGCCTGTATCCGTTTCAAATCCTCGCCAGTACTACCATCCATGATAACATCACCTACTCCGTTGCGGCTAGCTAGCTTTCCTCCAAGATCAACCACAACTTCAACGAAATACGTAAATTCAAGCACGCCCTGCGGCACCTTAGAAATTGTGGGGAAAGCATCTCCTGGTATTCGCACGCTTGTTTTTATAACGGTCGTTAGGCTTCTTGGATCGACGATCAGGGCTGTTATGGATTGATTAAGGTCTTTGCGGAAAGTAGAGACACACGATTTCGAAAAAGATAGAGAAGATGCAGTGAGAACTTTGTCGGCAGGAGGCAATGTATCGAGCCGACATTGCCGCGATAATGTCGTTATAACACCGGACATAGATTTCAGCGGTCGGTTATGTGATACTGTGATTCGGATGGGTATTGATTCTCCAGGTAAACATGCAGGCCTTAAAAGCTCGATTGTCGCCATGGGATGGGGCTGTGCAGAAACGGTCGGAGAGGGAGGTAATGAAGGTGTGTTGTTAGAGGGCGTTTTAGGAAGTGAGGGAGAAAGGGGCGGAGATAGATTCGGCGGTTGATGCAATGTTTGGATGTAAGTTGTGGAGTCGTTCGAAGAGCCTGAAGATTTCAAGCGGCGAAGCGGCCGCTGAGGTTCTATTGATATTGTCAGCGGTTTTGGAGGGCTGAACATCGAAACGTCAATGTTTTCGGAGAATTTTATTTCCGCCGTGCATGTTGAGACTGTATGGATTGTCGTCGGTCGGGTAAGGGTAGCAGTTAGGAGATATGTGATAGCTCCTCTCTCGAACTATGAAATGGCAAAATATCAGGTCAGTAAAAAGCCCCCGGGCAGAAATTGAGAGTGAATGCAGAAAAGCATACATCCAGACTATTGATTCCGCCTTTGCTGGGGAATTCGATCACGAAGCCAACTTCTAAACCTCCAGCACCTAACCGTCCTTCGCCAACAATCACCTGTTCTTCCTCAAAAAGAACCACACCCCGACCGCTGTGTCTGCCTTCTATCGTTGTTCCCCGACTTCTGCATCCTCTAATCATCTTATTGTCCCGATACGTAACATCTTTTACAACATCTTCTCCCCATTTGTGGCCCCTTCGGTCGTGGGGATATACCATAACGCTTCCCCCTAATGTTAGAGTGAGATGTGTTATTCGAGTCGCGCGAGACGTTGTGAGAACGATCGATCCAGTGATGTGCTCCCCGGGTTTATACCGCCGGTGCGGGTAGTCGAGTTTGATGTAGAAGTCATTGATAGCGCGACGAGAAGGTTTCAGTTGTGAGAGTGTAGATGAGGTAGTCGTAGTAGTTGTGGTGGCGGTGGGGCCAGGTGTCTGTGTGGGCGACGATGGCGACCGAGAGGAATTGCGTATCCGGGAGATTAGAGAGTTTAGTCGACCACTACCCAGTGTCGACATGGTGCGGAATTGTATCAGACCACTGATATGGTGGACAAGTTGGAACCGGCGTCAGGTGAACTTCTCCCGCAACGATCCCACGAAGGGAGTCGCGCGTCCAGGAAACCACTGCGATCAGTGGAGGTGATTTTTTAAGTGAGTGTACGTAGGCCGGTGTCTTAGGGAAATTGCCCAAGCCTCTTGAAAAGGCGTCAATCGATCGCTAAATCTTGGTGCTGTTCTGCAGGTTTCCACCAGTCGCTTGGGTCTGCGGGAAAGGAAGTTGGGCTGTTGCGAACGACAGAGGTAACAGCAGGATACAGACAGCTCTGGTCCTGCCTACTCATGTACAGCGTAAGGATAATGGTCGGGGATGAACGATAAAAGGATATGGCCAGCAGGAAATAAACAAATTACGAAAAGCTTAGCCAGAAATAAGCCTTCGAAATGCTGTCGAAGTATGGGCGACTCTGGCTTGGAAACCGACCAGGGTGCAGATGACTTGGAAGAACTTTTCAACGATTGCAGCTGATGACAGATCGGACAGAGAGCTAAAGAGCTGGGCAGGGAACAGGCAACAGAAATGATGTCCGCAGGTTCTCTTCTCCGTCCAGACACAATGGGGCAAGGCAACTGTCGTGTCACCCAGGAGTAGTAATTCTTTTAGGACTTGGCCAAAGCAAAAACAAGAAAGTCGTGAGTTTCCTTTGCGGTCCACAAAATCTGGTTTAAATTCCAATCAGTGAAGCGGACGGCGAATCTTTTCTCAGAGGTCACACCGTCGTTTCAATAACAGCCGAATGGGTTTCCTTCCGGATAAGTTCAAAGCGTCGTGCTATTCCCCCCCTTTTTTCAAAGCCACAAAACCAGCGGGCAAGGAAAAACACAACTTGTGCTGAAGGATAAGAGAAGGCAGGGCGATTGCGATATACTGCCGAAAGATAGTGTACGGATAAGGTGATCTCATACAAGTGGGAACGGGACTTCGGCTGATAAAGAGCAGAAAGATTGGTGGTCAATATGGCTTTCTTGGTAACTTGTTTGTTTTGAGAACCCGAGCTGAGTCGAATGCTTCGATCTGATTTGCCTCCCTTTCCCTCGGGAACTCTGGGCTGGGTGCGTAAGCCTTTTCGGGTTCCTTGGATGCCGGCTTTGCTATTTCTTGGCCGGTTTGGCGGATCTAACAGTTGCGGTCAAATGCTCAAAAACTTAAACAGCACCGTCGCTTCGAGGTGTCAGCCCTGGGTATAGCTGGCCCGGAAGATTACTTGTTTGATGGTGTCAGAGAAGTCCGTCAGTTGAACGGATATTCCCCTCCCAATTTTCCTGAGACTAGGTATCTAGAAATCAAATGACGTGAGTTGGGTGCCGAAGGTTTCGCACAACAAAAAGTAACAAAACGGTCCAGGAAGTGCAGGTTTTGGGGCTGAGTTTTTGTGGGACGGTAGTAGTATGATGGGATTAAAGGTTGACAGCTTCAAGCTCGAGAGCTTTCAGAGCAGCTAAATCTCATCTTTTGATACCTGCCCTCCCTAAGGTACCCAGGCAGGGAAGAGGCAGCTCAGACCCAGCAGATACCCACTTCTGCTAGTAAATTTGAGGAAGGAATGGTGCAGCGACAAAACCAAGAGGGATTGCCCGAATGACAGGCTAACATTTCCTGCAACTGACCTTTTTCTTTCTCCTTTTTTTTTTTTTTTTTTTTTTTTTTTTTTCCGTTACCCGCCCTCTCGTCAATTGGAAAAGATTTGTTGAAGAAAAAATAACAATCAACAGACGGTTTAGCAGAGTAAGAAACAGCTTCGTTTGCGAGGGGCTTGAGCAAGAGTTCAGAGCAAATCTTCAAAAGTCTCCCCGTCCTCTGAAAGATGACAAGAAAGCTTATATGTCGTGTTTCGCGTGTGTGACTGTGGATGTTGGCCTTGGTAGACCAAGAAGTTATCGAAAAACTGAGGAGCGGACGTCCTGGCAGGCGGTCTTGGTAAAGGGGGGAAAGTCTTGGGAGAAAAAACGTGGGCGAGGAGGGTTATTAACAGCCTCGCTCTTATCCGGCAAGAGGGCTAATGAAGAAGGCCAGGTGCAGCCAATTTAGCGGCCTCGACTTGAAGGATGCATGCTCCACTCACACAACCTCCATTCCCCCCAAATTAGTGTTACCCTTTTCGCCGTTCAAAACGAGAGCTGGTCTATTTTAGCGCTTTGCATGACGAGGAGGAGTAGGAGGAGAGCAGGAGATCTTTTTTCCCCTTCCCGAGCCACCCAAACATCAGGCTCGCTTTGTTGGCGAGACGATCTAGAATCGTCTTCAAAGGCCGAAAAGAGGGGGAACAAGGCACATCCTTCCACGATCATAAATTCGCCAGCTTGACCCGAATCGTAGAAGCGAGTAAAGGATCATTCATAATTCCTACATGATGATGATGCTGGGATATCGGGACAAGTCTGCCAAGTCTGGAGGCGAGGGGAGTCAAGCCCAGACAAGCTTTTTCTTGAGTTTCCACGATCGTGTGTCCATTCCCGTTCATTCCTGACACGGAGCCTGAAAAATGGTAACAGGGCAGTATACAGTTTGCTTTTTCGCTCTTCCACCTTTGATCCGGATTTGATCATGGTTGGACTGGAAAGGATTGGATTTGATCCAGCATCGTGCGACTTCCACCAGGCTCCACATTATATTAGCTCAGCTTATGGGGACTCTTCAAAAAGCAAAAGTGGTTACTTACTTTTGATAACTATTTCCCCTTTGCCTCTCGATCTGTGAGGCGTTGAATCGTCCCCCCATTGAACGTACCGTGATACCTTTCCCTTCGAGAAACTTTATATATCTGCCCTAAGACAGGATACTTGCAAAAAGTAGGTAGACACATAGCGGGACAGGGGTTGAGTGAGGGTTTGGCTGTGACCGGAAGGTTTCTCTGGAATGGTCATGTGTTGAAGCGGTCAAACAATCGGCGATGAGACAACACATCGAGATCCGAGATAGATTTGGCTTTACAACAGTATCAACACGATGTCAATTGTCCACGGAGTATACTACGGAGTACGTAATTTACAACAAGACGATACCGCTTTGACCCCTCGAATCCCGCAGAAATAGTACTATAACCAAGCGGTGTCACGGAAGTAGCCATCTCACAACTGGTCAGAGCCTTACTACTAACTCTACAAGCCTTAATAGATTTCGACATTTTGAATTGAATGATATGGATGCTAGCTAGTCCAGTACCTGGACGCCACAAAGTGAGGGGTGCAGATACTACCTCATACATGCATGATAATCATTATTAATTTCAATCTACTTAAGTACTTCAAAAGAGACATTCTAGCTCCATCCTTCGGTTAGGAGTTTCCGCGGTGGCTCGAAAAAAAAAAAAACAATTAAAAGAAGGGAAGAACGGGAGAGGGTGCGAGGACAAAGAGGGATCCGAGTAGCCGGATAGCCGTACTCTATGAACTAATACATTTCGACCACTAGTCTAGTACACTCTTTTTCAATCGATCTTCGATTTTAGAACAAAAACGATCCAAGTGTAAGTATATATACATTTTGATTAAGCTAGCTATTTACAATGACCCCCTCCGTCACTCCTACCTCAAGGGATATCAATCTACTAGGTACGCCCGGTAGCCACGATACAGAAAATACCTAATCGGTTATTTATATCTGAGGCCTACCCCGTGGGCCACCTGGACCTCCAAACCCTCGTGGAACATTGACACGTCGAATAGCAACGGGAGAGCAATCTGGAACATCGAATCTGCCAGCACCGTATTGCCATGCGAGACCAGACCTCGGGCCAGCAGGGGTTTGGTGTGTGCAAATGTGGAATCGGTTGCTGAATCCAGCGAGTTCCAAGATACCCTGTTGGCTGAAAGACCAGCCAGAGGTACCCTGAACAGAATCGTCGGCAATATAGATGCCGCCAACGTTAGAGACCAAGTTGTGAACAACAACGAAGGGGTATTGCTCCCGGAAACCACCAGGTGGGCCGGGTCTTGGGCGTGGTGCGATATAGACAAGAGTCTTATCAGTAGTATTAAGGTAGAAGTTGACGGAGTTATTTTCGGGGATCACCCTATACATAGTGACTTTATATCAGCAATCACGAAGAGAAAAATACTCCAGAAGTAAATTATATATGACGTATTATACAAATACATGTACTTATATATATACATAAATAACTCGTGGAACTGAAAACTTACAAGTTGGCGGTGCCACCAACCGGGACATGCGAGAGAAACTTATCGTTCCAGTTGACATGAGGACCCCTGAGCTGAAGAGCGAATGGGCCATCAAGGTTGTGCGTTGGTGGGGGTGGAGGTGGTGGAGGCTGGGCGGAGACGACTCCGGCAACAGCGGCGAAAACAGTCAGTGCAGCAGTGGTGAATTGCATTTTAATAGAGAAAAGTGCGGCGGCGTTTTGGATATACCTCTGGAGAAAGATTGATGTAGAGTGTTATTCTGTATTCAAGCTCTTTGACTTCATCATCAATGGCGCGGGTTCAAGCCTTTTATACCTTGAGCCTTAAAGCCCTTAGAACTTATCTTGATCATGTATCACCTGGATATCCAGCCATGCATGGCTGCGTGGGATCATCAATGGCGCAAAACCTACTCCTTCCATCCCAAGGGGCATGCCGAGAGTAATTGAGTACCTCCTGCTCATTACGATCTGAAGACTGATTCCGTCAGAATATCTCGCCACCAGTCAAAAACAAAGCTAGGCGTCGAGCCCGGTCTCGAGGTAAGGCCGAGAATAGCCAGAAGGTCTTGAGGTCTAGACGTAGGCACCAAGCCTATTGACGCCCTGCGACCAAATTCATACACATTCTTCTTTCAATCACTGTATCTCTCTCGGCACAGGCGGCTGCCCTTGGCCAGCCTACTACTAGGTTCAGGACGAGGGGTTATAACGTTCCTTCTGGGGGGTATTCAGCTGATGGCCTATAAAATCCTCCCCCTACAGCTAGTCTATTTGCACTTCGGGAAATTGTCACAGATGAGGCAAGATCTTCTTATAACCGAAGTATTGTCCCCCGTCTCTGCAGCTTTACTACGGGACGGGGCCGTCCTTATCGTTAGAAAGCTCATTTATCTTGCCTTCCAATCTGCGGGGTTGACCTAGATAGCCTTGTCATCGCCCAGCTCTTGGCTAATGCATCCGGAAGCCTGTCAATTGGGATTCAATAACCCTGCGGCATCTGTTATATCTTAGTACATGGTGCCTGTTCTGCATTGGATCCGGACTTCTATCATCTTGTAATAGCGTCGAGTCGTTAACATCGCGACCCAATGATATCGATATCTAGTCAATCACAACCAATATCTTAATACCGGTACTAACACATAGCAAGAGATGAAACGGGAGCTGTCGCGTCTTCCTACAGAAATTAAACAATTGATCACAATATCGATCGTCTAAAATGCATAGATCTGCCAGCTGCACCTATCGAAAAGCATCATGGGCAATCCCGGAAAAAAAACCGATGGTAGCAAACCGATATCTGCAGGTCCAAAGACGATGGCAACTGCGGAGGTGTTTTGCTTTCAAATCACGCAATCTAAGAATCGACGTTACATACAATACCATTCATCTGGGGAAAATTTTTTTTGCAAGTTTATGAAAAGGGAAGGTGTTGATTGATCATGTCATCTAGGCACTCGATTCCCCAGATTGAGCAGGTTGTTATTTAATGTAGTATACTAAAATTTACAGAAAACCCAACCATTTGGGTGTTAGGCCGGTTTATACACAAACAAACACTTTCTAGAACAAAGCCCCAAAAAGGGGTTTATACTTATGGGTTCCTAGAAGACTGTGAAAGGCTAGTAGACGATGGGGAGGTGGCGGTGGCACTGAGACTCTAGCTGACCCTGGATCCTATTTGAATGTAAAGCCATAATTGTATAAAAATACCGGGGCGGGGCAAACGGTATACTCCTAGACGTCCTATACTTCTCAGATTGTATATCACAACCTGAACAACAAAGAGGTGACCATAGACGAGCAACTCCATTCGCCTTTCCTTTAAACCAGACGCTTCCAATCCCACATAATCGATATATGTTGATGATCTCAGATCATATGGACGGTGATAAAGCACTAAAGCTTCTCTCGTGGAGAAACTTCTTTTTCAAAATCCAAGATAAAAAAATCCCATCGCGTGGTGCTGTGTCGTGAGCGGAAGTTCAATCAGCGCATTACCCCAAAGTATTGCCACCAAAATTTGTGGTGAAGAATGGATTATTCTAATTGTCTTGACCACTCTTAGTACCTGTATAGCAGCCTAACTTAAGATAATCATGATATATTGATAAGGTACCGACGGGGCTTGAAAGTGGAGGACAATCGGTATTCAAGTATTTCAATATCATGCCTCGAAGAATTCCCGTTCAAAGACCTGCGAGTTGATGATAACAAAGAGTCCTGTTCTCAATATGGGCTTGTAAAAGGGTAGGCTACTAATGATATTGACTAATAAATATTTTCGAATATATAAATATTGACCTCTAGATATGCCCGATTTCCGTGCTCCCAACCCTGGTAGATATCAAACACGCCTGTAATGCATTTGCATATGTCTGCATGTAATTAATATTAATGGCCATTTATCAATCGGGCTCGGAGATCAGGTAGCGATGTCGACAGTCCTCAGTGTTCCCAAGCACGAACTCCCGACTCAGGTGCATGCTTGAGCTCTCGCCTACTTTGACAGTCAACAAGTACCTATGGGTAATGTTGCACTACGCTACGCGACGTTGATTGGTATTGATAGTATTGATAGTATATACGTAAGTATATATATATATAGCGGTATAGCGGTGCGCCGCGTGATCGAGTTAACTCGAATTTTTGTGTCGCACAGCTTTGAATCGTGGTGACACAGGGGAAATTCAAAAATGCAACAAAAATACAAACCAAAAATGGCCATGGTTCAACACTTTTTTGGACCCGCGGTCTGGATCCAAGATGGTGAAGATCAATTAGTCCAAGGGTACCCGGGTATTTAAATCTTTATCAATTATCTAACCACGAGCTCCAGAAGGACTTCTAGCACTCGAACTTATCTATTCAATTCGCCACTTGGATTGCTCCTGGATGTAAAGGTAGATTTTGACACCTGCATTCCCCCTACAACTGCGAGTACGCAGCAATCGACTCAAAAATTATATTCCCTTCCGCCACAGACCCATGGCCCGCCCAAAAAAAAGAAGAAGAAGAGGAAGAAAAGCCGTGATATCTACTGCCTAAGCGTATATAGTATTTGTGAAGGGCTCTAGTAGCTAGACCGGATATCTTTAAACTCTAATAGCTGGCAGTGCAGAATGCGAGGTGTACATGTAGTGGAACCACGGCTTTCTAAAAATGGACTTGCCGGATAGAGCGAGCTCGCGAGCCGATTGTAACATCGCTTGCAGCTGCAGAACGCGACGGCAACGATCTGAGTAGACGTCGTCAAAAACACGTGCACTTTTTTAACCCCGCATGCGCAAGTTCGGACAAAAATTTCGCTCGTGTGTAATGTAGGGCTTACGTTTCATCCACACCTGAAAATCAAGCATTTTCTTGGAATCTTGGATGTTCTGCTGAGAAAGTGGTATGGTTATTTTTTATTTTCACCACAACTTGGATTTTAATCTCAGGCACAGCATATTTGTCTCGTACCCAAAGAAAAAAGCAGACTCATTAGAATTTTGTCAATGTAAGTGTGCATAACTAAAAAAAAACAAACAAAATTATTTTATTATGTCGCCGACAAAGGCAAAGGAAGGTGAGTTAGACATTATGCACTAATACATGAGGTTTGAGGAAGCTTGAAACTAGCAATCTCGATTCTGATAAATTTAGGGATTAGTAAAGAATATATGCAACGCCGAAGGAATGTGATCTGCCATAAGTTCATAAAGCCAATATGCAATAAACATAAAAGAAACTTGTTATTGATAATTTTTATTTCTCCCAGCCCGAATTTTTAATTAGCAGACGGTAATGTATAGACCAACCCTAGATTTATCAATTAGTATCATATATATCTACGATTATTGCAGTTGTGCCTTTAACAGAGGGAACTCACGCTGAAGGGTTATAATCTTGGAAGTATCTGAGGTTGGTATCCGTGGAGCTGATTTCAAAGGCGATCTTCTGGCCGTAAGGGCAGTCAAAGGTGGAGATGGTATAGCTATGTCCCGGAACGACCTTGGTGACACCGTAGTCGACGCTATTTCCGCCCTGGTTGTTGTAAGTTGTGCTTTGTGTAGCCGGTGAAGACTTCTTCCAGAAGTGAAGGTTTCCTACACCGGAGAAAGTATAGGAACTAGTATCCGAAGGAGGGTTGGTTGGGAAGAGCCAGACAAGAGAGCACTTCTTGCCTTTAAATCCCGGACGAACATCAAAATTAAAGATAGTGGCCTTCGAGGATGTGATCTCGCCGAAATATGATGTTCCATAGGCTTTATTCGGGTTCTTCTTGTCAACTGGCACAATCAAGTGAGGGAACTCAAAAGACTGGCCGTTGGGATATACCAAGCTATATGGACAGGACTTTGGTGGCGGTGGAGGTGGTGGAGGTGGTGGCGCGCTACAGCCCTTAGCAGTCAGCCAGACCTTAACACACTTGGTTTGTCCGGCGACTGGCTTGCTGTAGATATTCCAATTACCATAATCATCGACGCTACATAGAGAAGTTAGCCGAAATTGGTTCACAGTTTATATTTGCCTTGCCGAAATAGAGCTTACGGGCAGGCCCAAAACTCTCCCTTGCCATTGTAGGTAATACCACCATTGCTACCAATGGCAAACCCAGTTGTAGGTGATGCACCTTCGTCACACTGGTACTGGGTGGTTGGAGGCGTCAAGATGCATCCACGGCCTTTAGCGTCAACGACTCCGCCATTGCAGCCGAGATTATACTTGGCCGGGGTTGGGGTCTTTGGTCCAACACGGTTCTGGCCATCAGAAATCTGTCCAAGGGGACCACTAACACCGCCAGAGACGCTGATAGTGAAGCCTTGACACTTGTAGCATGGATTTCTGGGGAGGACCAAGGATTGGACCGAGGCGGCCAACGAAAGGAGTGCGAGCGCAAATGTTGGTCGCATTGTTACGAGGATGGTTTATGGTGCCAAAACCAAAGAGTGGAGTATTTGAGAACGAGTGGATTATAATTATATGCAATATATGTTGGATGAAAACAAAGAGCTAACCACTTATGATCGTCTTTTCTATGTATCGATGAGATTGGTTTCAAGTAAGACGATTACGGAGGGCATGAAGACGCCTTTATATAGACAAGCTTTCATTGTTCCAGTACATGATGCAGGGTATTTATTAATACCTGGGCACCCGGGTGACAAAATAAACCGAACAACGCATTTTATCTAAATATAAGGCTAATAGGCCATTATTTTATCTTCTGTGTTTATAATAGATTGTAGTTTTTGGGGTATGCTTTTTATTTATTTGTTAATTATATTTTGTTTAATTGAGTTTTATCTTTTAATAATAAGTGTTTTAATAGATTTTTTATTTTAATGTGGTGATAATTGGGTATAGTTTTTAGAAATTTATTATATATTTTTAATAAAATTTAAATTTAAAAATTAGTTATAATTTTAATAATGTTTTAATTTATTATTATTTTTTTATTTAGTAATTTGGTTGTTTGTTTTAGTGTTATAATTATTATTATTATTTTTTTTTAATATAAATTTATAATCTGCTTTAAATTATGGTTTAATAATAGATTTTAAAATTTAGTTTATATAGATTGAATTTAATATTTTGCTATTAATATTAATAGTAGTGTAGAATGTAATATTAAATTTAAAGTTATAATTAATTATTATTTAAATATATAATTTAATGTAATTTTTTTTAAAATTATGGTGTTAGTGTATATATTTAGGTTTATATTGTTTATTAAATTTTTTTTAAATCTTGATTTTACTTTTAATATTAAAGTTAAAATATAATTTATTATTAAATTTAATATAGTATTAGTTATTAAATTTAAAATACTTATTTAATATAAATTTGGTTTAAGTTAGTTATTATTAATAAATTATTTTATTAAAATAGTTTATTTTATAAGTTATATAATTATTATAATTAATTTTGTGTATATAATATATTATTATATATCTAATTATAAAGATTTTTATTTTAAAAGTTATAATTTTATGGGATAGAATTCTAATATTTTAATTTTTAGTTTAAAATAGTTTATTTTGGGTTTTAAGTTGGGCTTATAGAATAATAATTTTATAGTTTTGTAATTTATTAATTAGATGATATTTGGTGCTATTATTATTAATAGTAGTATTTATACTACTAATATTATAATTATAAAAATCTGCTAGATTTTTTTAAGTGTAGAAGATATTTTTAGCCTTATAATATATATATATAGCTTATATGTCTATTTTCTAAAATATAGTAAAGTAGTAGTTATTTTTTTTAATGTGCTTTGGAGTATACAGCTTTATAGTAGTGGTAGTAATGGGGACAGGAGATGAAATGCGTTGTTCGGTTTATTTTGTCACCCGGGTGCTGGGCTACAGCGCTATTCTAGCTGTGATCATATGATGGAAAAGCCAAGTACAAGCCCAAGGCGGATGTATCTCGGAAAGTGCGATCCGTCGATATCCTCTGCAAGTATACAGGCTTAACGATATTCGACAATCATTCCTTGTCTTGATCTGCATGTATAATATTGCTTTTCTCTTTAGACCGGGGAAAATTTTCTTTCTTTTTTTCGGCAATAATAGTTATCGATACAGCTAGAGCTCTGTCACATAGTTCAAAGTTTCTGTAGGTGATTGGGAAACACATTTTACCAAAAGAAGCTTTGTTACATTTTGACGTCAGAACAACGTCTCCACCTGTACCCGAGGCTGGAGGTACTACAGAGAGTGAGGTAAGGGCGCGAGGATAACATGTGAGTACTTTGTGCTCCCGGAGAAATGGGAGATTATACTAAATTCATCAGGAGGGACTGACCAGAGGAACTCGTATCCAAATCTTTTTCAAATTTAGTCACGCAAATGTAAAATTTCATACAGATGCGGGAAGCTTGTGTGCGACACTTGTCAACCAACTTCGGGGTGACCTCTAGGAACATGATGAATGGCTTGGGATCCGGAGCTTGATAAAAGGAAGGGTTACATTGCAACTTTGGGAAACCAGAGCTAGACCGCTGACTAGACTTCTGTTTTAGGGTTTGATCTGGCAAATGGGAGGCTCAAGTCTGTTTGGCCTACGGTTAAGGAACCGAATTCCTGCTTCGCTAGGCTAGACCACTTCGTGCGTCTAAGACTCGCAAATCACTCCATTGTCTCAAGTTCAAAGCCTTGTCTGACTTCATTTTCCGGATAGCGCTTCCTGCCCGACAATTGTTGAACATGAGATTGAAACCGACGTGGTGAATTTGCGACTAGATGCTTGAGCATGCGTACTGGTCGTGAGGTCAGACACGTACACGTTCGCTACGCCCTGCGATATGAGCGACGACGGAAAGTTTGAGCCCGGGATGGAAGAGCTAGAGTCGTCATACCGGTGATAATGGTGATTGAACCCCTCATTCCGAGAGCATCGACGTATATCCAGAGTGTGGTCGGTCTCCTCCCGCGCGTCCCTACTCCATATAGCATTTCGCCTGCATATCGACCATTTGTGGTTAAGTGTTGGAATGAAGTCACTCCATGTTTTCAGCATCATACCACTTCTGCTTCAAGCGAATATGAGGAGACAAACCGTTAACTTTCTCTACAATGCAAGCCTCCTAAGTTAAAAATAGCATTCAACAGTACTGATGCAGTTGATCGTCTAACGCAACCTTCAAGGATCGGGCTTCTAGTGTGCGTCGATAGTGAGGTGCAGCGATCAACTGGAATCGATGCATGGCCGCGACCTGTAAGCTAGCCAGAAACAGGCCAGGATCGAAAAAAACTTCGACGAAAACTATATGCATCTTCAGCCTCGGAAACACCAGTCCATGGCATTGTGTTAATAATGACTCGGCTTTTTACTCCGTAATTGCATCCCCTCTGTCCGGTGGCCGACAAGCTGGTACCTTAGGAAGCAAGTCTTCGGACAGCGCTGCAGAATCTTGATGTGGCATTAGGCTACAACCTGGGTACCTGTACCTTGAACCCCGATCTTGCCAGCTCAAACCGAGGGCAATCCTATTCCGGATATATTCCCAGTTGCGATCAAAAATGTCGAGTTTTATTTGATCCACAAGTTTTTCTCGATAAAATCACACTCTCGGAAATTTCTTTCGTTGTTAGACTGTGCTCTGGAATTAATTCCCGCCGTAACTTGGCCTTGGCCGCAGAGAACTCGTGCTTTTGGGTGACGTCGGCAGCTTGATAACCCTGTCCCCAAGGCCGCATCGTGTGGGGAAGCTGCAGAAATCCCGCCGAAGTGCATGCATCGACCTTGCCAAGGCCATCTTCCCCATGGGTCTCAATTGAAGCGAGAAACCCGGCTGGACGTGGCTGGCGAAAATATGCCAAAACTAACAAGAAAATTATCTTAGTCGCTGACAAAAGATACTGTCCACAAAAATAATGGAGAATGTAACCTCGATCGAGACGAGTATACGGGCGGTAAATCAGAAGGCAAAAAATTGGCTTTTCTGGGTTTGCAGCGAGACCTCTTGGCTAACATAATCGCAACTTTTCGAATTTCTTTTGCCTTTCTACCCCGTAAAAGGTAGATCTTTCTCCTGCAGCATCATTCATGTATTCGGCGTAGACGATTTACACGTCGGTTCCAATTTAGGGTATCTAAGTTATAAATCTTAGTATGGTTGGCTGCCGGAACATAGACGGAACGTTCATGCGAAAGCAGGGTGGACAGCCGGCAGCGCACGTCGGAGTCAGTTAGTTACATGTACAGAAGGCTTCAAAAGATTCGTCTCAACTGCAGGAGTTCTTCTAAGCCCCTATAGATATGAAGAAAATCATTAAAGTCCATAGCGAGACGATGTTGCTTCAAATAATGTCGACAATTACTGTACAAGCCTCTACCAAGGTATTACATTGCATTGCCTCCAAGCTAGCAAAAAGGTTACCCAATCTTCGAGGCTCGCATACGCATACGCACAGGGTGTAGAGTCATCGAGCTTTATCAATCGGAAGCATACATCACGCTAAATTCATGACATCCTATTGTCTTCGTGGCTATGCCTGTCGGTGGAACACGAGATGTTTTTCAAGGATTTCCTGCCGCTTGGAACGAGACTACAGTTCTGGCACCCGTAAAGCTTAAAGTGTTATTGGTTGCGCTTTAATACGACTTCTAGACGATTGGAATATATATTCAATACTTAGGCCTTGAGGCTAATTTTTAAGTCATGCAGCAGATCTGGGGGACGCTCACCCCTGGCTTGACAAGTCATGAACTCAGTACACGTACTGAGATGCGCATGCATTAGCTTGATATTGACATATGCCTAGCTTTAGCTTTGTTCTGGTCATCGTTTGGTACTATCGGCTTGATTTTTGAAACTATGGCATCCCTATGTAAGCATGTATATGCCCGCATGCACATGTATCGAAATTATATATTAGAATGATTTCAGACATATATATTTTACCATATTTCTAGAACCCTGTCCTTGGACCTGAGATCGGAATCCTCAGCGTACGCGTACACGTATTCCAAATCCGCATGCATATATTCCTACAGACTAGATGGTCAAGGTATGTACGAGGTAAATGTCCCTAGTTAACGTCCCCCGCTGTTTTCGTTTAGCCCATATATATATACGCTCCAATTCTTAAGATAATACCATATAATATACAGCCATCAGGTTAACCCATAAGCAGAGCGCATCTACCTTATCAACCCAAATAGAATACTACCTAGTTCCTCTAGATCGGTCTCAAATCAGGTTCGAATTCCGCTGCGCTGAAACGTCAGAGTAGCTTTGGCCTTGGCTAGCGAATGCCACAGTTGTGAGCATCTAGATCTGCAGATCTCGGTATATACTCCAATTAGATCTAACCTCGAGCCCTGCTTTCACGATTATAATGCACCGCAGCGCCGCTGACACCGCGTAGGCAATCTAATCTCAACAAAATAATCCAGGACCGGATTCGATTGAATCCATGGAAAGACCCATATTCCATCAGTCGAGTCATTATGTTCGCCCGAAGGTGCCACAATTGAAAGCCAGTTACTTAACCCCAGGGCATAGATGCATCGTGACAGATGTCCGAATACTATTTAACATTCTCGAATGTCAATCAGACTTCCAATATATTATTCCAGGTGCTCCTTTTTTGGATAAAACGGTCTGGTACCACGTACAACCATACCTCCAACATCACGGCTCATCAACAATTATAACACCGACGCCGGTGCCCCCGGCTCCATTGGGAAAATCCAATATTATCCAAACACCAAATTGGCGGTTAAAATTACAGAACCTCCCAAATATTCAAAACTGCCCACAAGGTTCTTCCCTATCGATATACCCTTGTAACCTCGCCTTTCTTTTTCAGAACGTCGAACAATCGAATGAATGCCCAGACTCTGGACCGGATCCTAATCATTACCAGGATTTGGTCGACGTCCGAACAATGTCACACTTGCACTCTTAAATTCAACATTCGGAGTGAACACATATATTGACATATATCCCAATTCCACCCCGGCCCCACCTCTGTACAACATAACATCAGGCATTATTCCTCCTCGCACTACCGTTTTCCACGCTTAACCACAGACTTTGTTGAACGCTAGTGCACGCTATCGAAAGTGTTTCCCAGTATACATATCTCGCACGATATTTCGCCATATCTACGTTAATAAAGGGTTCAAGGGTACAGGAAACAAAAAGGAGGGAAGCCATTCACCTAATCGATCCCATGATATGATTATAGACAGGTGATTACACGTATGATGTAGCCAAAAAAAAGGCCAAGGATTGAAAGTACTATCTAAAATTATATGCGCATCTGATAGATATCGATATCGATCACATAGACCCTTATCGCCTCGGGTTCGTAAAAGCAGATATACGTGCGCGACCGACCCGGAATCTCAAATTAAGTGCAAATTAAACGATTTTTAGTGCACGCGTACGACGTGGATAACACTTCCTACTAGAAAAGGCTACATTGCTTGCATGCCATTACCTGCATCATCTTTAAACTGGCTGCCTTAATATCCTGTGACTCCGCGTGAGACGGTCATCGGCGTTCACAACGTGCGATGGAAGTAACTCAGGCAGGGGTTGACCAACATTAGAAATGGAACCTCAGCCACTCCAAGATTAACGGAGATGTATCCAACAAAAGACCGAAAAGCAAGATTCCTAGATAGCTTCTCTAACTACTATTTGTATACCTCGGCACATTAGCTCCACCGTTGCAATACAATGCAATTCAACCTTCTCGCAGGAGCTCTTCTAGCTCTGAACTAAAGCTAGCTAATTGAGTAGCTAGCTACCTGCCCATCTCATAACAAAGAGCGAGCAAGGACCCGGATTTCAACATCGATGTATATGTATCTGAAGCTACGATAGAAAGGAAAACGTTAATCTGCACAGCCTGAGTTTCATGACATGCCTCCGAACCTTCCGATTAATAACCTCTTAACTTCGATCGCGACTTGAGATCTCGGGGTCTTTTCATTAAGCTAATGGTAACCCCCCTTGATTAGGCAGCTGCTAACATATGTTGGGACGGAAATTCATGCTCCCTCGTCTCTCCTTCTCAAAATCCAACATCTTGAACCTCAAGGAAAAGGTAGTTCTAGTACACTAAGAGAGAACGTCTCGAGATAGTGGATAGCTATGCAAAACTGAAATTTTATCAAATCCCGCAAGGACTTCAATAAGCAGGAGTAGAAAGGGGTTTTTATTTTTTATTTTTATTTTTTATTTTTTTATGCATATTCCCTTACCTATACAGACATTAGATTTATTGCGTCTGACGACCCTTGCGCACAAAAACAATAGCGACATTTTCACCAACCACCATTCGTAACGACACTCAGAAACCCAACATCCCGCCTGTCAAGGTCAAACTCTCCGCTAATATACACTACAATCTCATTGCTAGATCAACCTAAGTTGAACTATCATTCCATAGCAAAAATGATGTTGGGCGTATCAGAAACTACGACGTAGACTAGCGTGGTCCCAAACGGCTGGATATCCGGAGCAGTTTCCTCTCACAGTGTCCGTCGCAAAAGCGTATGTGTAAGGAAGTGTATAACAAAATCCGGCCCCCTGCAGGAGATCATCTCCAACCAGACTAGCTCATAGACGACGTTGATATTAAATATTAATTACGGCACATGCGAGACATCCAACAGCTGCACTTGTTCAACGCGGCCTTTTAGTTTTCGTAGATTTTAACAATTTTGATCCCCCCCTCGAATTTAATGAGAAAATATGTTTATGTCGATCGATGCTATCGCATACAGGCTGAAAGGTAAACGACGCATTTAGAAGAAACTTACAGATGAGGTATAGGCACACTGAGATGGACATAATAATAAAAACGACCGATAAGTGAAAGACATAGAATAAATAATAGTTTTAGTACCCCTGCGTATCAAAGTAGTATCCACAAAACTCCCAAGCATTAACGAAAGAAAAGGCGTTCCCGTGATATCCATACATCGAAAGTGAAGAAAAAGAAATAAAAGAAGAGGAAGGAAAAGGAAAATAACTAAATCACAGATTGGCGAGATCATTAATTCATTACAGTATCTTCCACAATATAACCACACTCTTCCATTAATCCAACCCCTTGCAGAATATGTATCCATGACTCCTTGTGACACCCGCCGACTCCCATCCACCACACCTTCGAAATCATAGTTCACAACTACTCCTAGGAGTAATCATCACTAAAATAGGCGAGCAATACTTCCTAATCTGCACTTGAATGGCCAGGCCTTCCTCCAAGACTAGGTCGTCTAGATCATCTCCGTGTTCAAAGCTATAGTCAGACTCGTCATCCGATGTCAAGTCCGCAATACTTGCCACACAATCTTCGTAGTCATTCGTCATCTCAACTCCAAGGAGGTCGGTGTTTTTTCCGACGTGTGAGTTCATAGCTTTCCTTGGGAATGTGAACTCCTGAGGAACCCCTCGCAGCGTTCCTTCCTTATCGTGGTGATCAGCGTTGTTGAATTCGAATTGAAAGTCCGAAAATTCTGTTTGGTAGGTACTCGTGCTCATGACGGAGTATTCTGATGAAGCCGAAGTATTCCTCGAGTGCCCAGAAGGCCCGTTAAGCTTCTTGTTATTTCGCTTGAGTTCGCATCTCTGTGAGTCCATTGGTAGTTCAGGACTAGGATAGGCAGACGATGATTGTGATTGTGCTCCGTTTCCGTTAAAATTAATTGTTTTGCTGCCACTGATCATCTCAAAGAGAGTGTACATTTCATCATCCTGACCGTCGTCCATGATGTAAAGGTTCTGATGGGCGGGAGTGTAATCTTTGCTAGATATCCTAGGAGGTTTGTCGAAGACGTAATTTGGTGAAGGAGCAGGAGAAGCATTAGGGCTGGTTCTAGACGAACCACCAGAGTGAGAAGGAGGACGCTTCTGGAGCCTACGAGTAGTAGAAGATCTTCGCCTAGGAGAAGCGCTTCGTCGAGGAGATACAGGAAGACCTTCATGATTTGGGATGTTTGGGTGATGATGGCCATGGATTACCGTCTCCTTGGCGGAATGCGGTGGAAGAGGTGTTACAGTAACCTCGCGTGGTACAACCATGATGTCCTTGAGAGATGATGCAGAGTCTGCTTTGGCGTGGCCACGGAAGAAAGTACGCTTCTTCTTGACAGTCTGAGGATCAGTTGGAATCGCAGTTGATTCCTGGGTGATAAGATCGGCTTGATGAAAAGAACTGGACTTGGGAAGCTGGGGTTTCGTAGCATGGAAGAGAGACATGGTGGACAGATATATACTATGCTATGCTAGATAGATAGACGAGTTTCTATTCCTCCGACAGAATAATGCAATGCAATGCGATGGATCCAATGGATCGGACTATTCGCAGTCGGCAAGGTATGGTGGGGTGTAATGTAAGTCTGAGGAGGCGAAGCTGCGAATGTTGGCTAACAGCGAGAGGTGTGTTGCGTTGCTACCACTTGCTAACTTGTGTGATAACTGGCACAAAACGACACCGGATGTTATGTATCTCTAGTGAGTCCCGAGGATACGACAGGCACCAGGCTACCTTTACGAACAAAAGCCTTGCTGATTTGGTTAGACGGCCGGTTAGCAAGCTATTTCGACATATATCGCTGAGCTATGCAAAGGAAGCGAGACGGTGCAAGTTAGGATCCCGCAAGCCCCAGAAGGATAAACGAGGAATGACCAGAGCGGCTTTGGAAGGAAATGAGTCTTGGTTTAAGTTATGCGAAAACTCCCCATATCCAGAGGCAAAGTTACGAGAAGCAAGGGAAACTCGAAAGCGAGGCAAGGGAATTGAAGCGGAAGGGAGGTGGTGTATAGAAACATCGGGACTATCTGAGACGAGGCAAAGCTCGAGCTCTTATTCGACGAGACTGTTCCTGCACACCAAGTGTGTAACGGATTTTAAAGGACTTACCGATCAAAAAGTGCTTTGGCGATGCAATGATTCGACAGAGGAACCGAAACGAAACGCTCGGAATGGGGGCCGCCTTCGTTTCAGTACGCCGTATGTTTTTTGGGAGCTGGAGGAAAGATATAATTATAATGGCCAGTACCTTCTCTTCTCACCCTTTTTTCCCTTTCACTTGAGGTTGCAACCGACTTAGAATAAAGAGGGAAAAAAAAAGAATTAACAAAGTAGCGTGACAGAAGGCTGTCGGTTCGAATTCGTATGCAGATGCACAGGTGGCTGGGGTCGCGGTCTTAATTGAAACACCTGTTTTTTGACTCTGATCTTGACGATGTGGAAAAGCACACACACACACGCACACATACAACCCCCCGTCCAAGATGGAGAGAGAGGAAAACAGCGGGTACCTTTTGACAGAAGGGATGGGCGACGACCTGGACTAAATGTCAAATCGATGATTGGTACTCTTCGAGGTCCTGGATGGTTATATAGAATGCAGCTAGCGGATGCGAAAAAGAAAGAGCGAGCACGATGTTGTCTGAGAACGACGCCTGCTACTGGCAGACGGCTCGAGGGAACTTGGGTATACTCCGCATATAAACGTCGAAATAGGGACGGGACTAGACTATTTCCAAGAAAGACGATGGATCGAGGTAAGGGCCAGAAAAATTAGACAAAATTCAAATTCAAAAAGAGCCACAGCTGTGCAGTTTTTTTTCTTGGTTAGAGACAAAGCCAAATGGAGCCACTTTTGGAGATTTAAAGGGAGTCGACAAGTATGACCGCCTGCATATGCATTTTGTAGGCGAACCTAGTTCTGGTATTTCATGCGAGCCACCAAGATAGTCTTCGGTACTCCACCGCACCAGAGTAGCTAGGCGTTCTTGGGCCTGCCTCATTTTCATTTCCCCGAACGGATACCATCTCTCCCATTCGCCTAGTTTAATCGATGATATCAGTCGGAATCGCATATCAATGCGAGATCAAGTTTTTTTTGTTTCGAACATTTCTGAGGAGGGTACAAGTCAAGCTTTGCAAGATAATGCCATCATGTTTGCTCCAGTTTTGGGAATGGCTGGATAAGGGAAGTTAACCAGGTCTCAGTTCTGTCGGATCAGACCTTGAGCACGCACAGGGTCTTCCCTGACCAAAAATAGAGATGACCAACCTTAGTGGTTCGGGAATGGAGAGACACTGGGAAAACTTTTACAAGGTTGTGGGCCTGGATCAGCAAGGGCATTAGTACAAAAGCTATACCTAATTTGGGTTGAAACGATCGACACCACAGCTTCAGGCGTCATCGAGTCAGGAATTCGAAAAGCTGTGCTCTAGAAGATTGTTCGAGATAATATCGATACCATATATATATATATATATCTCCAATTGTGAGAATATGTAGTTTCATATTCTGTGCAACCTTGGCTACATGCTCAAGGGTCCCTATATTCAAATGCTAGTCAGGGCAGGAGCCTTTTTGCTTTGTACGGGCACCGCGCACTCATAACGCAGCTTGCGGTCCGGCCCAAAACCTATTTTTCTATTTCTGCATCCCCATTATTATATTTATTTTCGACTATATGGGGGGGAATGTTATTTTGGCGCAAGAAACCGGCGTTGTTGAGCAGAAGCATATTATATTTCTTCTTCAATGAAATTTTCTCCCTTGTGGGGACATCGTGGTTCTTGGCTCGCCGGTACCGCGGAGTTCTCTTAGCTTAGCACCTACTTAAGTATGTAACGTTGAAGATCATAATCCTTCCGTTTATCATGGGCGAAAATGTAAGATAAGACGGATATCATGGTTTTGCCCTTGGGTGCGGCCGGTTATGGATCAAGATATAGCATGGACGTTATACAAGTACAATATAAGTACTTAGGTATGTATACTCGGCCTGGACTTGGTATCCGAGAGACATTTCGACATCGGCGCAAGAATACTTGCAAATACACTATTCTGGAATCTGATTTAGGTACTCCCACGACCAAAAGCCAACATCTATAGCGGGTGAGAATATTAGCACACGGGAAGACAACGAAATTTCAACGGCAGGAAAAGATATTCAAAAACGGCGATAGGTCGATGAAAAGTGGATACCTAGTTGTCCGAACTTCCGGCCACAATGTACAATGCAGGTCGTAATTTGAAGATGCAGCCGCAGAGCGGTGGAAAGAACGCCACTATCGAATGTTATTGCTAGATTGCAACCTTATTGCTGAGTGCGTTCAGGAGGCCTGCAGCGGAAAGCACGGTACAATATTCGCAACGATCAAACAATGATTATAGGGGAAAAGATCGATGCGACGTCCGAAGATGGTGTGAATCTCCATGGTTCAGTATAGTAAATTGTGGGGGGAAAATTTTTATATATACAATGTGAATAGGTGATAGATAGGCCAAATTGGTCGCCTTCCTTCAGTTCTAGGTAATTATAATAGTCCTCTGCAGCTCTGCTTGTTAAATTCACGGCCAAATTTTATCAGACCATACACGTTTGTTGTATTCAACAACTCCCTTTGGCGAACTTCGTTGTATTTGCTACATGTTGAGAAGCTTGGCAATCGCAAGTTAAGCTGTTCTTTAGCATAGCATATAGTGCGGATTGGGCAGCCAGTCTCAGCACTAAACTTGACATGCTTCCCCATTTCTGTGGCTAAGATTATGTCTAATACAGGCTTGAGTAAACTTTAAGAATTCTACAAGACCTTAAGGACATACTTTATTCAGTTCTGTCATGATCAGATCCATGGACAGCATGCTATATTTCTTCGTCAGTAATGCATATAACACTAACGAGCCTACCTCGTTTATTAATCATTGTCCTAAATTATGCACAAAAACCAAATACAAGCATCCTTCAGAATTCTTTGAAAATGCCTATTCTGCTCAAATTGATGTTTAAACCGTCGTGGGTTTGATTTATTTAAGGCACGTGTCACAATCGCCGTGTTAGGACCTGAGATTAATTGCTATACGATCTTCAGAACGGAAATATAGTATTTGCCAATCCCTCACATTTTTATCATTGCTAGAAATCACTTTTTATGTAATAAGATTCCGTTAACGTGGGTTGCTTCAATAAGAATTCCCGCTCTCGATATAGGAAAGTGTATTTTAAATTCGTTTCCTGGTATATATTTATTTATACAGGAGAAAGATTCTTGCGATTATATCACGACACGGCAAACGCTAAATCACCATGATGATTATTAGGCAGAGTATTGTGGTGCGGTATTACCAATAGAAATAACTGGATTAGAAATATGTGCTCGCAAATCTGTAAGAAACAGGAAAGCCGTCGAGAAACTTAAAATCTCCTCTACATATATAGTCAAGCTAATTTTTTCAGTATTAAGTCGAACAAAAGGAAAGTCCAGTAATTTAATCGGGGTTTCCATTCTTTCTTATAATCTAAGTAGCTTAGAGCTAGAGTAAAATCACGGCACCAAAAAGACCTATATAAAAAGATACTATTGATTAGAATATTAACCCAATAGGTTTCTTTTTGTTCTTTTTTTTTTTTTTAATCCGGTAGCACAACGAAATATAGGTATCCTTGAGGACTTTGAAGTTATAACGATTGTGACGATTTTCAATTTCGCCCTAGGTATCTCCCCAAGCTTTTTGATAAGACGATAATGGAATGGCTAAAAATCCGAATCGGGATTTAACAGAACGAGATCAAGTCAAGAGACCCATGTTAGGATCTGGGATCTCGCGCACATGCCGTAATTAGACTAGATGGATACTAGCAAACAGGCAATTGAGATATTGGGATAACATGACGCGCATATGACCTCTTGATCAGATGAATCGCGCCTTCTGACAATACTGCTCCCAGCTGGCTTGAAAAGCGCAATACCAAAAAAAAATACAACAAAATTCCATGTTGTGGGCTTGATTAATCAACGAAATCTGTTTCCGAGTGAACCACTTATAATCAAGTTCTTAACTAAGTACTTAAGTAGTACTTAAGTAGGTTGTTAACTACAGATTTCATTTTGGCGGCTCAGATCTCAGCCAATTTATCTAGATTATAAGTTTGTTATATATACAGAAGCAAATCACTTCCCTGCAGGTATTCTTCGCTCTATAAATATAAAACGAGAGCCATGCTCCAAGTATTTTGCTCCCGTTAGACCTCTTCGCCTAGGCGCCCAGGAAATGTTGCACGCTGTATTATATTCGGTAAGTTGAGTAAACAGCGGAAGAATTTCTGTTTGTCTTGTCCGAAGTGTTTTTGTGATACCATATCGATCGGGAGTTGTTAACATAGAACCCTTGGAAGAGCTCTCGCGATCCCGAAACACAACGATATAAAAGTTTCCATTCAGATATTCCAATAGATGCTTACTTAGTCTGCCTTATTTTAAACTAAACTATATAGATTTGCGGGAAATGATACAAACAAAACTGAAAACCCATCACCATCCCATCACCATCCCATCACCAACCCATGCTGATGCCGCAAAACAAAAAAGATTTCAAACATTTGAAACAAAATTCGGAAACAAAATTAAAAACTAGGAAACGGTGCACCGAAGTCAAACATCGATTCAACCAAATATGGTACTCCGATCAAATGCAGTAAACCCAAGTTCAAGATTGCGCCTAGCGCTATAACCTTCAATCCACCGAAACCCCGCCGCATAATCGCCTAAGTGCTCAAATTTGTTCTATCGTTAACCCCTAGTGTCTAATAAACTTAAATTTCGCTCTCTATATATACTTCGAACTTAATAATAACTAATTTTCGAGTTTTCTGATTGTTGGGAGAGACTTAATAGGATTGCGTCTTGTCCTTTCAAAGCCAGGGTCGAGGGGCCCGGGGCAATTGCCGTTGGCATCGACGTTGCGAATTATACCATCAGTGCAGTCGCATTGGTCCAGATCCTCAACCCTATGGTATTATTAGTCACAGCTACTACTCTAATGTTATAATAGCTTTCTGAGCTTACCGTTTAGAGCATTCAACGCCCTTGCTGGTTGATGGATTATATCCACCGTCCCCTTTGACATGTACCTTCCATGCGAGACAGTCAGTGACTCTAGCGCCACCATGCTTTGATTCAACGGTAACTGTATCGCATGAATTGATCACACTGAGAAATTTCTGGACGCAGTCATCCTCCGTCATGTATGCCGGCTCGTCTTTGCATGTTGGGTCGGCTGTCTGCCACTTGACCCAAGCGTATAAACTATTGTATTTCGTGCCATCGATGGGCCATATCGGTTTATAGCAGGTCAGCCCAGGTTCGCTCTGGGTCGCTGATGGTTCTGGCGTAATAACGACTGGCTTTGGGGCCCAGGAAACTGCTCCGCAAGGGCTTTTATGGTATCCGGATAGTCTTGGCTGTATTTGTTGTCCTCCATTGCGATGGGATTGAGACTTCGCGCCACAAGATCTTCTGAGGAATTTTCACCCCAAAAATCCCAGGCCTAGTAGATCCGACTACAAACGGCCACAGGATCCCAGAACCGATGCGCCGCCAAGCGCAAGTCCGTACATATATTAGATAGAGCCGACGTTGTGTAGTCAATAGCTGGTTCACGGGACAGGGTAATGCCGCGGTATGGGGGTGGCTTAGGTTATTTCTGTGTGCATGTGTAGGTCCCGCTACTGCCGCTCTCCTGGCTTGCTTTGCCGCTTCCATACATGCAGCAAATCCTCGGTGAAGACGCTGAGGTGCCACGTTGGACAATGCAAAGTACTTTGATATACGATACATGTCGAGAACATAGCCTAACTTCACCAGCCTTTATCCGATAATAGCACCTTCAGTTCATAACACCTAAGTACCACAGGTATATATATGGTATAATTCTAACCTAGCTTTTTCAGATCTTGAGATCATAAATTTATTTTTGATATTATACTAATAAAACTTAGAGGCGGCCTATAGGCTTCATACGTATTATAAAAAGCTATAGCGCTGCTACTAGCTAAACCAAACGCGGTTATGGAAACTCACCAGCACGAGCCCGCAAAAATGCGGTCTCGAAGTATACAGCCAAAAAAGACGAGGTATACCTTGCTGTTGTTCATCTTGTCCACCGCTTTATCCCTCCACTTCCTCAAAGTGCCATACTTTTCCAAAGGGTTCAGTTTGCTCCCGCCTGTCAGAGCAAACGACGGGGACCTATTCCCTACGCGCGAAGAGACGAGAATCAATTTACGCACAGCCCTCCCATGGCGAGGTCGCGATTCAGTCTCGGGGGTCGTATCTCTTTATATTGCTATCCCAGTGACGGAGGATATTGGTATGCCACACATATATGTATTAATTCAGCATTCTGGATTATATACACGCCTACCCTAAATTACGCCTCTTTCTAGCTGATTTAATGCTAATGAAGCATACTATCCTAGGTTTCATCCGTCGAATTGGATTTTCTCGGAATAGATAGATTTAAACCATAGGATCGAGCGCTTAATTAAACGGAGGAAGACGCCTTTTGCGAAAGGCTCCAGCTACTACAGCCCCTCTATGACGACGGAAATTACGACTGGGTTTATAAACCACCTCTCCGGGCCGATAACAAGCATCCACGTATCCGACACATATTTTGCTGGACAAAAACGGGAGGCGCATGGGTTAAAAAAACTCACCTACATGAGAGAATGAGGGTGGTACGGCCCTAGAAGACTGAAGGTTACCATTGAAGGTGACTCAAGTCTAGTGGGAGCAATATGGAATGCCCATTCGATGGAAGAGCGATGCCAGGCATTTGAAAGGGCAGAGGGGAAGTTTTGCGCCAAACTCGAGGATTGTGAAGAAACAAAGCCATATATCGGAAAGAAAATTTGGCTCGAGGATTAGAGATTACGATGTATACCATACACTGTCTCCTTGTGTAACTTACCAGATCATAACTTAAAGGCCCGAACAAGGTCCAGTAAGGAAATCGAACTTATACATTAGGAATCCACTACTCTGGTATATCGATCTCAATGTATGTATTGCCGACGCTCGAACTCCACTTTAACACAGATATACCAATACATTCAAGATCCACCATATATATAATGAGCAATATCTAAAAAATATATGTATTTGAAATCCTTCAAGCTACGATCTCACATGTACGCCCTAGTCTCAGCCCTATAGCCGCGCAGATGATTTGGTATGTATTTAAATAATTTTAGGCCATGTCCTTTGGTAGCTCGTGATCGTAGGTACGCGATATATTTGTTTCTAGCTATAATAGCATTTACCCAGCGAGCTTGATGGGCGGAAAAAATCGAAAGTCAAAACTGTGAGTACCTAATCGATCGGCTGTGAGCGGCGGTTCGAATTCCACCGCAATATAAAAGGGTACCTAGGTTGACCGGTTAGCTTATATATCATTAAAGAGGCAACCCGACTGCTGTCAACTCGGTGCCTGTGAATTTTCCAGCCATGCTGGTATCTAGACAGATCAAGGTAGTAAGCAGATGTTTGAAAATCAATTAATTGTATCAATTAACATAGTCAATTTTAACTTTCCAAGATCGCAAGATGATGTTCAAATGTATAGAGATGTTTCGTGAAATTATCAATCGAGGTATTGCAATTGTTCAAACTTCTCTTACGCATGCGCATATGCATGCATCGGACATATATATTAGGTATATACCTGCGTATATCATTATATATAACAATAGCGAATTGAATCGATATAAAATTCGAAAACATAACAATATGGGTAAGCGATCGTAAGTTCAAGAGATTCCCCAACATACTACATTTGAAAGACGGCATATTGCATATATTGCCCCTTACAGGCACATATATGCACATGTACGTACGTATAGAATACATGCTTTTCGGGTGTCGACCAAGGCAGTTTGTGATACTGACATAATAATATATTGATGCTTGCACAGCCCCCTTCGTCTAGCTACTCGCGGTGGAATCAACCGACCGGTTCCGCGGAGTCGACGCTAGTCAACCTGCTGACATCCGGTATCCCGGCCACGTCTAGTCCATTGATGTACATGTCGTATAATTTAGTAGATCGTGATCGTATGGAGTAGATGTATCTACACAGTAAGGCGGTATGCGATGTACATGTATTAGGCTTTCTATCGATATCCTAACGTTATCAGCCATATCATATATATCAATTGATCGAAGCATCCGCCACGCGAGCAATCACGTGGCTGTCATCAAGCGGCAGAATCAGATTCTGTTTGTGGCGCAGTTTTGCAGCCTTTGAAAAATGTGTTGTAATCCGCATGTTCGGCGGCCGGGACTCCTGGTAGACTGGCCGATATTAGCAAACGGCATCCCCTCACCACAGAAACCGACTTCGACCTCCCTCCTCTGCCACAGTCGCTGACGTACTTTAATCAAACCCTCGAGACTATCTCCTTAGTTGGGTAATTCTTAGTGACTTACTTAAACCATCTCTCCTCCTCTTCTCCTTCTCTTCCGTCATCATCTTCAACCTCATCTTCAACCTCATCTTCAACTTCAAACCGAAACTAAGCTCCGCGATTCTCTCAACAGAACCGGAGCAGAAGGATCTGTGGTAATATTACACACAGACACTAAAAACCTAAACACCGGCAGCCACAGGGTCCCAAGAACCGCCACTCGGATTTTACCCTGATTCAGCCTAGCCAAAGAAGTTGTCTCCACCATCCCTTGTCGGACCGTTCATTTATTGGATTTAGTCTAAGGTCGCTATTGGACTGGGACAGGACTAGACCGGACTGGATTGATCGATCCTTCTTCCTTCCCATTCGGATCACGCAAACATCGGTTTTTGCGCCCTGTTGTTGATACATTTACTCCCAAGCTTTGGTTCCCCTGGATTCCCCTCTGTCTTTATGCTCCCACGCGACACTTCAAAGTCGCCAACTTAACTCCCTTCAAACCGCCATATTCCGCCCTCTTTTGGACCTGGTGATATCTTCTATTTCTTTTTACTTCCCAATCCAGCTCCATGACAAAACAGGACGACCACAAGGACGATGGTTCGGAATCTGGTGGTGACCAACAAGGGGTAAGTTTAAAATCTAAACACAACGGAACACTCACCTCAATTCACTCTCTGCACTGCACTACACAAGGCACAATTAGCTTTCAATCCAAGCTTTCCCTCTTAAATGAGATTATATGCATTCAATCTATAACATCTATACTGTTATACCCCGTTCAAATCCGTCAATCCCAGCCGTATCGTCTTGTTAGCTGCATACGTGCCTCAAGACTACCTAAACTTTACTTTACTTCATCGAAGTGCTAACCAATTGCTCACCAAAGCAGCCCGTCACCGCTAGAAATCCTGCCTGCGATTTGTGCCGTGAGAAAAAGGTAACATGACCCCTCCTAATCAATTGCCGTTCCGTGTCCCACATACGGTCACACTGCAGTAAGAAGAAGAAAACCTCAAGGGGAAAAAACCATTGACATGTCACCCGATATAGGTCCGGTGCGGTCGCGAGAAACCAGTATGCCGCAATTGCAAAACTTGGAAAGCTGCCTGCACCTATTCCGAGCGTCAGAAGCGAGAGAATGAGTCCACGCGGATGTACGTTCCATCGTACCCTGTTTTATTGCTGTGATAGACAGCGTCGATTTCTAACAAAGGGTATAGTGCCCACCGTTTTGAGGAGGTCCACGAGCGCCTGGACCGATTGGAGTCCACCATGCAGCGGATCGCGGTTGCCCTCGAGCTATCCAATATGACTGCCCACCATAATCAGCAGCAGCAATCCCAAGCCCAAGCCATTCCTGCACAGCAATCGTCGCCCTTCGCAAGCCAAATGATGCATAGTCCAATGGCAACAATGCACCCGACCCCACCTGGGTTCCCCTCCTTGTTATCTCCGTCACCATCTCGAGAAAGTGGTGGGGCTACGACACCGAATAGGATGCCGCCATCATTTCTAAACACTGCTGGACCGACGACATCGGCTTCGACCCCCAGGCACCAGCCAGGACAGGCAGGATCGCCTACCGGATCCGCCCCACCTAGAACCTTAGTCAAAGACCCAAAGGGGAATGTTCACTACCTCGGCGCATCGTCTATTTTATCCATTTCTTCAGAAGCCGAAAGTTTAGCGGAGGCACGACTTAGCGCAGCAGCAGCAGCACAGGCTGGACCAGATAGCATTCAGTCCAGCACAGCAGCCGGGGTTGTCGAGGCTATGAGCGCCCTGCGAACCTTAAAGGGACTCGACAGCAATATCGCTAATTTGCTCCCATACGATGGGTACATGGAGCTGAAGATGGGTGGCCGAGATTATATTGCGCCGAGTCGTGATGAAGCTATTCGTCTCATTGATAACTTCTTCACCAAGATTAATAAGTTCTTCCCACTGTTCAGATATGACAGTTTCATGAAGAATGTCAACAAAATGTATGAAAAGCCATCGGCGATGAGCGATAGAGGGTGGCTTGTGTGTTTCAACAACGTGCTACTCTTTAGTCTTTACGGCATGGGCACCAACAAGAAAGAAGATATTCAGATCGCTCTTGTCGAAAAATACTTTTTCAACAGTTGGGCCGCCTTTGACGATGTCAGCATTCTGTTGACTCCAAATCTGATCAATGTTCAAGCTCTGCTGACGCTCGCAATCGTTGCTCAAGAGATCTCCAAGCCAGGTCTGTGCTGGATGTTGCTGTCCCAAGCGTGTAGGCTGGCTCAGGCAATAGGCCTGCACAGACAATCTCACCCAGCTCAAAATTTCTCTGAGGCGGAGGCGGTCGAGCGGCAATTGGTATTCTGGACACTTTATGTGATGGACAAAGCGCTTTCGCTCACATTTGGGCGGAGTACTTGTCTTCCAGATTTCGATGTTGATGTCGACCTCCCGGACAATGTTACTGGCAATGTGCTTCTCACGCAGCATTTCTCTGGGTGGGTTTGGCTAGCAAAAATCCAAAGCCAAATCTACATGCGGCTATACTCCGCATCTGCTTGTAAAGCTAGTGACGAGGACCGCCAACACGCCTCAAAGGAGCTTGAACTTGAGCTTCGAAATTGGTGGGCCCAAAATGGAGCTGGCCTTCAACTGATTCCCTCCATTGGGCTTTTCGAGAAGCAGTATCTTGAGCTCGAAATCAAGTTCTCCTTTCATAACAGTATGATTATGATTCACCGAGTCAACAAAGGTGGCGGCGAGTTGAGCGAGGCGATCTGCTTGGACTCTGCAAGAACCAGTGTGCAATTGATTAAGCAGACTCTCGAGGTCAACAACGACGCCGCCGATGGTAGTGTTCTTCTTTGGTAAGCGATTTTTGCCTTTCCAGGTATCGAGTGTCATTACTAACATACACAAACAGGCTCTTCCAATACTTTCCATTCACCCCATTCTTCGTGCTCTTCTCCAACGTTATTCGCAATCCTGAGGAAAAATCGTCCCGTGATGATTTTCTCTTGATGCAACATGTTGTCTCCTATCTCGACCGCATGAAAGCCGCCAATGAGTCTGCTTCCAAACTCCTTAGGATTGCAGAAACATTCACCCAAATCGCTGCCGTTGTTCTTCGCAAATTCGAAAAACCTTCACATTCAGAATCCCGGAAGAGGAAACACTCTGCTATCAACACCGACTCAAAATCTGAAGATGGGAAGCGAGCAAATCCTAACTCTACTTCCCGTCCAGGTAGTGTAGGTAGCATCGACACACCCGTGTTTACAAACTCCGTCTCCCGCCCTGACTCTGAACTACCAACGATGTTTCCACACGCCTTCAACTTCCTTCGTTGGCCTAATGTTGGAGGTACACAGTCCGCCACATCAGGTCGTCCAGGTTCCTCCCACGACAATAGTAAAGCCTCAGCGTCTTCAACGGCGTCTCTCGGATCCAACTCTACCGACCCGTCGGCCGCACCACTACAATTCGACAGTGGGATGGCTGCAATGTTTGAGGGAGCTACTGCCGGATTCGACTTTGACCTCGAAGCACTCATGGCTGAACCCGTGGACTTCCAGAGCCAAATGCAACAGGCACATAGACAGGGGCCTCTTGATTTTGACTGGTTTCAATGGGACCAGTACACCCAGGGTCTTACCGATAGCCCAGGTGTCAGCTTCGCAACATTAACTGGAATGAAGTAATGACTGTTATGGTGGTGTGCGAAGGCACCATTCGATCATAAAAGAGATGGACTTATATAGGACTGGTGGCATAAAACTCACTACATTAGAGCGGCGTTCATTTTTGTAAGTATTATGGGTAAAACAAATATCCCCCCTGGGTAACTTCATTTCATGACACTCTTTTTGAAAAAAAAAAAGTTCGCAGGCCAAAAAAAAAAAAGAAAAAAAAGAAGGAAAGTCTTAACATCATATCCTTTATAATAATTCTTCAAAGCGGTGTCAAATGGGGGCCTCTATTTTCAGGAATCGGCGTTTACGAATATTTCTTAGTAATTTCCCCTTTTTTTCTCTTCTCCCCCTATTTTACCTCTCGCGACCATGTTTCAACGGTCAGCTTATTCAGAGAGAATCCGGTATATAGACATATTTAGCTCTGGCTTCCCCTCTTGTCCAAGCAAAACCTCTGCTTTTATTGATTTTTCATGTGAATAGATTAGCGGTCAGATTTAGACTCAACAGAACCCCTCTTCCCGCAGATAATATAATACCAAACCCACTAAGGAAATCACTATAATGGATAATCTTTGAACTAAGTTCGCACCCATTTATTTGTACATAACTAGGTATATGGCACTTTAATACCAAATTTAAAAAAGGATACGAAACCTCTAAGTTATCCCATCCAAAGCAAACCACGGAGAAAAAGAAAGCAAATGATTCGCCCCGGGATCGATCTATAACCAAGAATTCCAACAAAGTTCCCCCAAACAAGTACTCCCCATAATATCGATATCAGATATTTCTAAAGTAATTTATATTCAAACGCCATCAGGGACCCCCAAATTTGTCACGAAAACAATAACAACGCCAATAGCCAAAGAAATAGAACAAACAGGAACAACAATTTTAAGCCTCCTAAGCCTCGCCTCCCTCTGTCTCTGGCTATCAACAACAGCTGTATCAAGGTCCTTAAGCCACTGAGTAACCTGCTCAGTCTGTTCCTGAAATTGTTGAAGTAACGGTGCTAGCGTATCCAACGCTTTGATCCCGCTTCCACCCGCACCGGCAGTTGTAAAGGAAGAAGCAGAAGGGTTATCAACTGCTAGTAAGGAATTACTTAGAGTTTTTGATAACGTAGATATGACTGTTGCTTCGGAAGAAATTGATTCTCGGATCTTGTCAGTATCGTCTTTGAAGAGGTTTATTGTGAATTGAGAGGTTTGCTGTTGAGTTTGTTGGGGAATGGAAGTGAGGGTTGAAGTTAGGTGATGGAGGATGGCTTTTATGAGGTTGTGGGTTAGTGGAGTAGGCGCTGAGATGGAGCTGGTGGACATTAGGTGTTCTACGAAGGAAGTTCTGAGAGCTTTGGATGATGTATTGGTGGTCTCACTTGCACGATTGACCATGATGAGGACTAAGCCGCCGCTGTCAGATCTTATACTCGCGTTTGCAAAGGAGGAATTATTATAATTATCTTACCTGTCGCTGGTTCTGCATCATTGGTGTTATAATTTAAATGTATAGAACATCCCTCAGACTCCTCCTGCTGGTTGGGAGACAAGTTTCTCCCACCCTCCTTGGTATCTAGCGACTCTGACGAGGGATATCTTCTCAGAAGCGGAATATTCAAGAAAGAAACTTTAGACCCACCCTCCGATCCATATCGAACAAGTTGCCCGCTAGAGCCAGCTGCGTTTGAACTTTCTGCCATGCTTTTAGCAGCCCCCAACTGTAAATGGGCATCCCAGAACTGCGGCTCAACCCCTAGTTTTGCCCCAAAGACGCCCATGATATCCGGCGTAATCTTGTCTAGCAAGAAAACCCTCGAGATGAAGGATACGCCTGAGTTTTTCTGGAGCATCAAGCCGCCTGGTCCCTCGCCACTCTCATCTTCCTCCTCCTGTTCACAGAAGTAGTCGACAAGCATATCCACATCATCAATGCCGATTAGATGTCGAGTACCGCCCCGACATATTTCGATAATAGTTACAGCTGGATCATCCGTATAACTTTCAAATTGGTCTTGCACACTCCCCGCCAAGCTGTCTTCATTGATTTTGAAAAATGCAGAGAGGGCATTCAGTTGACTTTCGTAAGCCTGCGAAAGTGATTCGATGTATTGGAGGTAATTCGACGCCTTGTGTCTTAAATCCGCAGCTCTATCAGCTTCTTCATCGTCCCCTCCTACTTCCGAGATAGGAAACGGGGCAGAGCTAGATCTAGATCCTTGTGGACGATCTTGGAACCTCAAGCTGGGTGAGCAAGGGTCTATAGAAGTAATCGATAGAACTGGGGAGCCGATGCTCCAGTCGCCCGTAACCGAACCCGAGGATAGCGAAGATGTACAGCTGTATGAATCCGCGGCATGATGCTTGCTATTGTCTTTGGGAGTACAAGGTATCGAAGACATTGTTGTAGTCTTGGGCTTTTTGCAAGTCAGATACGGCCACGAATCCAGTCCAGTGTCGTGATGCAAGGGGTTACCACAACGAGAATAGATGGGATGGAAAGAGAGCCCCGGCAGACAGATTTAATGCATAAGTATCAATTGGAAAATACGAAATCTGTGATTGATATTGCAGGAAATGTGCATACAGGGCGGGAGAAAAACTCTATGGCTAGCCTGCTTGCTGAGGAGAAACTGTCTTGATGATTCTTCTGACACGCCATGTGACCTGCAAGATGATATTTATATCTGGGTGCCATTGCAGCAAAGGGAGCTTCATGACGATGATTCTACTAGTAGACTTTTCTCGCTCCTCCAATGATATTCGTCGTGCTTGGTTGTTGAGAAGCACTGATTGCCCTCTTAGTCCAACCTATCGCGTAGAATCTTCAAAGGATATGTCATGTTTGGAATGCAGGCACCCGCAGGTGCATTGCATACCCGGCGCCAGGTGAAGCGAGAAACATCGAGGGTTCGAAACTCTCATCATCTCGAAAAAACCCCATCATAAACCCATTAGTCTGCCTCCTCCTCCTCGGCGGCTCTGAGGAGTTTTTCTAAGGTAAATATAAATATCCATTTTGAGAGAGAGGTTCTTTTTATTTTTTGGTTGGCTGATGTTGTGTTCCGTCCAATAAGGTTATCGGACGGTTCTGGTTAGGAAAATGTCGGGTTGGATGAGATTTGAAGGTCCTAATGGGTCAGCCCTACCACACCATCTTTTTCGCAGAGGGTGTCGCCAAATTTAGATGAGATGAGCTTGGCGACTAGGAAAGCGCTTGCTTGGGGAGGGTTTTTTTTTTTTTTTTTAAGCGGTGCAAACAAACGTTATGATTTTGACGACATTGCGATCTCATCTCGGGAAATTAATTATTTTGAACAAAAATTTTCGTACTCTCTGAAGATGCCTATTTCAGTAGCTTCTAATCTCGGAAAGTAGATTGGGGATGCTTCTGTCATTGACGGTTTCACGTGCATGGTCAAGGAAACGCTTGCATGGAGGTACAGGCGCGCATCAGACTGCATCCATCCCAGTCGCGCACATGTCGAAGTACTGCCAAAGAGCGACAATTTTTTCCCTTTTTTTGAAGAAGGGTAGGTCAACTTCACCTACCAATTTCGCATATACGTTTGTTCGTCCCATTCAAGACAAATATCTTTTCCCGATCATAACTTGGGGGAAAAAAAGAGAGCAAGGGGCGAACAAGAAGCCGGGCGGTATTCCCGTCTATTCCTAAGATTGCCCCGTCTGCTTCCCCTCATTTCAGATGTTTACCTACATCTCGTATTTCCAGCTCGGTACTAAATGATACTTTACACCCCAGGGATTTCTTGAAGCAAGACATACAGTCTGTGCTGCGACCTATTAGCCTATTTTACCTAATTACCTATAATTGACAGCTGACAGCTCGACCCAAGAGCTTCGATTTCTTGTGCTGTCGATTCCAAACAAGGAAAGTTACTTGTGAAGTTCTATTGCATCCGTGAACAAGCTCAGATTCCCATTTTTCCCGCGAAGAACCCTACTATACATTGTATGTCAAAAAAAAAAAAAATTTCTTTTGCTTCCCTTCGATGATTCGAACATACTCGATCCTGCTAAGAGGATAAAAAATGTTTTCGCACTTTTAAGTTCAAAGATATGCATGGCAAGTGAAAGCGAGTCAAAGACAATAAGGCAAGACTGGGGAGACGTGACGAAAAAAAAAAGAACCCTTGTCAAAATTTCCAACCCTTGTCAACATTATGAAGTAGTTCAATAGAAAGGAGGAGGCGTAAAAGACACTTATACTATTGAAGATTAACGGAATTTTTGAAAATTTTGATAGAAAGTTGGGGGAGAAACGTAGAATGTCATTTTTTTTTGTTTGAACCGTCAAGCGCCTAACACCATGATATAGAACAAGAATGTTACGCTACTTTTTTTCTGCTTTTGATCTTCGTGTCGTAGCCTAAGGCTGCAACCAAAGAAAGCAGATGAAGATTAATAATGCATAAGAGTTAAGTTGACGGCAAGCCTTAAAACGCCAGTTTTCAGAGAAGAAAAGCGAAAGACCCGTAACGTGAATGAAAGAAGTCAAAAGCATAGGCTCAACGCCGGACTTTTATTTTCCAGGAAAGAAGAGCAAAAATGTAACAAAAATAGCAAAAAACGCGGACAAAAAACAGCGAGAGGGGAAGGGTGACGGTGAGGCAGGGTTTATACCCCATATTTGGGAGTCTGACAGTAAAGTTACTGGTTGCTCTTAGCTAGTCGTCGGAGGGTCGCAGAATAGATATGGTCGTATATCAAAGATGAAGTGATCGGATAAGCGGGTATGGCGGTGATTTAGGGTAGTTCGTTTTGAACAAAAAATGCAGCCGAATGATTAATAAAGATAGAAAACAACAAGTAGCCAAATAGACGCTTTTCTTTTGGTCATTGCACCGAAATGACGGTTGGAAAATTGTCGTTCAGAGATCCAACAAGATCGAGTCTGAGGATTTTTTTTGCTTCGAGTATTAGCTATTACCCAAAAGCCCAGATTTGTAACTTAGAAGTAAACCGAACCCAACGGCAAGCGCGCTGTACTACAACACGCTAGGTTGGAATTTCTCGTCCAAGTTGCCATTTTCAACATCGAACCCGTCGATACGGTTGTAAGCAAAGGGTTCTTCCTCCTGGTCTTCGTCATCATCAACACCTTCACGGCTTCCCCAAGCAGTCTAAAAGCTGCTGTGTTAGTAACTTGTAATCCGATTGATAGGAAACTCGATATTGAAACTTACCTCATTAAGAGTGAAGAGGGCGTAGTATTTGATGAAACCATGAAAGTAGCCAAAGAGAATTGAAATAGGGAGATAGCGGATATCGGACGGATAGCGCCAGAAATGTGGCAGCAACTTGACAACCTTGGTGCATAGAAGCCAAATGAGTTGTGCAGTGATACAGCTTGTTCGAAGAATTTCGTCATGCTCTGTGGCCTTGTACAAAAGGTACAAAAGGCCAAAGTCGGATATCAAAGCGGGTGGGTTGAAAGTGGCCATATGAAGAGCGTAAGAACACCATGGTTGACGACTAGATTGCGCCAGTGCAGTTAGTATATCACTCTAAACAAAATCTAAAGGGTTGGACCGCTTCACGTACTGCCAAATATGCTTTTCCTTGAACATGCTAGTATAATTACTACGCCAGTTGCTGCGTGCCCATCGTAGACATTGTTTCAAAAACTTCGAGTCGTCAGAGAGGGTAGTGCGAAGTTCACATTCATCATGACATTGTTCATAAGAATCCCAGCCATGGTTAACGATCCATCTAGTGAGGAAATTGTCATCATCGGTATTCAATCTGAATTGTTCACGCCACAATTCGTTGGTGAAGCCATCCATGAACGCTTTATCCTGGAGAATCTTGGTACGGTAGGCAACGGTGCGTCCGCTGAGACACGAAACACCGCCATCCATATGAGTTGTTGCGGAGAACTCGAAGTTTCGTCGCTCCAAGTAGAAAGCACCGAGGATCGTCCAAAAAGTGCGGTTTTCTGTGCGCTTGAGGCGTTGGCTAGTTCCAACACCGCCAATTTTAGGATTTTCAAAAGGTGCTAAGATCCATGGCAAGAAGGTTCGAGGCCAAAGAACGTCATCGTCGGCGAAGATGAGAATTGGGGTCTTGACTTCTGGAATAGCTTTGACCATCTGCTTGCGTTTGTTTGCTTTCCTAATAGCAAAAACACGGATGCGATCTGGACAAACATTGGAAGCTACATCCTCGAGGCGTTGCTGGAGTTTCTTGACCGTGACAATGATGATTTCTTTGACCCCGGTCTCTAAGCAGCGCCTCAGGGTTTCTTCAAATTCAGGCCCTTCGCCGTCGATTGTTGGGATGACGAGAGTGGCATCCTTTCCTTCATACTTGGGCTTCTCCGATGGAAGAATTGGTCGGAAGGTCCATGAGGAGATACAGTTCACAATCAAGCGAACATATCGGTATAGCCTGTATAACAACCCAACAAATCGCCGGATATGGTTAGTCAAATTTTCGAGTGCCGTTTATCAGGTTCTAGGGTTCTAATCACTGCAATCTAAGGGCTAAATCAAACAAACTGGCATGGGAGATTGATGTCTATGCCGCCAAAGGCTTATCGGGTCGGCTTTCGCCCTCCCCACTACCTGAACAAGCTTGGAAAGCCCGACGGCTTCGGCGTGGGATCCCATAAGTCATCGAATTATGTACTCCACGGAATCCCAGCCTTCAAACCCCCGTACACACGCATGCCAAACATTCCGTCCGAGACGAAATGCATGCGACGGTGTTGCTCAGGTTTGAGAACCTGCAACTGTGGGCCGCTGGTTCGCCTGCCTGTTAAGCCTGCATTCGCTGGGCTAGAGTTTGAAGGTAGAACGATGGGAGATCCCTGGATGCTGCCGCTTTGAAATCAAAAAAAAAAAAAAAAAAAAAAAAAAAAAAAAAAAAAATAAAACGAAAAAAGAGGCCAGCCATGTGCATATGCAAACTCCTTTCTTGCTTGGATGAATTTTCTTCACAGCGAGACAAAAAAAAAGAACCTCATGCATGTCGGTCTGGCTGGGGACGTGTCCCAAGCATATCACTTTGCAAGGAAGAACCTCCGTTGATCGGGGCCTTCAAGCTCCAAGCTAGAAGCTCGGTTAAAAGAGATGCAAAGGCGGAGATGCAATCAAAATACAACTTTTCATCATGTTCGTCGACATTGGGAAACATTTGGGGAAGGGGGGAATATGACCGATGCGACTGGACAGGGTCAAAGGCATTTGCAAGCCTTCGAGCGGAAAGAGTAGCAATACCCGTCGCCCGATCCAAGGAGAGTAAGCTCAGGCATTGACATCCAGCTAGCGAGTTTGTCCTGCGCCTTGAGGTGGGAAACTCCGTGAGAGCAATGACATGACAATGGTTCCCGAAAGAGCCCTCTTTCCATTCGAATTCAGGGGAGCGAAGAAGTTCGGAGGGTCATGCGCGGGTTTCAAATGGGCAGAGTCCAGAGCCATTACCACAACTTGAAGAGAATGACAAGGCAGCAAGCTGATGGTTGAAAGATTTGATATCGATATTATACGGAGGACTATAAAGTGGGGAGAACAAGGGTCAGGGACTTACCACAACACGACAAACAGGTAGAGGAGGGCTAGCTCCATCATTGTGAATTTGGTTCGGGACCCCTGTCGCGAGTCAACCTTTTGTGGACGGTGATTGGAGGAGAAGGGTGGCTGATTGGTTCGAGGAGAACACCAGAAAAATAAAGCAGGCGTTCCTTTTGTTTAACGGCAACGAGCCGCTCTGAGACAATGGATTTCGATTGCGCAACCTTAACTCTGTTGATGAAGAATTGCTCTCTTCGACTTTCCGGATGTGAAGATGTTGAGAAAAGGGAGAAGAGCGATGCCTGGGTGCTCTTTTATCTCTGTCGTGCGAGCTTTTGAATATCAAGGCGGGAGGCGTATGCTGGGATCTAAATTCTAACTGGCTAGCTCACGTTTCTGAACGTTCGAACGCTCTGTTACGCGACAGGTCGGAAGACTGGTTCGCAGGGAGGACGGCTTTCGTTTCCAGTAAGTCGACTGGAAGTCTCTGCGAGAGTTTTAAGGTTGGCGGTTTGGACGCGATAGGTTGTGATGTCGAGGTTTGATGAAAAAGATCAGAAGGTTAATTCTGAGAAAGCCGAAGAAGATCCGCTACACCAAAAAAAGGAAAGAAGAGAGAAATTACTATTTCGGGGGGATCTCCAAAGGTCCGTATTCGTAGAATAGTGTAATTGATGTTGCTAGTGAGAGGGAGGAGTGTGGATAAGCTGTGATGTATTCTCAAGAAGTCGTCTATAGCTAGCCGCAATATTTGCCTGGGTCAAACTATCTCTAGACTATTAGCTGAACAGAGGACTAGCTGTTGCTTATGTGAATTGTCTCCAGCTGCTTAAGGGAGGTTTCCGTAGAGGAAATAATTAAGCTTGGTATTAGGATCGCGAAACTGGATTTGTTGGTAGTTGGGTCGAGTTAAGGTTGAGGTTGAGGTCGAGGTGGTTGTGGTGGTATATTGTGATATATACTGGGAGATATATGCTCACACCACTAAAGGACGATATATCGAATCTGGGCGAATGAGCGGAATTAAATTGCAACGCTTGCCTAGGTTCAAATCGTTGATGTGGACGAATTAACCATAGAGAGGGAAAATGGTTTCCAATTGAAGATATAGCGATATTGTTTTTTCAATTGTCGTGATGTCGTGATGTTGCAATTGGATAGATCCCGATAATTGGGTTCAGAGCCTCAAACAAATGCACAGGATACGTGATTTAGGCACAGAAACTCAAGAATCTTTTAAAATGGAATGTATGCATGCATGCCGCAAAACAGTTTTCTTGAAAAAAAAAAGAAGAAGAAAAAGCTAACAATCAATATCGTTCGTAGACAAAACCAGCTGTAGTCATGACAAGGGTAGAAAATAAGAATTAAGGAATTATGTTTGTGGCAAGCTCGTCTAGCAAAATCACACGCTCGTCAAAGCTATACTGGCGACTTTAGCTCATTAGCGTCCAGAAATAGGCGTCAAATCGATGTCAAAATAAACGATACGGAAAGGGGGATAATATATATAATAAAAAGAACAATTCGACCCAGGGCAGTATAGTAGCAAAGCTAAAAAAGCAGAACGACGAGACAAAAGGTAAACGGTGGACGAGCTTGACGGGAAATTGGCGAGGCAGAGGGCTGGTTAAGAAAGTTTCTGGTGCATGCAGAATGCGGCGGAGGCAAATTTATTGTAATCGAATTATATTATCGAAACTTGCCAGGTCGAGGTCGGTGTCTCAAGCCCCAAGGTCCAGCTTTGCCAATGATTTCGGCTTTGAGATGAAGCTACCAATTGTAGGTCTCTGGTGTTGCTTCCGCTGGGCTCTTGGATTTGCCTTTCTGTCTACTCGTCCACACAAAACTGCATATCAGAAACGAATGTCCTAACAAAAAACATAAGAAGGAGAGGAGGCTTTGGAGGATATATAAAATGTATATAAAGGAATACCAAGATGGATGTTGGGGGCAGACGGGGCATAATATATATCCATGTTCCCGTCGTCCAGTCCATTTCCTTTTTATCAGAAGACGTGGAGGTCGAGGTCGGACTGTTGCGGTAAGCTTTGTCAGGCGGGAGGTCAGGACAATTTCAGTAGGCCAAATCCCGTCAGATTATGACCAGCGCGAATCTACTATCCGCACCCAAGCTAAATTAAATTAATTCTACAAAGGAAACAGGCAGGCAGGACCGGATACAATCCAGGTTTACAGGTAGCTAGTACGTTCAAAGGACCCTACTCTAGTCTTAGTTAGAGGTCGTAAGCAATTGGTCTGAGCATCAACATGCTACCAATTGACCATTCTGTAACATTTTTATTTTTGCGTGCATCTCAAACCTTGCTAGTCCAGCTAATTAGAGCCAGCAGGCAAAGACCACTACCTGGAAGGAAGGACCCCCAGAGACCGAAAAAGAAATTTCCAAAAATAAGAAATATCCAAGAAGAAGAAAGCAAACGGGAGAAAGGCGACAGATAGACAGCCTGGGGTCGATAGCGACAGGGACTCTTCTCCCGAGCTAATGTAGTTCGTCAGTCAAATGGCATTTTAGTTTGAGGCATTTCACAAAGGAAGGGGAAAACTTCAAAAAGAAAAAGAAGAAAATACGGTATGTTCAATCGAGGGTACTATTAAGCCGAGTTGGTCTCGCGCATAAACCAGCGGTCGTTTGCCTGACCTATAGTTATTGTTCTGTATCTGTATGTAGTAGGGTCAAAGTGGATTTCCGTTACGTGGGGAAAGCTGCACCAGGTGCATATGCTTCCTTTTTTTAATCAATCTTTGGACGGTTGTCAGGAGTGCGTTCTTCATCCTGTATTATTGTGTAGATGTATATAATTTATTTCGTTTTTTTTCTCGACTCGCTTTCATAACCCCTTCCAGAACATTTTATCTTCGAATATTCTCAGCCCCTACATTGTAGCTGGCAGCAAGGCAAGATGCGTCGGTTATTATTCTAAACCCACAAGGTTGAAAGCCGTGGGTCGGATGACACCACAAAACTAACTTTTTGCGGTTCTCTTGCCCGTTCAAAACCTCAAAGAGCCTGCCGAACACAGATACACAAACCAGCAGTCCCAAAATTCAGGACAATACTAGTGCTGTCATCAAACCGGTCCTTTAGAAGGCAATCCCATCGAGATAGCACCGAGGTCCCTTTTTAGAACTTCTTCTTCTACTTTTTTTTTATTTTTTTTTATTTATTTTTTTTTGAAAATAAAAAATAATAATAAAGTATGAAACAAGATTAGAACATAATATTCACGATGCAAAAGGCTGGACTATAGTGCTATTGACGCAAGTCTGGGGTCTCTTTTAACACCAAATTGAATTCATACTCCAAGGTACTCACCTTCGAGGCTTGGAGCCAACCGAAGCCGATATCCTAAAACTGCCGGCTCCAATTGATCGAGGGGACATATCCGTTCATGGTTCCAATATTTCAGCGTAGCGCTAGCTTTGTCGCGATCTTGTTTAAGTCATCCCACCCAGCACGATAATCGTATGTACGCCCATGGCCGCATATAATAGGTCTTCTAGCCTATCAAATTATTGAGGTTGCTTAGAAGGTTCCTTAGAGGATCATGAGAACAGTGGGAATCCAGGTAGGTTAGTTGCAGATGACCGTTGTTTCATTCGGCTCTCAAAAAATGTGGAACAAACATCCACAAACATAAGGTAGTCTTCGCATTCTCCATTTCCCTTCGCGCCGTCACTATATTTAGTCTACGGCCATCTATTCCTCAACATGAAGATAGAAACAATAGTAAAGCGGATAAATTGAGTGGTTCTAGAGACATCGAATGGCTAGCTAATTGATGCTGGTCAATTGGCTGAGCATTGAAACATTCCCAGTATACTTGTACTAGCATCATTAGGCCGGCTAGTCGTATGGGAGAAAATGCCCTCGAATACTTGCGAAGCCCCTATAACCAAAATTCCGCTCTTCATCTTGACAACCCTCCAAAACTTCCTTCTTCCTCTCGCCTTTTTTTTGTTTTGTTTTTTTTGTTAATAAGCAGTCCAAATGGACAGTCTTAAGGCTGTGCAAGTTTACATAGTGACGACACCCTCCCGCTTAATTGCGTGTGATGCAGGTCATCGACTTTTATTTTCAGGGTCCAGACCTGATACTTAACGTGATCTGGCGTCTTGCGGAGGGTATGGGTAGCATCGGATATATATATACACACCATATATGTAAGGTAATTCTGCTAGAGACATCATAGTTCATATGATATTTCCAACCAAGGAGGCCTCGAGGAAAAGAAAGAAAAAAGGCGGAGCAGACCGGGCGCCTGACACCGATGCCGTCTCTTGATACCTGTCCGCTAGGGAATCTTCATCATCGAGCCTCTAGTTATCTTGCTCACTTACAGTTTGCCGCGCTTGGGGATCCACTTCAGCCCGTCTTGAAAAGGTCTTTCCGATCGTGAGACCAACCTGTCAAAAAAAAAGAAAGAAGAAGAAGAAGAAGAAGAAGTGGGAAGTGAGGAATGGAAAAAGCAAGGTCAGATGGGTGGTGGGGAATAAACATGGATCTGGGGATTTTTTTTGGATCGATGAGCAGCTAGCCTGGCTCGACTCCGCTTAACATGTACGGTTGGGCAGCTCCTTCGAGCCCAAGTTGCACGGAATGATATCGACTTGACAATTTCATGAATTCAATGAAGAGAGTAGTTTGTATCAGCGCCGTCAAAGTTGTAATCATATGCAATAGATTTCTGATAAGGGTAGTATACCAGGAAACTTGAAATTTAAGCCTATATCACCATTTGCAAAAGATTTTACAAATAGGTTCGGTGATGAAGCCCCGATCATCTCATCACAATATACAAGTCGAGGATTAGGAGACCGATAATCCTCCCTGGCACGGTCCTTAGCTTCATGATACAATTTAAGCTTAGCAGGGCAATCCGAACATCTTTAGCAGGTGCAATCTTTGTTTTTCTGTAACCAATTCTATACTAAAGGAACCTGGGGTTCGGCTCGTTGGAATGCTTAAGTTATCAAAGTTATCAAAGCCGTCGATGCATCTCGCAAATACAATATCGAATAGGAACCAAGTAATT